AAATTACTTTAAATATTAAAATACATTAAAAATATTAAAAAAACAAAATAATGATGATAAAAATTAAAAAATTTAAGTATTTTTATTTTTAAAATATATATATATATATATATGTATATATATAATAATAAAAATTAAACTAGGTTTTAGAAAATGAAAAAAATAAAAAGATTGAAGAAATAAATTATAATTATGAAAGAAATAAAATATTAGAAAAAGATGATAATAAAATTGTTAAAATAAAATAAATGGAAAATGATATTAATTTTAAAGAAAATTAAATATAGATTTATAAACAGGAAAAATATTAAAATGAAATTGATTTATAATAATGTATATTATAATTTTAGTTAATAAAATAAATAAAATAAAATAAATAATACGATATTTATTAATATTTATAAAATTGCTTAAGAGATAAAAATGAGGTTTTAAAAGAATTGTAAATTAAAAAAAGTAATAATCAAAATAAGCTAAATTAAAATAAAGATGCAAAGTATATTTATATTTATATATATAATATTATTTTAATTTTTTGTTTTTATTTTAAATATAAGAAAGTTTTGGATTTAAGAATTAAATAATAGCAATAATATTTTAAAATAAATGAAAGCTAATATTAATATAGAAAAAAATGAATTATATTAAATATATTAAAAATTAATGTAAAATTATGAAAAAATAAATAATCCGAATTAAAAATAAAATATTTATTAAAGAGAAAATTTAAAATAAGATATTGAAATATATAATAATGACGTAAAAATAATAAAATAAAATGAAAATTTTATAAGGAAAATCGAATAAGTATTATTAGAATTATAAAAATAATTTAATAAAGCAATAAACAAGAACCTAAATGATGAAAATTTATAAAAAACATATAAAAATTTAATATAAGCTTTAAATGAAAACAATATATAAAAATTAAGTTTAATAAATTCAAATGTAAAAAATAAATTAAAAATAATAATATATTAATTAAAAAAGAATAAAATTTCAAGTGAATCTTTAATTATTTATTAATTCAATGAAAATTTATAAGAAATTAATATAGTTTTTTAAGATTAATAATAATAAAATAGCTTAAATACATAAAAAATAAATACAGAAATTAACATGAATAAATAACATAAAAAGAACATTATTTAATAAGAAAATATAAAGAAAATATTAGAAAAAGCCGAATATGAACGCAAATAAAATTAAATAAAAATAAATAATTTAACTTAAAAAAACCAATAGAACTATAAAAAATAATACAATGAATAATTAAATAATACATTCAAATATCATTAAGAATAATTAAAAGACTTAAAATAAACATTAAATAAAATAGTAGAAAAAAGAATAAATTAATAATATAAAGTATACTGACTGAGTTATTTTTTTTTAAAAAAATAAAATAAAAAAATAACATTATTTATTTATTTATAAAAAAAAAAAAATACACTTTTTTATATAAATATATATTCAAAATAAATCTATTGGTATTATTTATAAAGCTTTTCTAGCTCTAATTATACTTTAAGGCATGTTTTTAATAAGTTTAAATTAAATCCATAAATAGGCTATAATAATCATAAAAAAACAACAATACCAGCTATATTTTTTCCAATTAAATAACTTTTACATTTCTTCCTCAATAATAAGCCTTAATCCATCTTTAAGAGAAAGAAATCCTTTTTTAATATAATGATTATTAAGTTAATTAATATCTAGAATAGATTAATTAATTTCTTATATTTTTTTTTATTTTAATAATGGTAATATTTCTTATGTTTTCTAAACAAATAAATCCATACCGTCTTTTAAACCACTTTTATAGAGAATTCCTTATGAAAATGTTTCACATTCTTTAATATTTTCTATTTCTTCTTTAGGGAAAAGTTAAGGGCATAAATTAGAAAACATGTAATTATTGAAAAGTTATTTCATGTTTATATTATTAATATTTTGTTAGAAATTTTATATATGTTCTTCTTTTTGTTTAATTTATTCGATGTTTTATTCTAATATTAATAATTGGTCTTTATTTAGGACTTATATTTTATCATTTATGATATTAAGTAATATTATATTATTGGTTAGCATATAAAAAGATTCAGAAACAGACGTTGAATTTTCAATTATTACGTATTATTTCATGTCATCTGCAAGGAATTTTTATACTATATAATTAGAAAATAAATAAATGGTAAAAAGTATTATTAAAAGTGTTAAAATGATGATGTTTTTAACTTTATTTTTATCACTTAAAGATTTATGAGTTATATTTTTTTAAAGTATTTTTTTTAAGCAAAATCTTTTTTTTTTCTTATATATTTTCAAGTTCATTATCTTCTTCATCGAAATTCTGAAATTCATCATAATTGGAATTTTTTAAATAATTAATAATATCATTTTCAGTTTATCCACAAATAATAAGAAGTTATTTGGAAAAAGTATAGAATTTTTTCTATATATTTTAAGGAATTTCAATAAATAAATTATAAGCTTTATGTCTATGTTTATTGACTTTTTAAATTAACTAAATACTCATAAAAATGATTAAAAAAATAATAAAAAATGTAAAAATTAACATTATCATATTTAAATCTTCCACATCTAATGCATCTTTTTCAAAAATAAGTATAAATTATGAATAAAAGGACTCTATATTTAAATATAAGTCATTTAGGAGGTTTAATTACATAAAAAGAAGGAAATTTTCTTGTTTTTTTTCATCTCCAAGTATTTTTTTCGAAGCTATTATTATTTCATTCATTGAGTTTTTAAAAGTATATGTTTTTTCCTCTTTTTCATTTATTTTTAACTATAAAGTTTCCTTCTCGAAATTTTTAGTAAATGAAGAGTAATTTTAGTCTAAAAAATTATTAATTTCTTCGATATTTTATGTACTTTTTTTCATATCAGTTTTCCATTATTTATTTTGCTAAAAAAGTTCATATTCTTAAGTGTAAAAAAGAAGACTCTAAAATTCAGTTTACAGTTTATTTGTTAAAGCAATTAATTCCACATTACTTTTATGGTCTTTAAAATTATATGTTGTATAATGCCATTCCGCAAAAATTACGCAGTTTAGAATTACAAGGAAAACTATACCTATTATTCTTAATATATAGGCACTTCGAGGTATATTTCTTTTATTTTAAAGCTTTATTATATCAGCTTTTATTTTTTTAGTCTTTTTATCATCTATGTTCTCACTACCTATTAAATGTTGTGAAATATTATATTCAGGAAAGTATTATTTTAAATCTTTTTCGTTCGTTTTTAAAAGCTCGAAACCTTCGTCTTTATATTAGGAAATCTCTATTAGATATTTTATATATTAGACTTTTAAAGTATTGGGTATTTCCGCATGTTATTAGTTTATTTAAATCCAAATTTAGTGAACGTATTCATTATTTTACTAGATTAATTAAGTTAGAAAATCTAGTTTTTCTAAGTCTATTTGTTCGTTTTGACAAAGATCCCATAGTTATAGATAATAATAAGTTCCGGTAGTTATTTATTATCTTAGTTAATTAAAATCACTAATATTAAAATTCTCTAAATCTATTGAAATGTTGGAATTATTTTAATTTAATTTCATTTACATTTATTTTTGTTTTGTATATATTTTATTGAAAAAATATGTTTTTTGTTTTGTTTTTGTTTTTGTTTTTATTTTTTTTTTATTATAAAAAAATTGTACTTTTATACTTTTTTTATTTATTTATTCCTTTTTTTTTTTATTAATTAAAAAAATTTATTTTTTATAAAAAAAAAAAAACTTCAAAATAATTTTTAACAAATATCTTCTAAAATTTAACTTAATTCAGTATATTTTTCTTCATTTATAGTTAAAAATAAAATAAAATCAATTATTCCTTATTATTGAAATAAAGAGAACATTTTTTCTTATTTTTAATTAACATTTAGTATTATTATAATATAATAAATGCTCAAAACTACATAAAATCTTGTTTAAAATTCAATTTCTTCATATATCTATTTAAAAATCTATAAAAAATTATATTTTTGAATTAAACTAAGTATTTATTAATCATCCGAGTTTAAAATAAGTTTACAAAAAAATAAAAGTGTTTAATTCTAATCTTAATGAATAAAATTAATTAATAAAGGAATTATCTATTCGTATTATTTAAAAAACAAGTCAATTTATTCTAAATGAATTTATTTATTTTCGTCAAAAAAAGAACTAAAATATAAACAATTTATCCTTAAAATTATAAAAATACTGCTTTCGAATTTAAAATAATTAATAAAATATCAAAAAAACCCCAAAAAATCAACTAAAAATATGTTTAAGAATCACCTTCTTTAGCCAAAATTAAATATAAATTTAAAAAAGTGTTTATTAATGAGAAATTTTATATATTATTTTTCACAAAAACATTTATTTGTATAATAAAATCATGCTATAAATCTATAAAAAATGCTATATTATCTTAAAAAGATTCCTTATTGAGATTTTCGAGAATATTTGTGAATATTCTAATTATTAATTCCTAATTATTATATATTGAATTTTTTCTTTTAAAAAGCTCATATAAAAATCTTGTTGTCAAAAAAATATTATCTATTTCTTAATTATAGGTTATTATTTCTATAAAATTTAATGTTTTTTCTTGTATTTGAGGATTCTATTCTTAATAATTTATTAAGTTTTTGAAAATTCCATTTAAAATTAAAGAGTCTTTATTTATTAAATACTCTTATATATATTGAATATTTTAGTATATTAGTTCAGTTGATAGTCTAATTATTTAATAAGTTTTTTATAAATCAAAATCATTTTATAGATATTCTATTAAATGATTATTTAATTGAGTATTAGGTAAAAATAGTTATATTATTATTTAATGTAAATCATTAAATTATTGATACTAATTATTTGAGATTATTTAAATAAGTATTTATAAACATATTTTTAATATCTTTTTTATATTATTTAAAAAAAATATAAAGAAAGAATAAATATTATATTATATAAATTTGAACATTTTTTTTTTTTATAAATATAAAAAATATAAACAATAAAAATAAATATAATAAAATGTATTAAATACATTTTTATACAGATTTTCAAAAAAATATGAAAAAACTTTATAATAAAAATAAATAAAAATGGAAAAAAAATATTAATATCAATCATATAATAATTATTTTATGTAAATTTTCAATATTATAAAAATGAATAAATGAAATATCAATAAATAATTGAATTTATGTTTATATTAAATAAATAAAAGAAATAATTGATAAAAAAATAAAATATTAAATGAATAAAAAATAATATATATATATATAATATATATATATATATATTTATTTATATATTTATATATATATATTTATATATATATGTTTATATTACTTCATCTTCTTCATAAAAATTTGAATATTTTTATTATAATATATATTATATTTAAGAAGGAAATTAATTTTAATTTTCACTTTTTATTATATTTATATTTTATTCTAAGGATTTTAATATTTCTTATAAGTTTTTTTTAAATCATAAAAGTTTCTTTTTGATATATCTTTTCTTTATATTATTATTTATAATTAATTTATTTATTACTGCTAACTTATTATTTATACATTTTTTTTTATATTTGTTTATTACATTCTATTCATATTAATTATCTACGTATTTTTTCTCTTTCTTATTTCTTTTTAAAATTTAGTTTTTTAGTTATATAAATGCCTTTTTATTATATCTTAGTTTTCTTAATAATAATATTCTTAATTTATTTTTTCCATATTTTTTAATTTTTTACTATAATATTTATTTAGCTTAAAAACTTAATTAAATATTTTTTTTTTTTAATTTAGAAAATTTTTATATTATAATTAATTTTTGCTAAATATTTTAAATATAAAAATAATATATATATATATATATATATATATAAGCATTTTAATTTTATTATTTTTTTATTTTCATTTTCAACACATTTAAATATAATATTATTAACTTTAATACATAGGCTAAAAAGATGGTAAATTTACTATTACTTTATTAGGTAAATTAAAAAATCTTTTAAGTATCATACAAGTTTATAATTGATTAGGAATATTTTATTTATTTTTACAATTTGTATCACATTAATATACTTAATGAATAATACTATAACCAATCGCAAAAGCAGTCTAGTATATATATATATTTTTTTTAATAAAAATACAAATATAAATAGAAATTACTTTTATATTTTAATATTTAAAAGTTGATCTAGACACATTATTTTATGGATATAATGGGTCAAATATTTATATTTTTCCTTAATTTAAAAGATCCTATATTTTATTAAAATATAAATATGTATATATATATAAATATATATATATAAATAAATAAATATATATATATATATATTATTTTTTTACATAACTAGTATCTATTATATAAGAATTGACATTATTCTATGATTCGATTCTATAAGGTTTAACATATTTATATTTATAATCATCCATTCCATAAAATAATAAAAAATCTACTAGAAGTTAACCTAAACAAGGCCAATTATATTCATTATTTTCATTTAATCGAATATCTTCAAATTTTAATTTCATCTTTTTTTTATTTTTTTAAATAAATAAAAAAAAAAACACACAAAAATAAAAATAAAAACAAAAACAATAATAATAAAAAAATACTTATAAAAAATAAACAATCATTAAAATTAAAGAATATGAGCTTAATCCACCTGTATAAGTATCATTTAAGTCTGAAGTATAAAGGAATTATTTCAGTACCAAAGCTAATCCTTTTAAAGGTTTATAAAAGCCTAAATATTCATTAACTAAATCCACACATTTTAATCCATTATGCATTGGTTCTTAGATTGTAATATCTAATCTTTTGCCTTTATATTCTTTAGTACATGTAATTTTGAGTACTTAAATAATTGCTTTGGAAATATGTTATGTAGAAAAAATAAAATCCTTTTGTTTTTTTAATAAATTTTCTATATTCATTAATATTTGATTTTGGTTTTCACTAAAAGACTCGATTTAAATAACTAAATCAATATCAGACCAAGGCAGGCAAAGCTAAGTTGCAAAAGATCCATATATATGTATTTTAGCATTTTAATATTCCTAGTTTATTGTATTAGTGAATTTATTTATTAATTGATCGAATAAAAGCTTATTTAAACTATTATAAGAGTCTACTTCCTATTCAAATTGCTTTATTTCTTATGTTAAAAATGGAACTAATTATTAACAGTTCATAATTTGAGTTTCTTATAATTCAACATCGTAACGAGGGTATCTATCGAAACATTTTTAATCTAAAATATCATCTTAACAACTTATTAGGATTTAATTTTGGTTTTATGTTATTTAATTTTAGGGTAATGGTTTGTTTTCTAGCAATTATTATTTTTCAGATATTTGTAATTTTTCTGAATTTTTTTATTGTTTTTGTTAATTTTATAAATCCTTTTTGGTGAGTTTTTTATTTTTTATAGAAAATAAAAATTTACTTTTATTTATTCACTTGCCATTTTTAATCTCATTTCTGTATCTTTTATTCTCGCTTCCATATCTTTTAGTCGAGATTCTCTGTCTTTTAATTTGATTTCTAATTAAATGCATTTTGCTTAACAATTTTAATTTGAATATTATTAACTGTTTTAATACAATTCTATTATTCTCTTTTATTTATATTGTTTAAAGTTTATTATTTTTAAAAATAAAATAATACTTTAGTATCTTCTTTTAATTCTTTCATATTTTATTATGTTGATATATTCACTACGTATACATTTGGCTCATTATTACACTTTTTAATTATATTATTATTTACTTCTATATATTATCTTGGAGGTTGATTATTATTATAAATTTGCTAATTAAGATAATTCTAAACATCTTTTTTTTTAATAAAATAATATAAATAAAATAGAAGTTAATTATAATTAAAGAGTATTGTTAAAAAATATCAATATATGTTTAGTTTTTAAATTCAAATTAAATATTTTATATTTATTTGTATTTTATTTACTTTCTTTTTTTTCATTTCTAATAATTTATCTTATTTAAAATAAAAAAATTGTAAAATTTATTAATATTATTTATACTATGATCCATCAATGATAAAATCTACTGAATTTAATTAATTTTGAATTTAATTATCTCCTTCTTCTATGTATTTATCAATATTCATTTTAATAAAATATTAATATATTTTTTTTTAATTTTATATAAATATATAAATTAAATTTTTAATTTATTATATAAAATAAATAGATTTGAGGAATATAATACAATATAAAATAAATTATAAAATTATTTATTTAATATATATTTATATATATATATATATATATATATATATATATATATATATATTTATACTAAAAAAAGATAATGACTAAGAATAGATAAATAAAAATTATTTAAAAGATATTAATAAAATAAAATAATTTTAATAATGATATAATAATAAGCAAAAATGGATTAAAAAAGATTCGAGGAATTAGTATAAGATGCAAAAGATTGCGATCCTGATAAAAAATTTATGGCCGCAAATGATTTATCAAATGCTTTATCAAAATATTAACTTTAAGCAAAAGACTATGATAAAGTTGTATCTATATTATTAACTTAATTAAATGATGAATCTTCTGAAGTTTAAGGTTATATATATTTTATTTTCAATTTGAGTTAAATTACAAATACATAGGAAATTCTATTAGATGTCTTTCAAAAATTATTTCAAAATTATAAGAAAGTTAAATAGAGAATGTGGCTAAGACAATGATTTAAAAAGTTATAGAAGACAGAGGAGAATATAAAGATGTATATGCTACTTGTTTAAAAACTCTTATAAATGATGTTCCTTCTAATTATGCTAAATCTGTCTAGCCTGTATTTTTACATGCAGTTACCAGTATTATATAATATAATTTTTTAAATAAAAAAATATTATTTAGAGATGGAATAAAATAAAGGAGAAAAAAATTATGAAGTTGAAGAAGAACTTTGTGATATTTTAAATATTCTTTTCAAAAAATGGGCATAAGTACTTTCTACTTAAAATATGAGTATGAAAAGCTTGACTAATATTCTTATGAGTAAAAATATATACATATTTAAACAAATATATATATATAAATATAAATATAAATATAAATATATATAAATATAAATATATAACTTATTATATAATTAATTATATATATATATACAAATATATATATTTAATAATATAAAATTTTAATTTAAAACAGATAATATTCTTAATATTGATAGAGTTTCTTTAAAAAAAAAATCTTGTAGTTGCTTAGGTAGTTTAGGGCTTCTTTTGCCTAAAGATGAAGTAATAAAAACTGTAAACACACTTTTAGAAAATTTAAAAAAACCTCCTTTAAATTAATTAGTATTTAATATTAATATATTCTTTTTTATATTATTATTTTTTAAAATAAAAATTATTAGTATTATTATTTAAAAGAAAAATAAATTTTTATTATTCATGCTATAAGTGCTTTATCAAAAACAGTATCAAGAAAATTAGGAGTCTGTTTAAAATAGATAGTTTAATTGATAGTATCTAATATATAAGAATATATGACTGGAATAGAAGAATATGATTAAATTATAATTATTTCGGAAATGTTTGAATTATATTTAGGAATACTAGAAAATTTAGTTAAAAATTCACATGACGAGACAAAAGAATTTTTCAATTAAATAATTGATTTAACATCTGAATTAATAAATTATGATCCAAACAGAACTGCATAAATAGATGATTAATAAGAAATGGAAATCGAATGTAATATAATTTTATAAATAAAATAACATATTTATTGTAATATTCATTAAATATTTTAGAAGATGAAGAAGATTATGATTATTATTCAGAAGATTAAGATTCAGATGAATGTTCATGGAGAGTAAGAAGAGCATCTTTATAATTAATAGAAACTTTAGTAAAAAGTGATAGCGAATTAATAAAATATATATTCGAAAAATGTATTTCTTAAAATACTTAAAAAAATATCATTTAAAGGTTAATGGAAAAATATGAAAATATTAGATTTGCTAATTTCTAATGTTTATAAACAGTTATTAAGTCAATAGTTATTTCTGACGGAAATTAAGATAAAATAGAAGATGAAGATTTAGATTTTGGGTAAACTCTGTTTTTGGTTCGTGTAAAATCTTCAGTAAAAGATTTTAATATATCAGAAATTATTAATGACATATTAACTAAAATAGAAATAATTATAACTAAAGTATTTTTTTTAAAAAAAAATAATAAAAAATATAATATTTTATAATTAAATATATATAATAAAAAAAAATATAAAATAAAAAAATTAAAATTAAAATTAAATATAAAATATTATAATTATTAAAAATAATTTTATTAATTAATATGAATTATTAAATAATATACTTATATATATATATATAATATATAAATATATATTTATGTATATATATATTTATTTTATATCATAATTATTTTTTTTAAATTCAATTTATATTTTTTTATTATTTTTAAATAATACTTTTATTTATTTATATTAGGAAAAAAAAAATTCATAAGCTGTATAAGTAAGCGCTTTTAAATTAATTGAAAGTGTATGTGGAAATTTAAGCAGATAAATAATAAGCGAACCTAAAATTTGGCAAAAAGCCTTAAATTTAATTTAAAATACAATTTAAAATAAACTAAGTGCAAACGAATTAAAAGTTTTATCATTTATTAGTTTAAGAAAATTATTAAAAAACTAAAATGAAAATTCTAACTGCATTTAGCATGTTTAAAAGAATGTTTTTTAAATTTTCAAATTATGTTAATTAGGTTTAACCTAGGAATATTTTAAAATAATAAGTGAAACATTTAGATGTTTGAACTCTTTATTTGAAATTATAAACAAATAATTTAAAAGTTAAGATTATATATAGGAAATTCAGACAATTTTCCCCTAAATATTAAGTAGATTGAAAAGTTCTGATATTGATCAAGAAATAAAATAGTCTGTTTTAAGTTGCAGTTCTTCCCTTTTACTTAATGTTCATTTAAATTTGAATGTTTAATAATTAGAGGAAGTTTTTAGTGCAGTCAGTGAAAAAATAAAGAGCGAAACTAAAAAGATTCCCGTTTTAAAATTGATTAAAAAAGTCCCTGTTTCAATCACCTCATAAATTTAAAGTAGTAGTACTATTTTGGCTACTTTAAATAAAATTTCTTTGGATATTTCAGACTTTTTATAAAAATAAGATAGATCTTTAAGAGTCTCGTCTTTGGAAGCTTTGGAGAAGTTAATTTAAATTCTAAGTGAATCTAAAAATGTACTCAATGAATAAACTAAAGACAATATTATACAAAAATCATGTGATTTCTTAAATGATAAAGACACATATATAGCTCAAATTGCACTTTAGTTAATCCGAAAAGTAATTTAAAACTCGCCTAAAAATTCAAATTCTTATATTTAATTATAAAATACTATAATATAATTATGTAGTTCTTAAATAGTTTCCTCTACATCTTCCTTTAATTCCCTATATGATGTTTTTGGAGAATTATCAGCTAAAAATGTGCTTAATAGAAAATAATGTATAGATAAATTATATGAAAACTCAAATAAAGATTCTTTAAATTCCATTTCTAAGGCTATTTGTGCTATTATTTTATAATCAACTGAAAATGACTTTTTGGACTTTTTATGCACATCAGCCTGTAATATAAATGAAAATAGTCTCAAGAGATAGGTTTCTTTATATACTTTAGGCGAATTAGGTAGACATATAAATCTATGTAATGTAAATAATATTCTTAGTAAAGTAGAGGAAATTGTCAATAATAACAAAAATAATAACGAAGATATTCGAATTGCTGCCTCATTAGCTTTAGGAGGTATTGCATTTGGGAATTTAGAGTAGGTTTTACCTTAAGTAATATAGACTATTAATATAGGGTAAGAAGGGCAGTATTTAATGTTGAATGCCTTGAAGTAAATTATTGAACATTCTAGTGTTTTATCTCCTTCTATTATATAGATTATTCCGAATTTATTTAAAGCAGCTTAGAAAGATGATGAGTCTTTATGTAATATTATTTCGTATATTATCGGGAAGGTATGTCTTTTGGATATTAGGAGTATGAAATAATTAATTATTTAGAATTTGAAAAATAAAGAAAATAATAATATTAGATATACAACAGCCAGTTCTTTTAAATATTTTTGTGTTAAAAATGTTAAAGTCGAAAATGAAATTAAAGAATTAACTTTTGAATTGTTAGAGAATATCTAAGATTCCAATTTTAGGACTAGGGCAGCTATTTTAAAGTCTCTAAATGTAATTGCATATAATATTCCACAAGCGATATTACCTCATGTTAGTAAATAAGAGTTCTTCTTGCCTTTATAGAAAAGCTTGAAGCTGTTTTAGGTTAAAGAAATTGATTTTGGACCGTTTAAATAGAAAAATGATGAAGCTGAACCGGTTAGAAATGCAGCATTTTCACTAGTAGATACTGCTATTGATCATTTACATTATAGAGGAGTTGAAAATTTCGAAAGGGAAATTATTTAAGAGGCTTTAGATTAATTTGGTATGTTATATTTTATATATATTTATATAATAATATATATATTATAGCATGTGAATCTTCAGAAGATATTAAAATTTTGAGATTTTAAATTATTAAAAAATTGGCTTTAAAAGTACCTCTTAAAGTTACTCCTTTCTTAGATAATATTTCAGAAGTTTTTCTTAATGTACTTAAACCTTATGCTAGTAAAAGTGATGGTGATAGAGCTGCTGATATGATTAGAATTGGGTTAAAGACTGTTGTGACACTTAAAAATATTGCTGAAGATGAAAATAATTAGAAATATATATAATTTTGGGAATTAGTTATGAAAACCGAGAAATTTAAGAATATTATTAATTAAATGTTTAATTGATATTATTCACTTCTTTTTTTTATTTTTTTCTTTTTTATTATTATTTAATTTTTAATTATTATAATTTTTTTATTATTAATAAAAATTTATTAATTTAATTTTTTTTTTTTATAAATAATTTTAATAAATAAATTTTTTATTTATAAATTTTTTTTTTCTAAATAATATTTTATTAATATAGTTAATATTAATTATAATTTAATTAAAAATTATTATTAATTAATCATATTAATAGAAAAAATACAATATTTTTATTAATTTATATATTTAATAATGATTTATATAGTCTCTAAAAATACATATCAAAAATTTATTATTAGATACATAAATAAAAAATATTAAATAATAATATCTTTTTTTCAAATAAAACAAATAAATACCGAATTTTTAAATTAATAAATTTAATATATAATTTTTCAAAAAAAAAAAAAAAAATTATCAAAATATTTTCAAAATTTAAAAATAATATATAAAAAAATATATATATAAAAATAATAATAAACGATAATAAAAATGAATACTTTTTTTAGATGTTTTAAACATCCATTAAAGAAAGTAGAAGCCTTATGTACAGATACAACTTGTAATAATTATAGGTTTTTTTGCATTTAATGCTTTTTCGATTATTCTGATCATTTTATAAATCATAAACAAAATATTCATGAAGTCAATAACATTTTAGAGTTTTATATAAAAAATATATAATAGAATTCTTATATAGATTAAAGTTTATAAAATATGTTTAAGAGTATAAAAGATTATGAAATATAAATCGAATAAAAACGTAAAGAATATATAAAAATAATAGATGATATATAAAGAACTTTTGAATAGGAAAAAAAATAAATAATAACAGAGATACATTCATATCTTTCGCATATTTAATAAAGTTTATATTAAAACTATGAAATTATTAATTAAAAATATAGAATGTAAAACTTAGATTGTTTAGATTTGAGCAAAATTGAAAATGAGAAGGAAATAACAGATTATTTTGAGAAAATTATTTTTAGCTAATAAATATATGTAAAATAAGAATATGATAATGAAGCTTTTTAATTTTATAATAATATTTAAAAAATATTATTAGAATTAGAAATTGTTTAAAATAATTAAGTTTAGAATTATATAATAAATTAATAAAATATATTCAAAAATAAGTTTAAAGAACTTAAAAATTTACTTTTTTAATAATAAAATAACAATCTCTCATTTATTAATAATAAAGAACAATATTCTAGTATAAAAAAAATTAAATCCCCATCTTCGTTTGAAAATAGTATAGCTAATTATTTTTCTATAAAAAATTAAGATGTAAATAATATTATAAATAGCAAAAATATCAATAATAATAATAATAATAGTAATAATAATAATAATAATAATAATAATAATAATTATAGATAAATTTTTAATAATATTGAAAATAATTTTATGAATAATTAAAATAAATAATATTAATAAAATTTATAAAATTAAACTCTTAGTTTAAAAAATAATTAAGCTTTTTATTCTAAAGGTTAACCTTAAATTAATAAAAATAATATAATAAATCAAAATAAAAATTAAATTGAATAAAATATGGATTTGATAGTTTAAAAAAATAAAAATGAGATTAATGCTAATAATATAGAAATTTTACAAATTGATAGTTATATAGATGATTAAAATTAGTATGACATAAATAAATATGAAAATTAAAATAATATATTAATTAAAAATTTAAAAAATTTAAAAATAAATAATAATAATAATAATAAAAATAATAATAATAATAATTTTAATAATAATAATAATTATAATAATTCATTTATCTAAAATACAAATAAAAATTAAAATAATAACATCAGTTAAAATAACATTAATAATAATTTTAGTTAAAATAATATTCACTACATTAGTTCAAGAAATATAGATTAGAAATTAAAAAATTCTTCTCAATCAGCATCTATATTTCCGTAAAACCCTATCGAAGACACCGACTATCTTCACACTAAAGGAATATTAGCATTAATAGTTTTTCAAGAAGATAACTTAAAAAAAATTATAGCCTCAGGATCTTTAGATTGCACAATAAAAATATGGAAATTACAATCAAATAGCTTTGATTTAATAAAAACTTTAAAAGGACATAAAGCTTATATATCTTGTTTACTCAAAATAGAAAAGGACAATAATATATTTCTTGTCTCAGGTTCATAAGATGGCGCAATAATAATATGGAATCCTATTTTATAAGGGCATGAATTACTTTTTAAATTTGAAGATCATACAGATTTAATTTGTTAAATTATATATTATGACAATGAAATATATACATGTAAAAAAATTATATTTATTTTAAAACAAATATTTTAAAAATGAGGTTCATTAGATAAAACTATAAAAATATTAAATGTAGATACATTGAATTATACATTTGAAATAAAAGAGGAATAAATTGCAATTACTAATATGTGTTTATTTTAAAATTTTTAAACGAAATCTGTTTATATAGCAGGAGCTTAAGGTACAGGCTTTAAAATTTGGCAAAAGAAAGAAAATTAACAAAATTTTAGACTTAATTTTTATAATAATCAAGCTCATAAAAGTGGAATTTCATGTATTGAAAAAATAAGAAAAAATAATGTGGATATAATAACTGCTGGAAACGACGGAATTATTAAATTATGGAATTTATAATAAGGATAATGTATTTAATAGTTATTTGGACATTGTAATATTGTGTTTTAATTTTGGTATGATGATATTTTGGGAATTTTGTATACTGGAAGTACTGATAAAAGTCTAAGAGTTTGGGATATGGAGAAAGAAATTAAAATCATAAAAAATGAAAATTTATATAATGAAGAATTTATTAAAAAAGGATAGTTTATTGTTTTTAAAAATAATAAATTTATACTAGCAGCTTCTAATAATTCTAATATTATATCAGTAATTTTATTTTGAACAAAAAATAAATATGTATATAAAATTTTATTTATATTTTATATAATTATTATTCTTATTAAAATATTATATATTTAATTTTTTTTCATTCGTTTTCTTCTTATAATAATATATATGACTCTCTATCCAGAATTTAAAAAGCAATAATTAAAGGTTTTATACTAGATATAGTGGAATTATTTTATGTCATTTTTTCAAGTAAAATATCTGTGATATTAAGCCAATCTTCTTTTTATTTATCATCTATAGACTTTATATTGGAAAATCTCTATTTTATTTCTTAAATATTAACTTCTAATTATTAAATTATTTAATCATATTTTTATTTTATTTAATATTAATTTGTTATATTTAAAAATCTATCTTATGATTCATCTGTAAATAATTCATATTCTAAACTTATTACTGCAAATTTATCAAAAGAGAAATTCTTTTCTCCTTCATCATCTATTATATCTGCATTTTCCTAAAATATTTAATATAATTGATAATCATCGAATTTGTCAGGTTCTATATGTCTATTTAAAAGACTCCATTCTGAAAAGTTACATTTTTTATTTCCATCTAAATCACAAGCATTAAAAGCATTTATTACATATTATTTTGCTCTGTTTATTAATATTTTATATGTCTGGAGTAATCTAAACATATATTAATCGAAATCTATTATTTATACTTTATTATTGTCATAAAATTTTAATTATTCCAAATCTATTCGCAATTCTTAATTTTCATCAGGTTTCATTCTAGAATCGCCAAATTAACTTATATAATGAACAGCTTTTATATATGGTACTATATATTCCTAATCATTTTCTGAATTTAAATAATGTTTTCCTATTATATAAAATTAAAATAAACTAAAATATATAAATAAAAATTTTATATATAGAAATTAATATAAAAAATATAAATATAAATATTTATATAAAAAATGTAAATATATAATATATACATATAAATATATATATATATATATTTATATATATATATATTTATATATATATATTTATATTTATGAATCTTATTTACCTGCTTATGAAACATTATTTATAAAATCAAGAACATCTATATATTTATTAAATTCTTCTGTAGAATAATTTTAACTAATTTCTTATAAATTTAGAAATTTAGAGAACATATTAACTCTGAAAATATGTAAATATTTTTTTACTGAAAGAATTAAAATTAAAAATTTTTAATCCGCAATTTTTTTAATTGCATACATTTAACTATAATAATTATATGAATAATTACAAAATTCTATGTCTTTTATGCTTGCGTTTTCTTTGGTCTAGTTTAATCTTTCATTATATATAGTATTTATCTATTTAAGAACAGTTTTTAGACTCATATAGTTATTAAATTTAGTTATTTTTAAATTTTTAGTTTATTCTATTATTTTTTTTCCTACATTTGTATTCTTTTAAAATTCATAAGCTATATTTATTTTTTTCCCTAATTCAAATCCTTTTGGTATAATTTATGCTTTTCTAACTTTTTATAAATTATGATCATGTTAATTTTAAATGTTTTTTTTTTTATGTTCATTTGGAATTTCTTCCTCGGATTTTTTTTTTTCGATAGGATTTTCTTGTTTAGTATTTATTTCTTGATTTTTTAATTTTTCTTTTATTATTTCTTCATTTATTTATATTATTAAATTTTCTTTTTCGTTTAATTTACTTTTTAAAACCTCTATTTGATATTCTAGCTCTTTTATTTTTACGTTTAATTTTCCGTTTTAAATTATCGTTAATTAATACATTTAATTTAATTCTGGTTGATTTTCGTTTGACTATTCTTAAAAAAAATTAAATTATTTAATTTCTTATATTATCTTTATTATATTATTCTAAGTTAATATTTATTTTAAGCAATTTTTAATTATTTAATTGTTTTTTTCTTGTTCGCTTTTTTGAATTTCCATTAAATTTTTTTCTATTTAATTATCATTTTGATATTAATTTATATTTTATTCATTTTAAACCGAAAAATTCAAAAAGAATGGCTCAAATAGATTTTCAATAATATTTTTGAATTAACATACAAATGAAGTATTGATTTTAGATTTATTTTCATTTTATTTTTAATTTGTGTTTTATTCAATAATTAATTATTATTTACATTCAAAAAGTTAAAAATAATCATCAAAAACTTCTTAAGAAGTAAAGATTTAATCGTATTTTAAATCTAATAAAAGCACATTATCTGTTTGAGTATTTTTTTCGAAAAAAAAAGAATTTAAAAATTCTTAATAATCAATTTAAGTAGTTTTATTTTCTATTTTTATATTAATTTCATTATTTATGAAATTTAATTATTGAATATTTATTATTTCTTAATTATCATTTTCATCATTTTAAAAAATAAAATTATTATTCTCAATTTCATCTTAATTTTCATCTTCTTCTTATTCATCTACTTATATTTTTAAGTTTTAAGAAATATTCTGTTATTTTTTTATTTGTGTTTCAGATAAGTTTATACTAATGGCTTTTTCTTAAGAAAGCTTTCTTTATTATTATATTTTCAATTTTTATAATTTTATTTTTTCGCCATAATTTTCGATTATATTGTCTACTTTTTATTTTTAAAGAAAATGTTTTTTTTTTAAATATTAACAAATAAGTTTTGTTTTAGTTAACTCTTAAAGATTTTCTTTAATTTTTAAGTCTTTTTCGTTTATTTATTCTAGTTTTTCTTTTATTGTTTATTCAAATTCATTTATTTAGTAATATAGACTAACTATTTTTTAATTTTTTTGAAATAATTAATCTTTTTATATATATATTAAATCATTTTTTTCTTTTTCTAATTTTTATTTCATATTAGAAAGTTATATTTGAAGTTATTTTTCCTTTTTTTAGGAAAAAGATTTTCTTTGATTTTCCAAAAAAACAAAAAACTCATATTTTTCAAGGCAGTCATTTTTAAGTATTTTTTCAATTTCTAAAATTCCGATTTTGACAATTTCTTCATATTATTTTTAATCAAATAATAAATCATTTATTTTAAAAAATTCTTCGAATTTTTTTTACAATTATTTTATTTCTGTTCTTGCTTTTTTATATTTTTTTTTTTAAAAAAAAAAGTTTTTTATTTACTTGAATTTCCATCCTATATACGGATTTATTATTAAATTTAATTTTTTATAGTTTCAAAATTTTTTTAAAAAGAAGGATTTTTTTCTTTAGATTTTTAGTTAGTTTCTTCTTGACTGGTAGTTGTAATTCTTTGTGAAAAAAATATGTTTTTTTCAATTTTTTATTATAATGTATTTTCTCTTGTACGAGTAGTTTTTATAATATTCCTTGCTGAATTCGGAAAGTCTAAAATTTTTTTATATTGTTGAATTTCTTATAAAATATTTTGTTTGAAAAAATTTTTATCTTAATTGATTTTATTTTTTTTTATTTAAGTTAATAGTCCTTAGTTTTTATTAGCATTTTTTTTTCTTTCTGTTTTTGGCGTATTTTATTAAGAAAAAACAGTTTCTTACGAATTATTATGTAAAAAGGTTTTTGTAAAATTTCTTTATGAAAATTCACTTGAATTGTTATATTTTTAAAATTGAAAAAAACGTTCACACCTCTATTTTAATTCATTAGTAATAAAGTTTTTTTAATTTGATCTATTTATTTTTATGTTTATTTATATAATAAATAGTTAATGTTTATTTCATTATTTAAAAAAAAAAAATATACTTATTACGAATATTAAGTATTTATTTTTAATTATAAAAATTCTTTTTCTTAAGATACGTTTTTTAAGTTTTATCTTTATTGTGTTTTTTATTATATTAAATACTTAAAGTTATTTGTTTAAGACTTGTTCATTTATTTGGTTATTTTTTCTATTTATTATATAGATCTTATTGTACTTTATGTTTAAGCAAAGCGATTAGTTGTGCTTACTGATAAGCATCTTTAATCTTTTAATTTACTTTACATATATATATATATATTTATTTTAAAATTATAATATTTTTTTTTATTTATTTATATTTGAAATTAATTATTCAATTACAAAAAAATACATAATTAAATTAATCGTTTAAATAATAAAATTTATAAATAAATATAAAAGCATAAAAAAATAAATTTAATAAAATATTAGTTAGTTTAACTTAAAAATATAATATATAATTTTTTAAATAAATTTTTATTAATTAATTTATTAAATTAATTATTGATTTTTTCGTTTCTTTTTCTATAACTAATTTATTATTTTCTATTTAATTTTATTTTATATAAATAAAACATTTACTTTACATATATATGTTTATAATCTTTTATAAAAAAGATAATTATTATATTGTTTTTTTATCAATATTTTTTTTTTTTTTTTTTTTCGAAGAAAAAAAAATATATATAAAAATTTACTTTTTAGTTAAAACTAAAAAAAAATAGTTCTATACAAATTAACAAATTATATATAAAGAAATAAAAATTTTAAATAAAATAATTTATTAATATTTTTTTATATTTAAAAAAATAATAAAAAATACAAAATTCAACTAAATCCATCTTTCCCACAACAAAAATTTTTTCTTGGTAAATAAACTCCATCTTATAATTTTTTATTTTTATTAGTAGAAGTATTATAATCATTAGAAATACACAAATCATATATTTCTAAAAATAAAAAATGTATAAAATTAATATATAAAAATATCTATTTTTATTTTATTTTATTTTATTTATTTTATTTTTAAAAAAACCAGAAACTAATTAAGTAAATGCTGTATCAATATTAACGTCTTCTAAAGCGCTTACTTCTATATATTATATTCCACAAGCTTAAGCAAAATCACAAGCTTCATTTAAACTTACAGCCCTTAAATTAATTAAATCGCATTTATTTCCAACCAAAAGAATTTGAGTATGTTTTTCACCATAATCTTTAATCATTTATAACCATTATTCGCAACTTTAAAACGTTGATTTTTTTGATATATCATATATCAACATAGCACCTATTGCTCCTCTAAAATATTATTAAGTTACAGCTTTAAATGTTTCCTAACCGGCTGTGTCCCATATTTATAATTATATTATTTTATCTTCGGCCGTTATAACTCGGTTAGCGAACTCGACTCCGATTGTTGACGTATTGTCTATTTGGAAATCTTCTCGAGTAAATCTTGATAATATATTACTTTTTCCTACTGCTATGTCTCCTTTTATTTTTTATTTTTTCAGTTTTTTTTTTCAGTTTTTTTTTTTCAGTTTTTTTTTTATTTTAATATTTTTATTTATATGACTATATTTGCTATTTTAAATTTTATTATTTACCTACTAATACTATTTTAAATAAAAAATCATAATTATATTTGCATTATTCAATTTCCATTTTTTTTATTTATAATATTTTATTTTATTAATATTTTTGTTTTATATATATATATTTTTTTTTATTTATTTAAAATTTATATTAATTAGTAAATAATTTATTTATTTATATTAATTTTTTATTTATTTAATTATAAATTAAATATATTAAATTATTATTTAAATATTTTTATTTATTTACAAAAAAAAAAAAAATATAATTTATTTATAATAATTAAAATTATAATTTTTTTTTTAAAAAAAATTATAATAATAAATTAAAATTAATTTAAAAAAATAAAATTATAAAAATGCAAATTTTTCTAGAATAATATATAAAAATAAAAAAAACCTAAAAAATCTAAAACGCATCAAAAGAAAAACATTTTAAAAAAAAAAAAAAAAATATGCCGGAAATAAAAAACTCGATTTTCAACGGAGAACGTGAAATAACTCTATCTGATATAAAAGATGCTATACCAGCCCATTTATTTAAGAGATCTGAGCTCCGTTTTTTTATCTCAGTCTTCAATTCTGTGAGCCTAACCCTATTAACAGCTTACATAGCACACAAAGTAATACCTTTATAACTCTCTTATACCCCTTTATGGCTATTATATGGTATAATAAATGGTACAATAGCAGTAGGAATATGGATTTTAGGACATGAATGCAGTCATGGTGCATTTTCTGAAAAGAAATGGGCTAATGATTTATTAGGATATATATTACACACTATAGTTTTCGTGCCTTATTTTTCATGGTAATACTCCCATAATATCCACCATTCGAAATGTAACAATATAATCGAGGATGAGACTCATGTTCCTAAAAAAGAAGGAAATCCTAGACTTTATGTATGGTAGAAAATCAAGGAAAAACTTGGTACTGAATCTTTATCTATTATTTATTTACTTAATTTAACTTTAATTGGATTGCCATTATATTTAATGTTCGGAGCCTCAACAGGTTCTTCTAGAAATTTTAGTTCTCATTTTATTGTACCTAATGATCTTTTTAATGGAAAAATGCTGTTTAAAGTACACTTATCGAATTTAGGAATAGTCTTTGTAATCTATTTGTTATATTTATGGGCTAAAGCTACATGTTTTATGTAAGTTTTGTTCATTTATTTGATTCCTTATGTTGTTGTAAATGGGTGGATTTCAATTATTACTTTCCTATAACATAATGATGAAGATGTTCCTCATTTCGATAATAGAACTTGGAGTTGGCTAAAGGGTGCTATGTGTACTATTGATAGAAATTATCCAGAATACATTAATGCATTGCATCATAATATTGGAAATACACATGTTTTACATCATGTTTTTCATGAATTACCTCATTATCATGCGAGAGAAGCAAATGTTTATTTTAAATAAATTGTAGGAAGTGCATATATTTAAGATAAAAAAACTATATGGTAGGCTATATTATCAAATAGTAAATTAATTTGTGTTAAAGAAAAGGAAGAAGGAGTTTATTATTATAAATGATGTATTTAATAATATATATATATATATATATATATAAATATATAAATAAATATATAAATAAATATTTATATATATTTATATATATTTATTTTATTATAATTATTTATGTATTTATTTTTTATATTTTTTATGAATTATTTTTTAAAATTTTCTATATATAATTTTTAATCTATAATATATTATTTCTTAAAGTGCATAAATTATTATTTTTCAAATATAATATTAAAAAATAATAAATTTGTGAAAAAATGTATATAATAAATATATTTGTACTTTTAATAATATATTTTTATTTATAATACATATTTATTTAAATATTTTTTTTTAATATATTTATTTTTTATATTATTAAATTTATTTATTATAGACAAATTATATAATAATAAATAATATTTTAGTAATTATAAATAATAAAAATATTAAGATATTTAATATATTTTTATGTTTAAAAATATTTTTAATTCAAATATTAATAAAAAATATCTATGATAATAGGAATTTTAAATAAATATGGAAAATAAATAAAAACATAGCAAATCTATATTATTTCGTATGATATTAACTTAATAAGTAAAAATAAATATAACATTTTTTTTTTTTTTTATTTATTCAATTATTAAATAAAATTATAAATTTTTGTATTATATATAATAAAAATATCTTATTTTCTATTTATTTAAATAATTTAATACTTTAAATAATAATTTTAAATTTTAACTTCTATATATGTAAACAATATAAGAGAGCTTTGTGAAATAAAAATATATTACAATTCATATAAAATTAAATATACAAGAACTTGAATGGTTTTAAAAATAAGTATAGCTTATTATTTTTAATTTAGATTGATAAAAATTAATGATACACTCGATTAAACGGAAATTAAGAATAAGAATATACTAAATTATATAAATAAAAATGTATGAAAACAAAATAAATATAAGAAAAAAAAAAAAAAAATAGTTACTTAATGAATATTAATTAAATTGTATGAATAACTCAATTTAATAAAAATATCGAAATTAAAGTATTTTAAAGTAAAAAAGAAAAAATAAATTTAATTAATATAGTTTTAAGAGTTTTGAAATAATTTTAAATACTTAAATGTTTAAATATAATATATATAAATTTAAAAACATAATAAGAAAAAATAATATAAATGATATAAAAATAATTAGAAAATATATAATTTATTATAAAAAAATATTTAATAAAATGAAGGATAGAAAATATTGATGACAAAATAATTTTAAAAATTAGAAAAATTATATATTATAGTACTTTAAATTTAAATAAAATTAAATGATGAATTTTATAATAATATTAAATATTGAAAATTATATAAAATATATATATAGGAAGAAAACATAGTAAAATAAAAATAAATAATATATAAATAATATATATATATATATATATATATATTTTTTTTTTTTTTTATATATATATTTATTTTTAATTATTTATATATATTTTTATATATATTTTTTTTTTTTTTTTTATAAATATATATTTATATTCTTTTTTCTTTTATTTAAAAAATTCTCTATACATTTATAGATAAAAATTATTTTCTTTTTTTTAATATAAATATAAATAAAAATATAATATATTACTATGTTTAATATAATATTTTTAATTTTTGTTAATTTAATTTGTTGTGTATTCTTATATTTTTTTTAATTTTTGTACTTTTTATTTTGATTCTTTTTTAATTAATTTTTCATTTATAATATTCTTCATATTTATCCTTTTTTTAAATTTTATAATACTTTATTTACAATATTATCTTTATTGTATGTTTTTATTTCATTTAATTCCTATAATTAAAATTGATAAAATTATTTTATTAATTTTTAATTTACATCATCTATAGTTGGGTTTTTTCTATTAGATATATAATTATCATATCTTTTTGTAGAAGGGTGTAATACTTCAGGATGTAAATATTTTAAATCATTTTTGAACTATCGAAAAAATATTTTAAATAATATAAAATAATTTTATACCCATATTTCATTCATATAATAACACCAATAACAATAGATAAGAGGATAAATTAAAATAAATTATGACCAAAATAGTTTTTAAACAAATTAATTTTTTTTTAATAGTAAAAATTGTATATTTTCGTAAAATTCATTTGAAAAACTAAATAAAATCTTAAATTAGTTTTTTTTTTTTTTTTTTTTTTAATTTTATATAATATATATATGAAATTTTTTAATTTAATTTTTATTCTTTTATAAATAAATTTATTTTTATTGTATAATATTTATAAGAAATAATTAATTAGATTTTTTTATTAAAATAATATTCAAATTAAATTTTTATGATTATATTTTATTATTATTTAATAATTAATTGTATTTTATTTTATTATTCAAAATAAATGATTTTTTTTTTTTGTAAATATTACTTTTAGTAATAATCTATATAATGAAAACATTTTCTATATAATGTCCTACAATTAATGTTAAACTAAGTTAAATTAAATAATATATTTTTAAATAACATTTTTTTTATTTTAACAATAATAGATTTAAATGAAGATTAAGAAATTATTTAATTTATTTATATTAGTATGTCGAATTTATTACTTATTCGTTCTTAAGATAAAAAGTCGGGATCAACTACTTTAATTTATTTTAATATTCAAAAAGAATCTTATTAATTTCATACAATATGTAGACCATATTTTTTTTTTTAACTAATAATAAAATTAATACATAATACTAAATAAAAATAATTATAAAGTACAAAGTAGTTATCTTGATATGTAATATAACTTTGATATAGAATCTTTAGTTGCTTTGACAAATAAAATGTTATATATTTTAGATCCTTGTAGTTTTAAGTTAATAAATTCGTATGAACATTAAGAATTTTTTTAGAATATAATAGATTTAAGGTTAAGAGCTTATACTCCTTACTGCGATTACTTTTCAAACTGCTCTAGTAAACATAAGGACAGGATAATCTATTAAATATTTTTATGCTTGTATTTTTTTTTATTAAATATATAAAATATTCTAAAATTAAATATTAATTAGATAACTGGAAAGATATAATTGAAGAATATATGAGTGATTCTTAGTATATAATTTTATAAAGCGAATAGAATTTGATTATACTTTTAAAAAAGAGCAAAATCGAAGTATTTGATATTTAAAACATTTATTTATTTTAGATTGAAACAGGTAATAAATATAAATAATAAATGATTTAATAAATCCAAAAATAAATAAAGTTCCTAAAAATAACTAATATTAGTAAAAAATATATGGTTTTTTAAGAATAGATAATACAGATTTCGTATTTACTTTTAGTGCAAATATAATTAGAGCATGGAATTTCGAAGATCCTTAAAATTAAAATATTGAAAGACTAATTTTTGAATTAACAGGTAAAAAAAAAAAAAAAAAAAAAAAAAAATTAATTTTTTTAGTTGGAGAAAAAACCTCCAGTTTAAGAAATGCAAATAAAATTAAAAAAAATGATGAAATTTATATATATTTTAGTGAATTTATTGACAATTAACAAAATTCAGTATCAAATAAATTACATATATATAAATTAGTTATAAACAAAGAAAATAAAGAATGCTCTATTACACATTTTCTGACTCATAATATAACTTATAAAGTATTTGTTTTAATTGAGGGAACATTTTAAATGTATTTTGCTTATAAAAATTAAGTTTTTACTATGATTGATATATTTAATGAAAAAACTGAAATTAAATAAATTAGTTGTATTTAAATATTAATCATTAATTATTTTATTTATATATACTTTTTATTAATGTTATATATAGAACATTTAAGTTTTGAAACACTTCCTTCATATGTTATTCATGATTAAAAATTACTTTTATCAATAGATAATGAGGCTAAAGGATTAATATTTAAAGATTATAACTTTAATTTAATAAAACGTAAGTTTTTTGATAAATATGTTACTAATTTACCTAGAGGATTCAGCTAGTTTTATGGAGATGAAAGCTCCTTTGTAATAATTTCAAGGATTGAGGCAAAAATGGTTTCTTATTATCCTCATGGTTTTTATTATTTCAATATAAATACAAATAAAGTAAATTTAATAATTTTAAAATATATAAACAAAAAGAAAAATTAAAAAAAGGAAATATATTATTCATTAAATCATCCATCTTAAGTCAGAAAAGAAATAGTAGAATCATTTATATTTGAATAAGAATATTTCGTATGTTTTTTAATAAATCCTTATTATATACTATATGACAAAGATATATAAAAAATATAAGAATAATATAAATATCATAAGTATGAATGCATGAAAATCTCTTTAACATAATCATCCTATTAAGTATATGAACTTTCTCTAAAAGAAAAATATCCTTAAGGATATAGTGATGAACCTTATAGGTGTAAAGTTCATATTAAAGATAAATATCTGATATGTTTTGATTTAAGAGGTTAATTTCATAAATGGTCTATTCCAGATTTTAAACTTATATATTATGGAAAAAGTATTTTAAACCAATATATAAATTATTTTATATTAGTAAAAAAAAATATATATATATTTTTAGTTGATTGCCAAGACATGTTTTAAATGTAAATTTTAGAAAAGTAAAATATTATTGTAATGGATTGTAATGTTTAACAACACATAATAGCATTCAATTTAATAACTTTTGAGTTTATTATCTATGAAAATCATAATACTTGGATGTATACAAGTTTTGTTGATGATGTGAGTGGATTTGTAGGCTTTAATGGCTAAAATGATCGTTAGATACGTATTTTTAATACAAATGCAAAGTATGGTAACTATTTAGTTTTAAGAATTGAGGAATTGTATAGTGTTGATATAACAACTTTAAATTATGATAAATATAATAAGGATATTTTTTAAGGGACTACTGTTACTAGCAGACGTATTAATATAAAGGAATGTTTATTAGATCTTAATAATTGTAAATAATGTGAATAGAATTTTTATTTTGATATAAATAAAGATTATTATGAAGACAAATTTCCCGATATTAATAAAGATATATATTTTTATGGAAATGGAAGTTAATAAAACCCTTATGCAACTCATAGATAGTTGATTGAATTTTAATTAATATTGAACTATTTATCACTTAATTTTATATTTATCGAAGATATTAAATGTATTATATATATAAATACTTCTTCATTCCAACTCTAAATATAAAACTCGCTTTTCTAAAATAGTTATCTAAGTAAAGTTTTAATTACTTTCAATTCTTACTAAAGTGATTAATAGGCTTTATTTTTATATTAAAATATTGTTTAGTTTTAAAATTTAAAATTTTTAGAATTTAATGGTATTAAATTTTAATTTTAAATTAATGATCAAATAAGATAATCTTAGTATTGTGGATTTAAATTTAATAATATATAATAGATAAATTTAATTAATATTTATCAAGAAAATTATGATAAAAGTTCTAATATTTTCTGCGGGAAAATACATGTAGAAGCATCTTAGATTAAAATTTAATAATTGATTTATTAAAACCATTTTTTTGATTAAACTATGATTTCAGTTATAAACTCTCCGATTGTATAATAAAATTATATTAATATAAATTACTTTTTAGTATAGTTTTTTTTAATTTTTTTTTTAAATAAAATGAAATAATCCATTTTTTTCAATAATTTTTTTTAAAAAAAAAAAAATATTAAAAAATAAAGTATATTTTTTATTTTTCCTTTTTTTAAAAAATAAAAAAAAGATTGAAATAATAAATCTTTAATTAATAGGAAACGTATTTGAAAATTGTTAGTTTTTTGAAATATTAAATGGTGAATCATAATTAATTTTAGAAGAAATATAACTTTTGAATAATAAAATTTATTAAATTAATGAAATTTAAGGATTTTTTACTTTTACATCTATAAATGTAAAACATGGAGTATTTAAAAATAACGAATTCGTTAATGTTTTATTATTTAACAGTAAAGAAACAACCCCTGATTTAATTTAAGAATTCTATTTTGAAACGATAATATTTGAAAATAATAATATAATTACAAATTCATAAACATTTTTTCTTTCTATGAAGTTTCCTTCATTTTAAAAACCAGAGTATTAATTATAAATATACGATTTTTATTTTAAAAATAATTAAATTTTATATGATTCAAAAGAATTAGAAATTAATTATATTTATTTAATTAGTATTTTTAATGTAGCTGAAATTTAAATATTTTAATTTAAATTATTAAATACTTAAAATTTAGGCATATTAAATTCTTATAATTCAAATAAATTTGAAATGTAAAATGTTCAAATAAAAAACGATGAAATTAAATTAGATCAAAAAATAACTCCTTCATTATTTTTTTTAAATGAAATTAGAAATTTTAAAATATATTAAATCGAAATAATAAATAAATATTAATAAATTAATCTTTAATAATAATAAATAATGTATATTTATCAAGGATTATAATAATAATAGAAAAAGTTATTTTTAAATCAAATTTTATGGAATCAACCTAACCATTTTATTCTTGCAATCCAGTATAGATAATTAATGAAAACGCTGCGGAAATTTTTATTGATGAAACATTATTTTAAGATGGATATTTGAAAGCAACTTCTAATAGTATTTCACCTTCTACAAATGCGTTTTGGATTAAAAATATACAAGGAAAAACTTCTATTAAAAATAGTTAATTTTTTAATAATTATTCGACAGGTATTTATAATAATTTAAAGATTTTTTCTGATTCGATTATTTGTGAGAATAATATTTTTAGAAATAGTTCTTTTCCTTTGGTTAATTAAAATCAGAATTAATAATTAAATTACAAAAATATTAGAATAATAGGGGGATTTATTAATGCTGTTACATAAAATATATAAATTTTAAACACATCTTTTACTGATTCTTATGCTAATGAAGCTTCTTTTATTTAATTATAGACTTTTTCAAATAAGATTTATTGTTTAATTTCAAATTCATTCTTTAGTAATGGATTTTCTTTAAAATCTGGGGCAATATTTATTGATGTATAATTACTTTAAGGTAAATTAGAAATAATAAAAACTGAATTTAGAAATATTTATTTAACAAAAAATAATGAAAATTTAATATAATTTAGGTATTTTTTTGTAATAAAAAAAAAAAAAAAAAAATTTTGTTTTTTTTTTTTTAAAAAAAAAGTAATAATTAGAATAAATAAAATTATGATATTTTAATTTTTTAAGATATTTTATTTGAAAATATATTTTCTAATTATTAATGTAGTTTATTAGAATTAATAAATACTAATATTTTTATTGCGGATATTAAAATTTAAGGATCTTAATCTAATTTACTTATTCATAAATATTTTGAAAATCAATATTAAGATTTATTTCCTTGTAGTCAAATAAAAACTGAACAAACTAAAATTTTAATTTAAAATTTATAAATAAGTTATTTATTTTATAAAACTAGTAACTTAATAAAAGACATTTCATATAATATATTACTTACAGATACATTTTCAGAAATAAGCTTAAATAATATAAAAATATCAAATAATTAATTATTATTAAATTAAAAAATAATATAAGCTTTAAAATCTAAAATAAAAATGCAATAAATATTCATAGAATAAATAAACTAAAATAATGAATTAAAATTTGATTTAGACAATATCTAAAACGGAATGATTTATTTATAATAAAGTACATTATTCGCATAGGAATTAAAAATTAAATAAGTTAATTGCTTTAATTGCCTTGGTGGTATATTTAGCTTATATGAATCTCCTTCAGATATATTCGATAGTATTTTTGAATAAATAATCGTAAATATATTTAATATAGAAAATATTATTATTATTATTATTATTTTTTAAAAAAGGCAATTAATGGTGGTTCAATATACATAAATAATCCTTTAGATAATACTAATATTATTAATTGCTAATTTATTGGAGGTTAGTCAAAAAAAAATGGAGGTGCGATCTCAGTTGAAATTGATATAGATAGATAATATAAAATAAATATAAATAAAAGTATTTTTAAATAATTAAAAGCAGATGAAAAAGCAGGAGCAATATACTTATATTAAGAATTCCTTCCTTCTATATAAAATGAAATTTTAATATAAAATTCAACCTTTTAAGAATGTCAAGCTAAAATAGGTGGTTCTTATACTTATACTGGAATAATCCCTAAAACAAAAAATTTGTATAATATATAAAATAAAGCTTCATTATTTGGATAGAATCAGTATTCGTTTCCCAGTAAAATTAATTTAATAAATACTAGTCCTTAAATAATTGTTAAAAATGAAACATTTGCAATAATTTAAGATTTTAAAAGTGGAGATTTTATTGGATAATTATAATTTTAACTTTAAGATTAATTTGGAGAAAATATTAAATTGTTAGACTTTGAAGATATTGTAATTAAAAAAAGCTATTTAGAAATCGATCCAAATCAGGATAAAATAGAAGAGTATTAAATATAAGGATCTCATAATTTTATTTATGATACAGATAAATATATCTTTATTGTTTAAAAAAATAAACTTATTGGAATTCCAGGATCAGTTTTAAATTTATTATTACATGTAGAATAAATAAAATAAATTTAAGATTATTAAATTATTGAAAATAAATATATATTTAAAATTTAAATTAATATTAGAGAATGTTAATTAGGTGAAATTTAGAAAAAATCTGAATAAATAATTAACTAATGTATATATTTAATTTTATTATATTTATTTTTTTATAATAAAACAAAACAAAAAAAGAAAATTATTAAATAATTGAATGCTCAAAGTGTGAAAAAACTACTTATTCATTAGGAGATAATAATGAATGTAAAAAATGTCCAGATGGTGCCGAATGCTTAGGAGGAAATTAATTATATATATTACCTGGATATTGGAGAGTAAGAGAAACATCAAATTTAATTGAAAAATGTTTTTAGTTAGAGACAAATTGTATAGGAGGTTTATTCACAGGGAATAATCTTTGCTATGAAGGACATATAGGTGCATTATGTGAGGAATGTGATGTAATAAAATAAAATATAATTTAATTTAATACGAATTTTTTTGTTTTTTTTTTGTTTTTTTTGTTTTTTTTTTCTTCTTCTTAAGATTGAGGGTATATATTGGCCTCAAAGATTTGGAAAGGCCTAAAATTTTTCATGTACAAATTGCAAAAATATTAAAGGAAATTTTTATTGGTTAGTAATTAGCTATTTTGTAATATAAGCTTCTATTTTTATAGCTATTAAAGACGATATATTTGCAAGATAAGAAAAAGTATTTATATTAATATTTTATTAATTATTATTTATTTTCTTATTAAAAAAATTAAAAAGTATATTCTAAAATAATTCCTTGAAAATGGAACTTATTTAAATAAGAAAAAAGATAATATTGATTCAAAAACAACTACATATTTAAAGTTTTTTTCACATTATTTTTAAATAATTACTTCTTTAGCAGATTTCGATATACAAATACCCCATGGATTATTAACAATATAAATTCTTGCAGCTTAGCCAATTAGAAATGCTTTAAATAGTTTATAATGTGCTTTAATAAATCTAAATTTTTAAATACCAATTCATTATTTCTTATATATATTTTCATGTGTACTACCATTTGCATATTTATTGTCATTTTATATTCTAATTAGAATATATTATTTATATAAGAAAATAGTATTTTCACACTATATTTTGATAACAGCAGGATTATTTATATTCTTTTACATTTAAACTGATTTAGCCTCAATGATGATATAACTATTAAGTTGTAGAAAAATCGCAGATAAATTTTATTTAATAGGAAATATGTCATATGAATGTGATGAAAAATTTGATTATTATGCAATTGTTTTGGTACTTCCAACATTATTTATTTTCTTAATTATGATTCCTCTTCTTTTTTTAATAATTCTTTACTAAAATAGGTTTAAGTTAAAAGATTATAAAGTCATATTTAAATATGGATATTTATTAAGAGAATATAAATAAAGTACTTATTATTGGGAATTTGTTAAAATGATGTAAAGAATGCTCATTATTTTTGCAATTAATTTCTATTCTTAATATTAAATTATTAAAGGTTTCCTCATTTTAATGATTTTACTTATATATCTGATTCTTATTAATTAGAAAAAACCTTATCTAAATCCAGATAATAACCTAATTGATATTTTTTTGACTTCTACGTGTTTTGTTACATGCTTTTTTGGTGTTTTTATTTATAAAAATGAATTTAAGTATTTTAAATATTCTTCTCTTATTCTAATTATTGCTATAAATATTGCATTTATGTGTTTCATAACTAAAAAAATAGCATATGTTTATATTTTATAGTTAAAATAAATTTTTATAAACCTAATACTTCATAGAAAAATAAGAAAGTTTTTTAAAATAAAATACGATCCTGAAAAAAAATAAAAAGAAATAAATTAAAAAATTAGAAATGTTAAAAATAAAATATGTAGTGGAATTTAACTAATTAGAAGTATTTATTTATTAATTCATATATATATATATATATATATATATATATATATATATATATATATATATATATATATATATATAATAAAAAGGTTTTACTAAAGAAGAAAAACTAAATATTTATTTGCTTATTTATTGTAATTTTATATTTTATTAAATTTTATACTCATAAAAATTAATATTAATATAGCACATTTTAATTATAAATAGAAGATTCCTGTTTAAAAGATATAAAAACAAAGTACTACTAATAAAAAAACTTTTGATAAAATAGATGGATTTAATACTAATAAAAATGAATTAAAACAATGTAAATTTTTTTATATTATTTTTTATTTGATTAATAAAAAGATAATTAAAGTAATAGCCTTGATATTTTTAATAGTTTGAAATTAAAATATATTGAAAAATCTAAGGGCATAACTCAAATTTCTGCTTTTAGAGATATTCCTTCATAAAAAATTCTATAATTTTCGATGAACAAAAATATTTAATCTATCCAAAAAGAGCTTTATTAAAGTAATTCGAATGATTAATTAAGTAAACAAATTTACTTATAAAAAATGCCGATTTTTAAAACTTAAAAAATGCAAGTTTAACTTACTGATTGTAATAAATATAATTCAAAAACAATCAAAAATAATTAAATTTTTTTAAAAAAGTAAAATATTAAGAAACAGAATAATAAATAAATTAATAAACAGAATAATAATTATATTAAGAAACAGAATAATAAATAGATTAAGAAATAGAAAGATAAGAAAAAAAATTAGAATAAGAATAAGAATAAGAATAAGAATAAGAATAAGAATAAGAATAAGAATAAGAATAAGAATAAGAATAAAAATAAAAATAAAAATAAAAATAAAAATAAAAATAAAAATAAAAATAAAAATAAGAATAAGAATAAGAATAAGAATAAGAATAAGAAATAGAAATAGAAAAGGAAATAAAAAAAGAAAGAGGCTTAAATGAATGAAAAAACAAAAATTAAATTACATAAAAAGTTTAAAAATTATAATTTTTATTATATTAATTTTTTATAACAAAAAAATAGAATAATGCTATAAGCTATAATTAATTTTTAAATATTTTTTGTTTTTATTTAAAAAAAATTAAAATTACTCTTATTTATGTGATTTTGCTTAAAATATAATTTTAATATATTTTTTTTTATTAAAAAAAAAATGCATAAATTATAAATAAATTTTTTATATAAAAAGATAACATTTATTTATTTTTTAAATTTTTTTGTTTTTTATAATAACTATATATGGAGTAATAAATAAAAAGATTAAAAAAACTTTATAATTTATTATAATAATTAAACTTTTATCCATCAAAAATTAATGAAGAATATAATTTGCCGAAATTAATGGACCCATAAAAAACTATTGATGATGAAAAAGAATAAGTTATCATTTTATTTATTTATTTTAAACAAAAAAAAACAGGAAATTTTATCTTAACATTTAATGAATTATATAAAACCAACCGAACAAAGATTAGATCTATTAGAATATTTATTAATAAAGTATTAAATAAATAAAAAATCCTATATAATAGAAAATATCATTACAAATTATTTAAAAATATAAAAAGATTAAATAAAGACTTTTTTGATTAAATAGATATAAAGGAAACTAATATACATGAATATAGAATAAAAAGTACAAAATAATAAGTTTATTTATCTTATTTAAATAATAAAAAAGGAATAAAATAATTATTAACTTAAATTGGATTATTATTCGAATCTAAATTTAGTAAAAACATTTAATTTCATAAAGTTATTGAAGGAAAGAGTGGTCTTGAACCTTGTTTAAAATTAATTTATGAATTAGCTAAATTAGCTAGAAAATTTTATAAAACAAAATCAAGTTAAAGAGAAGAATTTCATTAATAATTATTTTAAGAATGCATTTATAATATGGTATTAACATATTATATATATAAGAAAAAAAAAAAGGAAAATCTAATAAATGTTAGCTGTAATTTATTTTCTGTAGATTTTCCAGCTTAAAACGAAACACTATAACATGAAGATGCTATATTTTTAGTCAAAAATATTGAAGAAGATTTAAATATATAATATAATGATGAGGAAAACCAAAACTTAAATGAAGATATAACTTAGTTTAATTAATTTTTGAATAAATAATTTGAAATATAACCTTAAATAGCTAAAACTTATTAGTTTTAATTAAATAATTTAAACTAATAAATAAATAGGTAATCGAAAAAATATTTAAAATTTAATTAATTAATTTATTAAAATTAAGTATTTTCAATAAAGAGACAAATAAATAAGAAAATTTTATTAAATAAATATAAGATCTTAATTTTGATAAAGAAAACGAGAAAAAAATAATTTTAAATTAAGACTTCATTAGAAAATACAAATAATTATAAAAATAAAAAGAAATCATAATTGAGTCTAATAAAAGTGCTTTAAACTTAAAAATAGAAAATTTAAACTCATAAATATAAATTATTAACACAGATTAAAATTAATGAATATATGATTTTAAAGTATTTTTTTTTTTTTTTAAAAAAAAAAAAAATTATATATAAATAAATAAAGATTTTCTTTATATATATTTTTAGTTATTTAGAATATATATTACCAATCTTTAATAATCAATAAAAATAATATAATTTTAAAACAAATATAATTTTAAAACAAATAGTTAAAGATAATAAAAAACCTAAATTAGAAAAAATAAATTTTTATTAAATTTATAATTAGAATTTATTAAAATAATATTTATTTATAATAATTATTTTTTTAAAAAAAAGAAACTTACATATATATTTGTATAAATAAATTATAATAATTAAAAAAAAAAAAAATTAACTATTTATATATCTTTAACTTTTTTAGTTTTTTAAAAATAAATAAATAAAAAATACAAAAAAACAAAAAAATTAAAAAACTTTTATAAAAAATAACTAAACAAAAAAAAAAGTGCAAATAAAATTTAAAATACAAAAACAAACACTAATATTCAAAAAAATAAAATAAAAAATAAAAAAAAAATGTTTTTATAAAAATAATAGTAATAATAATAATAATATAATTAATATTCTCAACGTCCCTAATCAGCAATGCCATTTAAAAGCCGAAACATTCTTGGTTCATCATGTCCAATAATAATTAAACATGAATTTCCTAATGAGGCTAATTTATATATAGATAATATGGATTAGGAAATGAGCTCTACAAAACGTCGAAATATATATGATCGTCCTAACACAGCAAAGATTTAATCTGCATTTGTGAAAAATATTTCAAATAAATAGAAACCTTTAACCAGTGTAAATGCATACTAGAATGGTATATAATAAATGAATTCAGCAGAGTTATATATGAAATTAATTGAAGGTTAGAAAATTGCAAAAGAAGCTAAGTTTGTTATAAAGCCAGCTAGAAAATTGAACACTTTATCAATTCATTCAGCTCTTTTTAAAATTAAAAAACAAAAGGAATAACTTGATTTAAAGATAAGATAATTAGATGATTTTAAATCAAACTTTAATGAAATGGATTTCTATTTGATTGCTAATTCTGGAGCTATAGACTATTTATTTAATAAATAGGTCTAATAATCAAATTAAGTTTAAAATTAAAAATCTTATTAATAAAAAAATTCAAACTAAATATAACATCCTAAGTCTTCTACAATGGAAAAAAAAAATAATGTAATTAAAAAAAATAATTCAAGAGACTAAATAACTATGTTAAGAAATGATTCTTCACTTTAAAGTAATAGCGACCTAAATGATGTAGATTTAGAAATTTTAGGTAATTGTGCTAAGTTTTTCCATACAAAAGAACGCGCTTAAGTTAAATATTGGGGAGAACCGATTGATTAATAAGATAATATAAGAACTTCTATAGAAAATATGGGACAGAATTATTAGAATATATAAAGACTATTGAGTGCCAAATAAAAGTCATCTTTTGTACAAGAAATAAAGGAGGAAGATGAACATGAAGATTAAGTTTTAAAAAAACATGAATTTTAAGACCAAGAAAACATTAAAAAAGAAGAAGAATTAATTATTGGCGAAAATTAATTATAAGAAATTAGTAATTCTAATAATATTTCTCATAATTAGTAATATTAAAGCGTAAAATTATTTAATAATAATGATAATAACAGTTAACAAAGTAAAGGAATTTATCCAATGTTACCAAAGAAGAAAAAATTCAAAAGAATTCATAGTGCAGCCAATCAATCTTTATTAAAAAGTACTTCCGTTCCTATGTTTGTTGAAAAATCAATTATTCCTAGACCATAAACTGCATATTTAAGATAAACACCTTAGCATGCTCTTTTAACTTATGGACCTGTTTAAGTAATAAAAGAAAGAATCACAAGGAATTTCGATCATTTAGAAATATTGAAGGAATAGGAAAATTTAGAAAAGTTGAAGTAAATTAAGAATTAGGAAAAATTTTTATAGAAAACTGAACAATAATAAATGAAAATTACCGGAATGAAACTCTCAGTAGCTACAGAATAGGAAAACATGTATAATCTTCAAAATAAAGCTTAGTAAGCAATAGAGGCATAGTAAAACTAAATTGAATTAGAGTCTTAAAATAATAATTATTATTAAGACAACAATTAAGTTATTAATAATAGTATTTCGATTAATAGTTAAAATAGAACTCCTTTAGATTTAAATATTATGCAAAAAAATAAAAATATTATAAAAATAAATAGACCAGCAACTGCCAATAAGACTTTTTAACAAAAAGAAACAATCACACATATTTAAACTAATAATAATAATGAATTAATTAATTAAGGCTCATTAAATTAGTCTGTTAATGATTCTGCTAACAAAATACATAACAATAATTAATAATAAACGTGGATGGTCCTTGAATAATAGTAATACTAATTTGGTAAATATACATAAAATTAAAATGAGGAAGATAATAATGAAGAAGATATAGTAATCTAAAAGAAATATAAGAGACCCTAAACAGCAATCAAAAGAATATGATTTTTGCATTTATTTTATTTTTAAAATAATTTTTTATATTAAAAAAAATAATAATATATGATTGATAATTTTTTATTTTTCTTTAGAATTATTGTTTTTAAAAGTAATTTTTTTTTATTATATATATATACGATTTAAACATAACTTATTATAAAAAACATTAAATATGTTTGACATATAAATATAATTTCAAATATAAATAAAATAATTGTATTTATAATAATTTAAATCCATTTGATTTTTTATCATTTTTTTATAGTATTAGTTAATATGTATTATTTAAATATTATATATTAGTTATATTAAGTATAATTTATTTTTTTCGCCAATTAAATTAAATTAAATATAAATTTTATTTTATATTAAAAAGTAATTTACAATAGGATTTTTTAAATTAAATAAAGAAGTAAATTTTGAAACAAATTAAATTAATTTATATATATATATTAATTAAACGCATTTTTAAATTATATATATATATATTTTTTTTTTCTATTTTATATAGTTATTATTTATTTTAAAAAAATATTATTTCCTTTTTATTGTTTGTACAGCTAGTATTATTATTATTTTTTTTCTAATAATATGTATTAATTAATTTCCATTTTTTTTTTTACAAAAAATAATAATTTATTCAATAATTTTTTATAATATTATTAAATAATTTAATAAAATGGGTTGTTGCATATCTCGCTATTAAATGTAGAAAGGAAAATAATTAAAAAATTAATATGATAAATATCCTATAAGTAAAGAAAAAAAGCTTTAGATTTTAGTAAAAGCAAATATAATTTAAAATATATAAGAAGATGATTAAGAATTTCATACTCCCTTTTAAATAAATAATCATTTACAAAGATAATAATTATTAGATTTTAATAACTAAATACATAAGGAAGAATATAAAGAACTTTTAAAAAATACAGAACCTTAGTTTACTATACATTTATTAAATTAGAAAACTTTAATAATTTCATAAAATGATAATATTGATATTGAATAATTTATAACTGAAGCAGAATAAGCATTAATAGAATATCAAAAAAAATAAGAAGAAGAATATAGAATACTTATGTAATGGGATTACTTAGATATTGAGTAAAATTTATATTTTTTCTATTATATTACATAATAAAATATTATAGAAAAGAAATACCTTAAAAAAATTTAAAAAAATTTAATGAATTTAAAAAATATTACTAATAAATTAAAAATAATACTTTTTTTAATGATTGGTATTTGTTTAGATTTTTAAAAAGCTAATAATATAATCTAAACACTTCTAAATAAATGTTAAGTTAACATATATAGTGGTATTAAAAAAATAAAATCTCATATATATTTGAAGACATTTTCAATGAATAATAAATGCTTAAAAAGTTAAGTCCTCATGGTTTTCATTTTATAGATTTTTAAGGGAGGCCGATATTTATATGGAGAGTTAAATCTTTTACTAATGATTATATTTTATAAATTATAGATAAGGAAAGACTAATTAAATACATAATTTATTATTTAGAAAGATTAATTGTAAATGTATTTCAATTATGTACAGCACTTAAGAAAAAGAGAATTGATTAAATCGTTTTAATAATAGATTTTAAAAAATGCAAAGCAAAATTAAAAGATATATTAAATGTATTTAATATTATTTAATAAATTGGCTTAAATAATTATCCTGAAATACTCAATTAAATATATATACTTAATTAATCTTATATTAAAGACATTAATTTTTCTGAAATAAACAAATTAATTCCTAAGTTCTTAAATGAGAAAATATAAATACTTGGTGAAAATTATTTGAACTTTATGAGTTAAAAAGTATATAAATAATAATTTTTATTATTTTTTTAAGATTATTTATAATTTAAAAGATTCCAATAGAAAATATTCCTAACTTTATGGGAGGAAAATGTAAATGCAATACAAAATACTGTATTAACAATGATTATGGTCCTAATTGAAATATAAAAAAAAAAATTTAGTTTGTATATATGTTTTTAAAATTAAAATATATATATATGTAATATATATATATAAATTAAATATTATAATAAATAAATTAAAAAATTTTTTTTGAGTGAAATTTAATATTTAAAAACAAAAATTATATAGGAAAGAAAAAAATTGTAAAATATATATTTAATTATAAATAGAAAAATAAAATATGCAATTTAAAATTATAAATAAATATATATATATAAATATTAAAATAAAAAAAAAACATATAAAAAACAAAAATTAAAAAATAAAAAAATAAAAAAAATATTTTTATAAATTATAATAGTTAACATTTTAAATAATAAAAAATATAAAAATAATATACAAAATATAATAATATAATAATATGTAAAAATTAATATAAAGAATATAAAAATATAAAAAAAAATTATATAAGTAATAAATATATTTTTATATAAATATATATATATATATATATATATATAATTATTTATATATTTTAATTTATACATTTAATTTTTATTTAAAATATATACTTTCATATATTTATAAAAGATATTATTTTTTTTTTTATTTTTTTTTTTTTATATATTTTTTTTATTTTTTTATCTCTTAAAAATATAAATAATATTTTTCTATTGTTAATTATATTTATTATTTTTTATAATCTCATATTAAATTTTTTTTTAGTATTTTTTTTTTTTCTTTTAAATTTATAATATATTTATTTAATTATGTATTTTAGATATATTTAATTTTTTTTTGTATATTGTATTGTATTTTTTTTATATATATATATTTTTATTTAATATATTATTTTAATTGTAAAAAAAATTTAATATTTCTTTATTATATTATATAAAATATTTTTATTTTATTTTATCATTATTTAATTTTTTATTTTTAAACTTTTTTTTTGAATTGTAAATAACATATATATTTATAATTTTTAATTTTTCTTTTTTTTAAATGAATAAATTAATTAAAAGTTTACCAATATGTTTAACTTTTATTTTTTTATAAAAAAATTAAAAATTAGTTTTTTTTTATAATATGACAATAATTATATTAATATTAATTAAATTACATATAAAAACTATTATTTTTTATTTTTTTATTCAATTAATAATATTCTTTTTATATTAAAATAATTTTTTTATAAATTTTTTAAAAAGATTATATTAAATATATATAAAGATGATTGAAATAACTATTAATATATTTATATATATATATATATATATATATATAATTTCAGAGAATAAATTAGTTAAAATTTTATTATCTATTTTATTATAAATTCTCTAAAGTAAAATTATATTATCTTTAAACTGCTTAATTTATATTATTAAAAATTATTTATACTATATTAAATTATAATTTTTTTTCAATTCTTTAACTCATAAACATAGAATTAATTTTAATAATTCCTTAAACTTTATCAACTATTTCATATAATGCTATATTTAATATCAACTTATAATTTATAAATAAAGTATATAAAATTACCTTCTTCACCTATACATTTAATCTTATCAACAGATAAATATCTTAAAAATTTTGGATTACTATTAATAAAAATAGTTTAACTAAGAAAATTAAGCTTTTTACATTCTAAAAATATATAAAAATGATATAAATTCTATTAAAAAATATATATTTTACCATCAAGATTAAGTGATTTTAACTATACTATATTACTTAGTAAATCATTTAAATTATTATTATCAAGATTAGTGTTTTTAAGGCATAAATAAATTAACTTTTTATTATTTCTAAGCTTATGTATATTTTGAAAACTAAAGTTATTAATATTATTACTTAAATCAAGCCTTTCAAGAGAAACCATAGTAGATATTAGTTCAATACTTTTATCAGTAAGTTCTGGACAATGAGAAAGTTATAATATTTTAATATTTTTGCATCTACTACAAATACTATGTAAATCACTATCTGTTATATCACTTTTTTTATTTTTATACATATAATATAAAAAGATAATAATAATCTACTAATTGCTTTAAAGTTAAAGATTTTATAAAAGCCTTAAATTAGGTATAAATGAAGAAATTTATGGAGTTAGTTAAAGTGATTTAAGTATTAATATTTTTATTGAATTTCTACTTCGATATAAAATTTAATATAAAATTTTTGTTTTTATATATTGCTGTTTATTTGGATATTTTGATATACAAGCAAATATTTCAAACATTTTATCAGAAATATTCTAACTATAATCTTTTGATAATTCAGCTTTAAAATAAAATGTATCATATATTTTTTTAATTGAAAATTATCTAAAAATTGCTTAAATGAATTTTATATGAGTTAATTCAGAGTTTTTTTATAAGAAGTCATACTCTTATAATGAAATTTTGCTAAAATTAAATTCATGAAAGTACAAATGGTAGTTTTTTATTACTTTTAAAGATATTTATCTCCAACATTTACATACTTATTATAAATTTATTATTTCTTTCATTTCTAAAAAACTAAAAATGTCAACAATTATTTTATCAGGTAATTATAATCTTTTTTATTTATATAATGTAAATTTAATATTTTATTTAAATACATATAAAAATTTCTAAATTTATTTTTCAAATAAAAAAAAAAAAGAAAGAATAAAAAAGAAATAAACATTTTATTTATTTAAATAACTATAATTAAAATTGTTTTACACTCTTGATTCTTTTAAGTTCTCTTGATTTAATTTTTCTTTTTCTTTGACTTTTCAAATAATTCAAAAATAGAATTTTATTCTAAAACTGAATATTTACTAGGAGTCATAATTGTATTTGATTTTTATGAATATTCTTTTTTAAAAGAATAGTTTGCACGTGATCTATTAATTTTCTCTACATTGAAATAATCAATTATGCTTTTTTCCGGACTATCTGAAGAATTTTGACGTTTTCTCTTTTTTAAACTAATTAATCTGTTTAATCATATATATTTATGGTCTTACTACTATTTATGTTGATATCTTTGCTATCTTCACTTATTTTTATAGGCGAGTTATAGTTTTTGTTCTTTTTAAAAAAATGGAGAATTTGTTTTTAAAGCATGTATTTTTTATAAATAAATAATTAAATAATAATTATTATTAATTATAATTACTTTTTATTATATAAATTAAATATTATTTAAAAAAAAAAAATTTGAGAAGTTTTTTCAAATTACATAACTTTTAGATAAAATCTAATTGTATTTTCTCGCTATTAAAAAAAATTAAATTAATCATTTTACCGCTCTAAAATATAAATTTGAAATATATAATATTTATAAGTTATTTGGTTATATAATTTAAATCATTTATTATTTATATTTTATAATAAAAATATTATTTATTTTATATTAATAGATTATATTAATGAATATTTTTCAAACATTTTTTATTAATAATATAATTCAATATATTTTTGGTACTTTTTTAAACTGAAATAAAATTATATAATTTATATATTTTTCAAACAAAATATAGTTTTTAAATATAATCTTTAGTATATTAGATAATGGGCTTGTATATATTTAATAATTTTATTGAATAATTGCATGATCATTATTCATTAATATAAATTATTTTATTAATATTCTATAATATATTAATTTTATATTTAGTATAACATTTTTCTAGAAATGTTTATTAGTTAAAAATATTTATTAAATTCTCAATAACTAATATTAATATAAAAATTTAAGTTAATTGTATGGAATTAATATAAAATTTAATTTAATTAAACATAATTTTTTATAAAGTAAATATAAATGGTTTAAATTAATATATATAAAATTATTATTTATTATATTTTTTATATATTATTATTATATATAAATATTTTATTAAAGTTGTCTTTATAAAATATATTTAATGTTTTATTCTTTAAACTTAATTTAAACTTAAACGTATTATTTAACAAAAATAATTATTTATTTATAATATTAAATAATTTATAAAATATTAATTTAAATCAAAATATATTTTATTTTATTTTTGTTATTACAATATATATATAATAATAATAAGGATATAAATTTAAAGGAAATACAAAAAATAATAAAAGAAAGAAAAAAAAAAAAAAAATAAAAAAAAAAAATGGTAAAAACATATAAAATATTAATATATTAAATTAAAATAATTTTAATATAAGACAAGAGGTACCCCTTCATTTGGTAAAAGACATTAAAAAACACACACATTATGCAGAAGATGTGGCAGAGCAACATATCATAAGCAAAAGCTTAGATGCGCCTAGTGTGGTTTCCCAGATGCTAAAACACGCAGATGTATTTAATATATAATAAATAAATAATTTTATATTAATTATAATAAAAAGATGATGGATGGGCATAAAAGCTAAGGATAGAGTTGGATAAGGTACTGGAAGAATGAGATATATGAAGACTATTGCATGAAGAGCTAAAAATGGATTCAGATCTGGAACAACCGCTTAACCAAAAGCAAAAGCTGTATCAAAATGATTATGAGGTATAATGATATAATTTTTTTCTTATATTTTATTAATATAAGCATTTAAATTTATTATTAAATTAACAAATATTAAGATTATGTTATTTAGTGTTTATTTTTTGTCATTCTTGTATTTAAAAAAATATTTAAATTAAAGTATTTTATTTTTATTTTAATTAATATTAACACTCATAATTATCCATCCTCCTTCCCTCAAATAAAAATATAAAACATAAATCATATACAAATTATATAATCAAAATCTTATATATACTATTTTTTTATTTAAACTAGAATACTTATTAAATTGTATTTAATAAAGATTTTATAATTAGTTTAATTTTAAATTATATTAGTTTATTTTTTTCAATAAAAGAAAAAAAAATTCAAAAATTTTAAAACTGACTTTATTAAAAAAAAATTAAATTTATTCTAATATTATTTATTATAATACTCAAATAAAATATAATTAACAAACTTTTTATTTAGAATTTATTTAAAGATAATTAAATAGTTGATTTTATAAAAAAAAATTCTTCATAATTTTTTTTTTCTACACATTTAAATAAGAAAGTAAATATGTAAATTAAAATAAATGAATTCATATTAAGGCATAATAATTATAAATTTAAACATAACTTATAAATTAAATTATTAAATCCTTAATTTATATCAAATACTAATTTTTTAAACTCTTAATATATATAATCATCTTGTATTTATCTTCAAAATTTTAATCTATTGTAAGTGAAAGTAGAATTAGTTTATTATCTATTATAAAGAAAAATTATTAAATAGAAAAATATATTAATTAACGTTAGTTTTCATTGTTATAATAATTATAACCACCAAAATAAATTAATTTATACAATATAAAAAAATAATTTTATTCTTTATAATATAAATATTAGATTAACAAATATTAAACTCATAAAAAATTATAAAAATATTTTTAGAAAAACTTTTTTTCCTTTTATTTTAAAGAATATTTAAAAAATCATGTAAACTGCTAAATATTTATAATAAATAAAGTTATTTTAATTATAATAGGTTTATGATGGATATAATAAAAAAAATTATTATAAAGATAATGTCAATAATAAGTAAGAATGTTAATGATGCTAAAGTATGGTAATAATGATAATAATAGGTAATAATATGTAATAAAAGGTAATAATGATAAATGCTTATTATAATTGAATTATAATAATATAAAGTATCTCTCATATGAATTAAGAATAAAGTAATAAATATATAAAAATGTAATATTTAATATATATTTTTTATTTGAATTATAATTTTATTATAAAAAATAAAATTTTGAAAATAATAAAAAGATATGTTTTATTTCATTTGTTTTGTACAAAAAATTTGATAAATAAATATAAGAAAAATAATTAAAATTATTTAAAGAATTAAAAATAAATCACAATAATATATGATATATATCGTTAATTATATTAAAATATATATTTTTTAAATAATAAGTATATATATATGATATATTAATTAATTATTTATTTTATACTAAATATTTTTAAAGAAACATATATTGTATATATATATTTATGTATATTTCATTTTTCTAAATTATTTATTTTTTATAATTCTTTTTCTAGTCTCTATTTATATTTTTATATTTTATTTTAATAAGCATTAAATAATCTAATAGTTCCATCACATTTTATATCTTTTTATGTAAATGATGCTTGATTTGAAGTTTTAAATTATCCTTTAAAAGTTGGCGATTTGACAATTTAATATTCCTTTTAAAATAAAATTACATATATAATTAATTAAATATTAAAAAAATACTTTTGGTTTTTAATTTTCAATTTATTCACCAAAATTAACGATTTACTATTAATTTTTAGGTTCAATATCTATAAATTTAGACAATTTTGGCAAAGGAACTTAATCATTAGGCTTTGCTAGTTTTGTTTTTTCAAAGTTTTAATGTTTAAAATATTCTTTTTAATTATTTGTAACTCCATTAAATTTGATTTCATCAAAAGTATGTTTGTCATAATTAACTTTTACTTATTCTCCCATTCTTGCTTCCCAATCAACAAAGTTTCGCTTTTTTTATATTTTTAAAAAGTAAAAGATTATATTTTATTTACTTTATATTAAGAGTTTCCAAAAAAAGGCGACTCATTTATTTTCTAATAGCCATTTACATAGACAAGATTTTAATTTTCTGGAGATTTATAATCATTCTATATTTTTAATTGATATATATTTATTTTATTTAAAAATATATATTCATACTTTAAAAGTAGAAACATACTCTTATGTTTAATATTATTTAGGGCTATAAGATTATCTTTAAACCACGATTTATTAGTTTAAATCGGGTTTTTTAGGATTTTAATAACTTCTTTTATAATCCGAAACCCATTTAACATCCATTAATATGGGTCTTCTTATTTATTTGATGCATTTATTTACACATTTACCACATCTACAGTTTCCACATGCGCAATTTCCTTTTTATATTAATATATTTTGTTTTTTTATCTTATAAAAAATACCTGACAGATGATCGTAATATTCCTAGTGTTCTTCCATTACAGATTCTAGTTTATTATTATTATTTTTCAAAAGGCTATTTTTGTCTTAAATATTATTTAATAAAGTTTAAGATTATACTGAAATATTATCATTAGTAATATTTTAATTTTTTTCATCAGATAAAAAAGAATCTAACTCCATATCTTCTCCATTAAAATAACTAGAATTTAAACTTTGACTATCTGGAATACTTTACTCTTCTAATTATTTTTATAATTCTTTTTATTTTTATTCATCTATCTACCCTTCTGGAGATTCTGTATTTGGTATTTAAAGTTATGTGTTTTATAAGTTTTATAATATATTTTATAATTTTTTAAGTTTTTTATATTTTTATAGTTTCTTTTTTTATCTTATTTTTTTTAAGTTTTCTATACTTTTTTATAGGGAATGTTCATTATTTTCATCTTAGTTTTTAATCTAATTTTTTTTTAATTTTTTGAATAAAAAAAATATATTACTTTATCATCATTTTAAGTTTTTTCATTATTTAAAATATTTTCATATCTTTAGTCATTTATTTGTGTTTGACTTTTTTATACTGGCTTTTTTGCTTGAATATATTAATTTTAAGGAGTTATATTATTAAAATTGGTTTATAATTAATATTTATTTTTATAATCTCTTTAATATACAGATTTAAAAATATTATCATTTTATTCATTTTCTTAATCTTTATCTTTATTTTAAGATTAAACTCTATTTATTTATTTCCCATTTCTATTTTGTATTAAAATAACCTTTTCAAAAGTAGGTTTTTCTTAATCATTTAGTGATATCTTACTTGTAGATTTTGTATATATTTATGGTTTAGCAACTGTAAGTAATTTTTTTCAAAAGTTTTTAACTTTTCTTATAAATCGTTTTTGTTAATAATATGTTATTTTTTTATTGGTCTTTAACTCTATTACTGAATTTAACTCTATTACTGCGATTGATTATTTTCATTTTTGGTTTACATATTTTCTAGTTTAACAATGGGCTAAAGAATTTAATTTTTAATTGATTAATTCCTTTTAATAAGTAATTTGATAACTTCTTTTGAAAGAGAATTCATAACCATGCTTATTTTTTAAGTTTTTTTTATAATATTTAATTTATTATATTTTTTTTATTATTATTAAATAAATTTTAAATATATAAAAATATTATAATATTTTAAAATATATATTTATAATAATAATAATTTTATACTTACCATAAATTTTAATTAAAAATATATTTATATTTAATAATAAATTAATTTTTTTTTTATATAATAAATTTTATTTTTTAAATTTATAAAAATATATATATATTTATATATTTATATATATATTTTGGATTTATAAATTATTTATTTATAAAAAATCCCTAAATAGATTTATTATTTTAAAAAAATAAAAATTAAATCATTAATATTACACATTTATTAAGAATTAAAATAAATATTTTTATTTTTTATATAAAAATATTCTCATATACTTAATTATTTTATTTATATAAAATAATAATATATTGATAAAATGAAAATTATAAAATTTTTCTTTATTATAATTTTTTTTCCCGTATATAATATTTAATATAAAAAAATAATAAATAAATTCGTAAATGGAATTCGACATAATAAACGATTTATTAACTGATATTGTATGTAATTTATTTGTGAAATCCGATAAAGATATTAAAGATATTTAAAAAAGTAAATTAAATAGATATTTATTTTAATCATATCATTCTTTAATATTATAAAAAGCATAAACAAATACTAATTTTTCTTTCCCATGCAAATTGAAATAAATAAATGATATAAATGAGTTTTAGAGTTAAATTAATCAAGCAGTTATAGAAAACGAAAGTATCAAATAAAAAGGACAGAAAAAACTAAGTGCATAATAATAACCTGGAAATACAAATGTAAAAAAAGCAATAACACCGGAATAATGGATAATAACAGAAGGCTTAAATAAACTAAAAGAATCGGAAGCTAAATTAAACATAGATTTAGCAAAATTACAAAAGTAAGATTTGGAAAAAATGAATATAGAGTAATTAGTAAATGAAAAAAAAAAAGTAAAAAATGAGTTAAAAATATATGATACAACATTTTAAACAGCTTTCAATAGATTACCAGTAATTTATAATTTATAAATATAAAAATAAAAATATATATTTATATTAAAAGAATAGAGAAGAAAAAGAACCTTTAAGACCACTTTATATTGTAAAATATTAAAAATATAATTTATATTTTGGAAATAAATTTTAATAAAAATTAAAAATAGTATTACAAAAAGTTAAAATAGTAGATAGATTTAAAAAGTTAAAGAAACAAATAAAATGAAATTAAAAGACATAAAGAAGGGAATGAAGAAAGAAGAAATGATAATAATAATAAACAAACATTAATAAATAACAACAATATTTAAAAAAATTAATAATAATAATAATAATAATAATAATATTAATAATAATAATAATAATTGTAATTGCAATTACAATTTAAGGAATAAAAATAAATAAAAAAAGAAATTGAGGAATTAAAAAAAAAAAGATTAGATTTAAAAGAAACACTTCATAACTATGAAACAGAATTTTATATTAATCATAATAGGAAAATTAGATACAATAAAGATATAGTGCCCGTATAAAATGAATATAAAGAATATAAAAATATAAAAGAAAGAATTTTATAATTGGAAGCAATTCTGGATAGAAAATGATGCTAATACAATTGAAAAATAATATTTAAAATTATAAAAAAAATTAAAATTTATATAATATATATAAATAGATATCAAGAATATATAATGTAAATAATTATTTAAAAAAAAATATAATAAACATATTATATATATATATATATAATCAATTTTTTTTTCCTTTTTTTAAAGATATTTAAACTTATTTTTTTAAAATAAATTTAGATTTTTATAATTTCTTTTTTTTTCTATTTATTTCTTTTGTTTATATAATTTTATATTTTATTAATAGTTATTATTAAAAATTATAAAAAAAGTTTTATAAATAACCAAAATTATATAAATTCCTGTATAATGGATATTAATTTTAATAATTAAAATTAAAATAATATAAAAGTATAATCTAAAGTTGATTCTTCAACATAAACAGAATAAGGTGAAAGAGATTACATTTCTTTAAAATAATTATCTTTAGCACCAACAGAAAGTTAAGCATTTCCTTAATTTTTATATCATTAACATACTGTTTTTTTACTTATATTTTTTCTTTCATTACTTTATTATTTTGCTAATTATCAAATAGTACCATAAAATCATGAATCGTTTTTGCCTAATTGTAAGATGTAAACAAACAAAAAACTCAACTATTTTAAAAATAAAACAAATATAAAGGGGTTTTGTTTGTTCTATGTTATTTATAGTTGCTTATCTGACAATATTTCTTCCTAATACATTATTAACAAGGCCTCATCCTGCAATATGGAGAATGTTATAAGCTTTAGGTATTTGCTGGTTGATATGTGTAGTATTCGCATTATTTATGGTAAAATAATAATATATAAAATTTATAAATTAAATTTTAAAAATAAAATAATATAATAGAACAGAGATGATCTTTAATACTTTTTGAAAAAATTTGTAGATGAAAATTTAGGAAAACCTCTTCCAGAAAAAAATTATGCCGAAAATTGTTAAATATATACACCAGATAATCCAAGGGGTCCGTTTGCTAATGTAATAGATAGTATAGACGTATTTTTTACAGCTCATTTTATAGGTTGGTTAGTAAAAATGTTTATTTGTAGAGATTTCTTAATGTGTATGATATAATCTGTTTTATTTGAATTTCTAGAACTTAGTTTAAAACACTGGCTTCCTAATTTTGCTGAATGCTGGTGGGATTCTGTTTTTTTTGATATTCTTATTTGTAATACAGGAGGAATTGTAGTAGGTTGGTATTTAATGAATAAATTTTAAATGAAGGAATATAGATGGAGTTTATAATCAAAATATAAGAAAAGTTTTACTTAAAATTTAAAGGAAATTTTTATTACACCCAATCTTGAAAAACATGAATGGAAAATGTTTTCATCATTAAGAAGATTTATTTTAGTTATGTGGTTTGGAATTTTTGTAAGCAAAATAAATTTACATATACAAAATATATTTTTATAATATAAAATAAAAGATGAATTTAGTTGATTTAAATTTCTTTTTTAATAAATTTGTTATACGTATTGAACCTAGCCATTATATATTAAGTTATAGGACCTTTGTTATAGGATTCTTAAGTATTCCAGCATCAAGGGAGTATTATGAATATATTTCAAATGAGTAAATACATAAATTAAATTTGAATAAATTTTACATATTTAACATCAAATTAAATAACTTATCATAGATTACAAATATATTAAAATTAAATAAGCAATAATATAAAATAATTATTATGCATTCAATTTAAATATATTTATTATAATTGTATTGTAAATTAATTAAATTATATTTTTATAAATAAATAGTAACTTAAAAAGATTAGGAGGAACTGTTTGGTTAATGCAAGCTATAATTTTTTCTGAAATCTTTTTATTTTTTAAAAATTACTAAGGTAATATTAATCAAATAATTTTATATTTTAATTATTTTATAAAGGTTAATTTAGAGAACCGTTCCCATTATGGGTTATTATAGTATGGACTTTAATTATTGGACTCTTTCTTTTTGTAATAATAATATTAGGTTGGAGAGATATCAAAAGAATATTTATTTAAAATAAAATAAAAAAAAATTGATTTTAATAAAATTATTTGTATTTTTTTTATTTTTTTTCAATTTAATTTTTAATTTTGAAAATGTATTTTTTGTATGTGTTTATAAAATAAAAAATAGTTTTAAAATAATTCAAAAAATTAAAAGTTTTAATCATTTATCAATTTTCTTATAAAATCAAATTATTTGACATAAATTTTAAAACTATAATAACTATAAAATTTTAGAAAATATAATCTTAGTAATTTAAAATAAATATATATTAAAAATTTAACTTTATAAATATATATAATACATATTATTTATGTATTTTTAACAAACAAACTAAATTAAGACAATTATTTTTAGAAATCTATTTAATATTTTTTAAATATTTACAATATCTAAAATAATCTTGCTTAAAAATATTTATAATTAATTTTAAAAATCATTTTGATTATAGCCATGATTTTTTATCATTATCCTTACTATCTTTTATTTTTTCTTTTTCTTTTTCAATTTAATTATCATTATCTTCTTCTTCATTATCTTGTAACCATCTTAAGTGTTTTCCATCATTCCAAATTCCAACTTTTTATTTTCCATCAGGTAATATATAAATCCCTCTACCATTCTATTTACCATTTTTCCAATATCCTTCATACATTTTACCATCAGGCCAAATATAGACTCCTTTACCCTATTAGAATTAAAAATAATATACAATAATAATATAATATATATTACATGTTTTTTGTCATTTTCATACTAACCTTAGTATACTCTTCCATCATTCCAAGTATATTTTCCTTCGCCATGCATATTATTATCTTTCCATTCTCCTTCATATTTTCTACCATCAGCCCATTAATAAAATCCCTAAAATATATATAATTTTTTTTTTTTAAGAAACAAGAAAAAAGAAAAAAAGAAAAAAAGAAAAAAAAAGGTAAAAAAATATCAATATTTAAAAATTATTGCAATATTAACTTTATTATATATTTAACATATCCACATAATTTATTATCTTCCCAATTTCCATCATAAGAAGAACCGTCATTCCAAACAAACTTTCCTAAACCAAATTTTTTTCCATTTACATAGTTTCCTTCATATTTTGAAATTTTATTCCATGTTTCAACACCATACCCATTTTATAGATCATTTTTCCAATAGCCTTCATATTTTGCACCATTTACATGAACATAGATGCCATATCCATTTGCTTTATCATTTTCCCATTCTCCATCATAATAATCTCCATCTGTGTGATAAAATTTTCCTTTACCATGAGCTTTATTGTTTTACCATTATCCTTTTTGTAAAAAATAAATAAAAATTAATTTTTTTTTTTTTACCAACATATTTAGCACCATCAGGCCATACTTATTCTCCGAAACCATCACGTGTTTTGTTTTTCCATTCACCTGTATAAATAGCTCCACTTTTGAATTTATATTAAATCTTTTTGGTTATAACATCAGGATTTTCATTTTAAAGCACTATATCTTATTTTTATTCTTATTCAAAGTATTTTTGACTTTCAGGTTTTTAATTTTAAAGTTAATTATTACTTTCTCAATTTTAATCATCTTAAATTTAATTTCTTTATGTTATAGTTTCTAAATTGTCATAGACATATACATGTAGTAATTTACTATTGTTCATTTGATTTAATATGTTATCGTTTCGATTACTTTATACTACTGCTTCTTCATATTTTGTAGCAATATCTTATTTTTGCTATAGATATTCTATTTTTTATTACAAATTGTAATCATTTGTTGTAATTTTTTCTTAGTTTAATTATTCTAATAATTCGTCATCTATTTAATTTATTTAGATTTCAGTATATTTTTATCCTTTACAAGGAATACATTTGCATTAATTTCCCATTTTTATTTTTATTCCGTTTTATAAATTATAATTTATTATTTTCTGTTTTTATAAAATAAACGTTAATATTATTAATATATAATAATAAATAAATTGGAAAAAAAAAATAAAGAAATAATAATATTTATGTAATTTATTAATAAATATTTAGTATAAAAAAATATATAAAAATAAATTTTAATATAATAATTAATAATAATTTATAAAGAAATAAATATTTATTAATGAAATTACGTTAATATGATTTAATAAATTTAATTTTATATAATATTTTTATTTATTTATTAAATAATAATTACATTTTTTTTTTTAAATTTAAATAAATATAATATATTTTTTTGTTTAATTTAATATAATCAGTTAGTAATAAAAATTTTAAGAATTTTCTAGTTTTTAATTTATAATATATTAACATTAGAAAATTCAATAATTTTTTTTTAATTAATATTAATTTATAAGATTTTATTAAAATTAAAGAATATTTACTAATTATTCTCAAAAAATTCACATATTACTTTTTTCCTTTCTTTTTTTGATTGCAAATAAATAGTTAGATATTTTAAAAAAATTGTAAAATCATTAATTAAAAACCACTAGAATCTCTTTTCATGATTAAATAGTAAATAATATATAAATAATTTTTTAGATTATTACTTTATTTGTGTTAGATCTAGTTAAATATTGATATGATTAAAATTTAGTATTAAAGAAATTAATGATTATTTATTAATATAAAAAAAAGATTATTTATATAATTTTTAATTCAAGCTTTATTTTACTTTTTCTTATAATTTAAAATAAAAGATTTTGCTTTTAATTTATTTTAAATATAAAAAATAAATATATATTAAATGGAATAACATTAAGTTGAAGAGCAAATTAAAGAAAACTAAGATTCAAGCCCTTAAGAAATTTGGCAGGAAATTAATTAACTATATTAGGAAGATTCTTCCCCCTAATAATTATAAAAAAATTATAAATTTAGAATACTTTTATTATCCTTTTTAATCCTTATAATATCAATAATTATTTACAAATTTTCAAAACCTGATATATACTCAAAAGGCGTAAAATTATTTTCTTTTGGAATATATGAAGGAGAGTTATTGAATGATATGCTTCATGGATAAGGCACCTTTAAATGGAATAACAATAATACTTATCAAGGTCAATTTAATTAAAATTAAATACATGGAAATGGCTTATTTGCATGGCTAGATTAAAATGCAACAAACTACGGGGATTATTATGTCGGTAATTTTAAAGATGAAAAATTTCATGGAAAAGGTGTTTATAATTGGAAAAATGAGGATAAATATGAAGGAGAATGGCTCAATGGAAAACAACATGGATAAGGAGTTTTCACCAAAAAAAATGGTGATGTATATACAGGAGGATTTTTTCAAGGAATTAATTATGGAAAAGGACTATATAAATTTGCTAATGGAGATACTTTAGAAGCATATTTTATTAATGGAAAAGCTTAAGGTAATGGTACTTATAAATCTGTTTAAAACTAAACATATTAGGGAAATTATATTGATGGAAAAAAGCATGGAAAAGGAATTTATTAATGGGAAAATGGTAATAAATATTAAGGAGACTTTATTGAAGACTAAATAACAGGGTATGGATCATTTTATTTCTAAAATGGAGATAAATATATTGGGGAATTCGATAATGGATTTTAGAATGGAAACGGAACTATTTATTATAATAATGGAGATATGTATAAAGGAAGATTTTTAATGGGTAATAAGTATGCTAATGGATTTCATCATTTTAAAAATGGTACTGTTCTTAAAGAAAATTATAATATTCAATTTACTGACGGAGAAAAACCACCAAAAGATATTACATTTGTATGAATTAAATTAAGAAAGTATAAATATATATATATATAAATAAATATTTGTATTTTTTTTTCATTTATATAAATAATTAAAACAATGAGACATATAATATTTTTTTTTTAAATTAAAATTAAGTTCAAAATTTTTATTAAAAGAATTTATTATTTTAAAAAATTATTGTTTCTATATTTTTATATAAATATATATTAATATAATCTAGTTATATAAAAAAATATTTGAATTCATTTAGGTTACTCTTCTTCACAACATTAACAACAAATTTTTTTTATAATTTTTTAACCAAAAGGAATAAAAGTTATAGAATACCATAAATAAGCTAGGAATTATATTATAATAAAAAGAATAATTAAAAGCTTATTTTTTACAGCAAACGCAAATACTAATGTGCAAATCATAGAAATTAAAAATAATAATGTAGCAAGAAGTCTAGATTTATCCATCATTTTTTTAAATTAGTTTTTTGGCCCACTTAAAAAACATGTACTAATTTTTAAAAGTTTTAAAACAATAAATTTTTATTAATTTAAAATATTAACCCAGCTAAAGAAATTATATTTCCTATGGTAAAAATAATAGCAAATTTTGCTGGTGAACCTCTTTTGACTGCAACAAACAATATAGTGGCTAAAATTGAACAAATCTACCCTTTTTATTTTTTTTATTTATTAATACGTAATTTAGAAATTTTATTTTAATTTATTTTTTAATACCTAATACTGAACATGTTATAAAACCAATTAATCTTTGTTTGTAAGTAAGAGATGGACATAACTCATTTTTATTATCTGTAGCCTTAGCTAATAATCCAGACATATTTTAAATAATTTAAGAAAATAAAAAAAAAATTAAATTAAAAGATATATAACTATAAATAATTATTTGTATTATATATTAATTAATAAATTTATGCTTTATGTCTAAAAATCATAACCAATTATTATTTTATTATATAAAGAAGTTAAAAAATAATTATTATAATAATATAATTAATAATAATTAATCATAAAAAATAATATATTAAATTCACTTGATAAATGATTATTAGATATATAATTATTAAATAATTAATATAAAATTGAATAAATATTTAAATTATATAGTAAATACACATAAATCATATTTAAAATAAAAATATAACAGAAAAATAATTTATATAATATACTAAATATATAAAAATATAATGTTATATATAATATATTAATTTTAAATAAAATTTTAATAAATAAGAATTAATAAAAAAAATTCTTACATATAAAATTTATTATATATTTATTTCTAATTAAATATTATATAAATAAAATTATAATAATTTTACTTTCATATCCTTTTATTTTATTAATTAAAAAAATAATATTTTTAATTTTAATAAAAACTATGAAGAAATAAGTTTTAATTTTAGGCGGATCAACTTTCATGGGTTTAAAGTTGCTTTAAATTTTGAGTGAAAATAATTATGAGATTTATTATATTAATAGAGGGAAAAAATATTGGTTAATAATCATTTTATTTTATATTAAAATAATATATTCCGTTTTAAATTAAATTAAATTATAACTTTAGGAATAATTAAGTTAAAAAAATTAAAAATGCAACTCATATATTCGGAAATAGAAACGAAAAAAAAGAATATACTAAATTAATAAAATATGTAAGTGAAAAGGCAGGAATAACAAATTCATCTAATATTAAATGGAGTGCTGTATATGATTTTTGCGGTTATAAATATAGCGAAGTTTAAGTATTTATAATAACTTTTTAATTTATATTTTATTTAATCAACTTAGTGTACATATGAAGCATTAAAAGGATTAATTGATATATATGTATTTATATCTACTGATTCTATATATGATGCTTGTGACAAAAAAATTAGGTAGTCTAATTTATAGACATAATAAATATTAATAAAAATTTATTTAAATAGAAATGGTAATTAATTTATTAAGGAATAACATGCAGTTCGACCGAGTTAACTATCTTAAATAAGAAAATTAAAAGAATAAGATTCATATGGTCATGTATATAAAAAAAGATTAATATGTAACTTAAAAAAAAATTATAAATAAATATAAATATAAAATATAAATATAATATAAATATAAATATAAATATAATATATATATATATATATATATATAAATATTTTCATTTTTAATATTATTTATTATATTTATATTAGCATAAGTTAAAATGTGAAGAATTTCTTTATCACTATACTTAAAAAGATATTTTTCCATTTGTAATTTTAAGACTTCCTGATGTCATAGGTCCTTTTGATGATACTGGAAGATTTTGGGCATATATAAAATGGATATAAAAAAGTTAAGATTATCCAATATATATTGATGATGAATGTAAAAACACAAAAATAAGTTTTGTTTTTAGCGAAGATGTTGCTTTATTGTGTTTGAAACTTATAGATATGAATAAAAGGGATATATCATATAATAGTTACAATATAGCGTTTAAAGAAAACATTACTTTAAAATAATTTTTTATAAAAATTGTATTTTTTTATAATATTGATTATATATATTTATTTTTATATTTAGCAATATCTTTTGAATGTTAGTAATTTAAATTTAAAAGATAAAGATAGTGCCTCTAAATTTTATCCATCAGTTGATTGTGGACCAATTGATATTTAAAAAGCCATAGAAAAATTAAATTGGAATCCTTAAAACCTTGTATTTATATATTTATATATATATATATATATATATATATATATTTATATATATTTATATATATATTCATATTTATATATAATTAAATTTAAAGGATTTTGCTTTATAATAAACTGTTTAATTTTTCTAAAATGCTTAAGGTTAATATAGACAAGAAGAAAAATAAGCAGATAAAAAATTAGAAAAGAAAATAAAATGAAATATAAAATTAATTTTATATTTTTTAAAATAAAAAAACATTATTTTAATATTTTTTTTTTTAATAAAAATTATTTTAAATATATTTAAGTTTTTAATTTTAAAAATATTTTAAGAATTTTTTTTAATTAATAAATATAAATTAAAATATATTTCAAAAAAATTATAAATTATTTTTTTATATTTATTGTTTTATTTTTTCTGTTATTTTTTATATTTTTTTTATAAATTCTTAATCAACAAAAGAAATATATAATGTTTTTTTTTTCATATTTTGATTAAGATTTTAATAATAATTATGAACAAATATTGTTTTTCATAAAATATTCATATTAGCTATGTAATATAGCCTAGAAGTAGTATTTCTTATTAAACAAAATTATTCTTTTAAATTTGTTTCATTTGATAAACCATCTAATATATATTTCAAAATATAACCTTTAGCTATTCCTTTTTATAATCTAAAAGAGAAAATTCCATTTGTTATAAAACCTGATTATTACAAAAAATAAAATAAAAAAAAAAAAACAAATATAATTACCAATAATTTTTCTTGAAGTTTATATTTAAGGTTATATTTCTTAATTATTATTATCATTATTTTTTATTTTATTTTTTTCAGATTTTTCTTAAAATATATGATATATTTTTTAATTCTATTATTTTTTCATACTAAGATAATTTTCAATATCTTCAGGTAAAGGCAAACAAATATACGCATTTTATTTTGGTTTTCCTCTCCCACACATAAATATTTAAACTTCTTATAAATCTTCTTATTAAACCAATATTTTTACATCACTTTATAAAAATTAAGTAAAAATAGAATCAAAATTTGGACAAAAAGGAAAAGGAGATTTAATCATTTAAAAATTACATCTTTTACGCACAGGAGTTTTAAGGAATTTTTGTATATTTTATTTTACCTTTATTTTATTTTATTTTTCAAATAAATTAAATATTTTTTTTAACTTTTTCTTTTGTTAATTCTTTATATGATATTGTTAAAGGATAATCTTCGGGAAAAACTTTTAAATGTCCTTCTTATAATAGGAAATTATATTAATTTAATCCTATTGCTTTTGTTGCTAAATAGGATAAAATCCTCCATACTGAATTACCTCTTCCTTAATTTAATATTATTGTTATTCCTGATCCAAATAATTTATATTGTTAATCGTTTCTAAAAATTATTATAAAATCAATTTACTATTCGATTTTTTCTACTTCTAATCTAATTTCCTATTGTTTTTTTATAAATCAAAGATAATTTTTTAATATATTTTTTTTATTTTATTTTTTACTTTTATTTCAATATTTTAATTTGTTTTAATTTATGGTTATATAAGTTCAGTTTTATTTCCTTATATTTCATTTTAATCTTACTAAAGCTATTTTTTATTATTTTCTTGATTTATAGCTTCATTTTTTTGATTTTTAGATTCTTTTAAAGCAGCAGATTTTTATTTAGTGGCTATTTTATTTTTCTTTTTATGTGTATATTTACTTCTTGTTACTTAAATAAATCTTTTTACATATTCCTTATTATCAAATTATTATATTTTTTCAAAAAAATCTATATTTTCTTATTTTCTATTATTATAATAAGCACAAATATCAAATATAGATTAATTATATTAAATCTGATTAAATTAGTTTTCATTTATTGATTTTTAAGAGAAATTTTCCGGCGGGTGAATAAGTTTTTTTTAAATCTATGCATTAAAACTAATTTATAAAATGTAATTTTTTGGATAATTACAAGGGTCTGAAATAAATTAGAATTATTTAACTAGAGGATGTAATTAGTTAATTTATTCTTAATTAATACCTAAATTTAAAAGAAGTAAATTGAATTTTTATAAAGACTATGGACCAATTAAATCAAAAATATTATAATTATCTTCAATTATTGTAAATTTAGTTTCAAAATCTTCTTATTTAAATAAATTTTCTAATTCAATTTTCATAGCTGGATGTGCAATTCCTATAAGACAATTTAAATTTTGCCAAAAAAATTATACAGGACCAATAATATTTGACATATCATTTTTATAAATATTAAAATAATTTGTAATTTTATTATTTTTGTTTTAATAAAGTTTTAGAATTTTAAAGTTTTATTCTATTATAAATCTTTAAATGGATTATAATATTTTTTCACCTTCTAACTTAAAAAAAATATAATAGCTTCTATCATATATAACACATTCATGATTTGCAAATCTATAGGATGCCCTGTCGCCTTTATCGCTTGGAGTTTATGCTATTTTATATCTATATATATATATATATATATATATATATATATATATATATATATATATATATATAAACATAATTATTATATTTTTTAATTTAACAAAAAAAATAAAAAATACTTAAAATAATTTATCATTTTCATTCTTTTAGCATGCCATAAATGAGTTTCCATCCATTTATTTTTTTTATTCCTTCTAAAGTATGAATTCATTAAAAGCTTTGGTTTTCTTAAATGTTTTCTACATTTAATTGGGTTTTAAGTTTTTTCTATTGTATCAAGCTCATTTAAATTCATTTTATTACGAATTCTGCTTGGTATTCTATATCTATTATGAGACATAGCTCTTCTTCTTAAATGTTTTTTTACTTTTTAATATGGTAACTTTGTTTTTATTTTATATTTGTTAAATAAAATATAGGTTACTTTATTTGACATATTTAGCTTTTAATTTAATTAATTTGTAAAATATCCTATTTCTGTACTTCTTGATTCTAAAAACTAACTAATTACTACATGACGATTTTCTAAATTTTCGCTTTAATTATTAGTATTTTACTATTCCATATTTTTATTTTTTTAAAGCAAACTTAAATAAATTAAATATAAAAATAAAGATATAAAATAAAAACAATTTTTTTTTTATTTAAGATGATTAATATATATTTAGAAAATGTTAAATTGATTTGAATTAAGAAAATAATAAATATTAAAATTATTAAATAATCTATAAATTAATAAAAGTTAATTTTTTTTTTTAAACAAAAAAAACTAATGAAATAAATAAAAAGTTTTGAAATGTTTTTTTTATTAATATTGAGACTTTTTAAAGAATATCAAAATATATATATATATATGAATATATTCATAATTTTGTTAGTATTATTATATTTCATATTGATTCTTTTCAATATATATTTTATAATTTTTTTTATTTTATTTCTTTTAAAAATTATCTTATTTTATTAATTTCCTATTCACTTGGTTAATATTTATCTTTTCTTCGATTTCTTATATATGATTTGATACTAATTTATAATTAACCATTTTTTAAATATGATATGTAACACATATAAAAGCAGCAATCCATAGATAAATTAAAAAAAATCTTACGTATAAACTTATTTTACTATAAAATATTGTATTTATACTAATAAATAAATACATAATATTTTAAAATAAAATTAAGCCATAAAAAACAAAAGGGAAGCAGCCAAAACTTATTAAATTTTATTAAAAATTACTCTAATATTAAAATTCATTGACACTTAATTAACTTTTTTCAAGGTCTAATTAATTATTTTGATTTATTTCATTATTTTTCATATTTTAATTACTGGAGTATTATTGCTAAAGTTTATTAAATAATTTTGTTAATCCATAACAAATAAAAGCAAACAAAAAACTTATTATAAAGCTTATAATATTAATAGGCATATAATAAACCACTAGATAAAATGCTCTTTTGTTATTTTGATATAAATTAGGATAAAAAAATAAACAACTAAGACCATATAATAATGAAAATATTATATTACCTAAATATAATTAAGTTTCTTTATTATTATAATGTTTTTACGATTTAAGTTGTTTTTCTTAAAATAAATATAATTCCTTAATTTTATCGATTTATTGATTATTATTTAAATTATTTTAAAATTAATATTAATTAACTATATTTTCATTCTATAAATTATCTTTTTTTTATTAATTTTGGGTATTTTGTATAAAAATATTATTTTAAAAGCTTTAGTTTTTTGAATCTATGTTGGAGGATTAATATAAACCAATCTAAGATTAGTAGTTTAAATTATTTTAACTCATTTTTTTTATTCTATTAATATAAATAATTATTTAAATAAAATTAAAATTTATTAAAAATATTTCCAATATAAGAAAATAAATTTATTTTATGATTTAATTTTAATATATTTTGTTTATATTATAGAATTTTGACATTAAAAAATAAAATAATATAAAAATATAAATAATAGTATTTTATAAATTTAAAGTAATGGATAACACATGTATTTTATTAATTATAAAGAGTTTTAATATATTTAAATAACAAAAAAAAATAGAAAACAAAGAGACTTATGAAGAAGCCTATAATTATTAAAGTGAAGGTATTTAAAATAAAAAATACATTTTAATAAAAATAAAAATATTAATTATAAATACCTTTTTAAAAGATAAATAGATATTTAATAAGATATTTGACGAGACTTAATTCTAAAAAAGTGATAATTGTTAACTTTGTAAAAAACAATTTGGTATGGTAGCAAGTGCGAAGAATTGGTAAATAAAATATAAAAATAAATTTATCATATAATACTTGATTGTATTATTTATAATATATTTTTAATAATTTTTTTTTTGTTTATTTATCTATTATTTATTATTTAAAGCTATTTTTGTGCTAGTTCAGTTTGTGAAGAATGTTCACCAAAAAAAAGAGCAAATCCTTAATAATTAGATAAGTTTGTTCGAATTTGTGATTATTGTGATGAAAAATTTTTAAGAAACTATTTACATAATGAACATAAATACAAAATATAAAAAAAAGAATAATTATTAAAAGACCTTTAAAATTAAAATAAATTATTAAATTCAGAATTATAAAAAAAGAATGAAGATTTTTAAAAAATACAAAAACCAGTAAATTAAAAAAACATGATGAACTAATTTTTTAATATATAAAATAGAAAAAATGGAAATAGCTAGAATTGAAATAGAAATTTAAGACTAAGAGGAAATTTATAAAAAATAAAATAAAAATATGATGAAAAAGAATAAGAAATCAAACAACTTAAAGAATTATCTAATCAAATAGAAACAGATATAAAAACAAATGAAGAAAAGATAATTTAAAGTTAATAGCTAATATAATAAAAGTAAATTTATTTAATTTTTTAGAAATAATAAATTAAAAAAGAGAATAAGAATTAGCTTAAAAAAATTAAGAAATTTAAGAAAACGAAGATAAAATAAAATAAACATAAGACAAATTAGCAGGAATCAATTAAAATATGACGACATTTTAGTTAAATAATAGATAAGGTGTTGATTCCATTTTGAAAAACAGAATTACGAAACAATAAAATTTATCATAAATGTCAAATAATTCTAATAATTATGATGGAATTTTTAACAGTATAACAAGTAATCAAAGTGATGAAGAATAACATATATCTGGATTAAATGTTAAAGAGTTATAAAAAAATTCATAATTATTAGATTGATCCAATATTAATATTTATTAAACAGAAATAATTATAAAAAATAGGAATATATATTTTCGTAAAACATCAATTAATTAAATTAATATATTTATAAACATTTAAATTATTTTCCGGATCTATTTAATATTATAGTTTATCTAAAGTTTTATTTTATTTGTATATTTTTAAATGATAATATATATTATTATATTCTTATTATAATTATAAATTTTATTTTTAATTAATTTAATAATATAAAAAATAAAATTATTAACAACTATTAAACTTTTTCATTTTTTTATATTTATTTAGTTCATTATTTTTATGTGAATATCGTTAAAAGAAGTTCTCTTTTTATTCTTTTCTTAACTATAAAAAAAGGAAAGTATTTTTTTTTATTTAATTCCATTATTTTTTTATTGTTTTTAAGATTAGTAAATTTGATCATATATCTTATATGTAAAAGTTTAATTTTTGTTTTGATTTCTCATAAAATGAATAACTTATTTTTTATGTTAAAGAAAATTATTAAGTTCATTTTCTATTTATTTTGTATCTCTAAATTATGTTCTTAATATCTATTCTTAATTTTCAATAATTTATTAAGAAGATTTATTTATTTTATTAAGAATTATTTTATTTGTTTAATTGTTCATGAATTATATTTATGTCGGTTATTTCAATTTTTAATTTTATATATAATTTATTAAGTTTTCTTTTTAATTTGATATTTAAGATTATAGTTAAAATGAATTACTTTTATTTTTTTTAGGATCTTTTTTAATATTATAAAATTAATTAAATTATGTTGGAGTATTTAAAATAATATTTTTTTTATTAATTTATTAAGTGTTTTTGTAAAAACTTATATTAGATTCTTTTAATTAAGAATAACTTAAAGATTTAGAATTTTTATTTTTATTAATATTATACATTTTAATTAATTTAAAGACTGCTTTTTAACATTTGTGATTTTTATATTCTTTAATTCTTTTTTCTTACCATTCTCTTCTTTCTTTACTTTTTTTTTCTAAAATTTGATATCCTTAATATTTTTTAAGTAGCTAAATAAAAATCTATTTTTTTATATATATTTAAAAGGTTGTAATATATATATATATATATATATATTAAGTAAATTATTAAAAAAATAAAATAAAAAAAAACCAAACGTCTTTTTTAAGAGCATAAATAATGGCATTTATAGAACAACAAACGGCTTATTATTTTCTTTTTTAAAAGTTATTAATTATTTCGAATTCTCCAAAAAAAGAAAGTTAAGATTATTAATAAACTATAATTTTATTTTTTCTTTTTTTAATTTATTTATTTTATACAAAATGAATTATATAAATCATTTTATTATTAAAAATTATTTTTTTCATTTTTTAATACACTCTCTTGTATTAAAACTTCTCCTTCTTTTATAAAATAAATAAAGTTACAATCATCGTTTTCTGAAAATATTACTTAGTCTTTAGTAAAAGTTAATATTTAAGTTTCATGTAATAATATCATCAATTTTGATTAAGGAATTATTTTCATAAAATCAAAATTTTAATAAAATTCTATTTATTATTTTATAACAATTTTATTATATTATCCCATTATTTTCTAAAAGCTTTATTTTGTTAAAAATATTAAATGACAATCTGTTTTACATATCATAGTACCTGTCCTAATTAATAGTTATATTTATTTTTTTGTTAAAAAGAATAATAATAATAAAACCTTTTTTATTTTGTAACTAATGCTATTTCTCCAAAAGCTTCTCCAGGTTAAAATTCTTTTATAAATTTCATATTAGGATAGTTTTTTTATATAATCTATTAGAATTCTAAGTCTTAATTAATTACCTTAGATACTCCTGTATTTAATTTGGGTGTGCAATTAATATCTTTGACAAAATATTCCTTTATTTATATACTATCAGTTTATTATTTCTAAAGTCTAATATTATTTTCATTAATTTAAAGCTATTCCAAATATTTTTATTAAAACAAAGGAACATTTTCCAATATGGAAACACTGACATCTCTTATTTAATTTTAGTCTTTTAATTCGCTATTATTTTATACTTATTCAGAAATGGTATTTATACTATTTTTTTATTTTAATACACTTGAATACTCTAAATTCAATTTTACAGGAAAAGAGCTTTATTATAATTATTCGCAAAAAGACTATTTCGTTTAAATTTGCTAATATATTTAAATAATATTTAATTTTAAATTAATTTTTTATTTTTTACTCTTTCTTTTACTAATTTTTTTCTACTATTATTCATATACAATAATCTAAAAAAATATAACATATTTATATATATAAATATAAATATAAATATATATATATAAATATAAATATATATATATATATATATTATATATATTATATATATAATTTTTTAAATTACTCTTTGAAAATTCTTTAAAAATATTTTGTTTTATGTAAGTTTATATTTTTAAGTTTTTATTATTTTTCCTATTCTTATTTTTTTTTTTTTTCTGTTAACATTTTTTCGATATCCTCTGATTCCTACTATGATTTAGGTAATAATAAATGCACATTTCCTTATTTTTTATTTAAATTTATGATAATTTTAATAAAAAAAAACCTTTTAAAACAATATAATATGCATCACCTTCATCTCCAATTTCAAAAATAGTTTAATTTTTTTTTATAAATTTATAACCTAAAGATTGTATTAAATATTCATAAGTTTTCGGATTTTAAAAAATAGTATCTTTGTGTTATTTGAAAAGATTAATATTTTGAATAGCTCTTTTAATAAATAGCTTTTCTTTTTAATTTTGTTTCTATTTTTTTAAAATTTTAATTATTGTATCTGTGTCTTCTTAATTTTATAAAGAGACTTCTTCCTTGTCTAAAATATCATTAATTTAAGATAAAGTATATTATTTTATTTTATTTTGAAGGTCATTTGGTTAATTATCTTATTATTAGGAAAAAGAAAAAGAAGAATAAGTTCTTTTTATTTATATTTATTCTAATTTTTATATCTTTATTTTTATAAAAAATTTTTTATCTAAAAAACTGGTTTTTCATGATTTTTTTTATCTGCTTATTAAGAATTTGTAGATGATGAAGTATGTTTTTTTTTTTTCTTTTAAGTCTTCAAATAAACTTTTCTCATTATTTTTATCATTTGTTTTTGTATAAAATGGCTTTTGATAAATTTAACTTTTTCTACTATTTAAAGTGAAATAAGAAATATTTTATTTTTAAATTTTCTAATTGGAATCTATTAGTATTGATGATTTTAGCTTTTTTAGTTTTTATGACTATGCTTCAATTAAACTTTTTATATTTTAAGGTGAATTAAATTATTTTTATTCTTTATTCATTTAATAGTTTTATATATATTATTTGTCAATTTATTTAAATTATATTATAAATATTTTTAATTTACTTAAATATTTATAAGTAAGATGAATTTAAACTTAATGTAGATTATGGCATAAACATTTTATAAATTCAATATCATTATAATTTAAAATGAAAAATAATTATAAATTGACATAAATTTAGGTTTTGGTTTAAAGAAAATATAAAATAATATAAATTATTTTTAATAATATGTATAAAAAATGATGGAAAATTTATATTTAAATAATAATATCAGATTTTTAAAATAAACATCAACATTTTGTAAAAAGAATTATTTAAATTTAGAATCAATATATTGTATTATTTTATTATTCATATTATTTATACTATTATTATTATTTTAATTAACAACTCAATATTTTTTAAATAAAATTATCTTAACTTATTTTTAATTTATATATAAAATTGTATTTTATTTTATATTTAATAAAATTTTATAATTTAATATATAAAATATATTCATTTTATTATTTTTTTTTAGAATTTCTTTTTAATTTTTTCTTTTTTCATTTTTAATATAAATATTTTTTTTTTAATCAAAATAATTAATATAAGAATTAATTTTAAATATTAAATTTCTTTTATAAACTAAATTTATTATTTTTAAGTTATAAAGAAAAAAATTAAAATATTTAAAAATATAAAAAAAATATATATAAAATGAATTAAAATATAATTACTTTAGGCCTTTCTATTATAATATTATTATCAATAACATTATACGTTTGCAATAATAATAAATAACGAAATATATTATTGCCTAAAAAAACGCCATAAGAAATGTAGTAAATGTTTGAAGAATTTAATGTAAAATATAACAAAAAATATGCTTCTTTAGATTAATCATCCTATAGATTAAACATTTTTACTGAAAACTATAATTTTATCTAAGATCGTAATTAATAAATTACAAACTTAGTATTAGAAATAAACTAATATACTGATTTAACTCTTGAAGAATTCAGATAGCTTCATTCTGGTTATTAATAAAAATAAAAAAAAACATTAAGATTGCGCAAAAATACAAATTTTTAAAATGAAGATTTACCTGAATCTGTTGACTGGAGGGATAAGTTAACAACCCCAGTTTAAAAATAAGGAGCTTGTGGAAGTTGTTGGGCATTTTCCACCATAGTTGCTTTAGAAGCTGCTTATGCGAAATAAACAGGAGAAATAGTCAAGCTTTCAGAACAAAATGTTATGGATTGTTGCAAATTAGAAGATAAAGGATGTAATGGTGGAGATCCAGAAAGTGCTTTAAATTGTGTTACAAAGTTAATTAAAGGAATTATGAAAGAAGATGATTATCCTTATTAAGCTATAACAAGAAAATAATGTGATTTTGTTAAAGAGAAGTCTGTATATCTTCCCGATAATTATGAAGATATAACTCCTAAAAATGAGTTAGTTTTAAAAAGTTTTGTCGCTAAATAGCCTGTTTCTACATGTATTGGAGCTACTACTTAAATATTCTAATTCTATAAAAGTGGAATTATTAGTCACAGTGAGGATTGCTTAAATTTACCTGATCATTGTATAGGTATTGTTGGGTATGGAGTTGAAGATGATAATAAATATTGGATTGTAAAAAATTCCTGGGGAAACTAATGGGGAGAATAAGGTTATGTAAGAATTCTTAGAACTGATAATTCTAATGATATTGGGATGTGTGCGATTGCAAGTGAACCAAGAATTGTTAATTGGTAAGGGGGAAATAATAATTAAACTAATTGAATTTTTTTTTTTTTACGTTTATTTTAATAATTTGTATGATATTTTTTTATTTTATTTTTTATTTAAAAAAAAAAAAGTTTTTTATGTTTCCTTAATCATTTAAATATTAACTTTATTTAAGTAGTTTTTTTTGTTTTATATATTTTTATTTATTAAATGATTATTCTTTAAAATAATAATATTTATATTTAATTAATTTTTTTTTTAAAATTATTAGTATATATAATATTTTATATTTCAATAAACATGACTGTCAATTAGTTAAGCAAGCATACTATGCCTATCTTATAATTCAATTTATTTATTTTCTAGATTTTATTCATATTCATATCTGGCTTTTAAGACAATTTTAGTTCCAGGATCAATCATAGAAAGTTCATAGTCGTCTGTAAATTAATAATTTTTTAAATCTAGATAGACTAATACTTTATCATAAATTCCAAAATAATTTAATAGGAAGAATATAATAATTAAACAAGGGAATAAATTAGTGAATTTTTTTCCTAAAACATGAACTAAATTAATTTCACCTAAAATAGTATTAAAAGCACAATCACGAATTCTTATAATTTCCAAATAATTATAACACAATGGACAAGCAATTCTAGAAAAATTCTAGCATGTAAATAATAAACTAGGGCCATCAGTCTAATGATTAGGATATAATCCATATGATTTACTTAATTTTAGCCTAAAATATGCATAATATGCATTCAACATCATATAAAGCAAAGGTATTAAAGTAATCATTTATAAATTTACAACACTATAATCCAAATATAAAGAAGAATGTACAAAGTTTCCTAAAAAAGAAACTTCTTTAAATGAATAAAGACTAGCTTCACTAATGAGTAAACAAATACTCATAACAGTTAAAATACTGCATAGATATATTTAATCATCGATACACCATGACAAAACCATATCCATTCTAATTTATTAATTAGGTTTGCATATTTTCCTACTCTTGGTTATCTAATGCTTGATTCAATGACTTAATTTATATTATTTTCATTTGCTATTACATCTTATTACCAAAAAGAGGCTTTTAGATGACTTTTCCATTTACTTCTTGACCTTTTTACTTCTTTAAAATATTTTTTTATTTTTGTTCTAAGAATAGCCACTGAATCTAAATTATATTCCGTTTGTGTATTATCTTGTTGTTAATTTTATTCTTCTTTCATTTAGTCGCGTTAAATTTCCTCTTCTATTTCTGTTTATATGTCTTGTGGTAAAATCATTATAATATTTTCGCAGTATTAGAGAATTTCTTTTGATTCTTCTGTTGGATTTTTATTATTTAATTCTTATTTTCTTATCTTTAGTATCTTTTTTCCATATATCATTAATCTGTTTACTGCTTTCTCTTATTCTTCTTTTATTTATTAAGCTTTGAAATACAAATATGCCATTTAAAGCTTCAATTACGCTGTCCTCCAATGTGCTCTTGGTTATTAAACAAGAGAATATCCAAACAAAATCATAATTTCAAATAATCCCCAACAATTAGCCATACTTTTAAAAAACTAAATCATTTCATAATGTTTCATTAAACCACATTATAGTAATATTGCAATTAATACTCCTCCTATTAAACCTACAATTAGGTAAAATTTCAAATTTTCTACTAATGAATATTTTAGTTTTCTCCACCAATCTAAATAACCTGAATCTTAGTAATATTAAACGATAGGTATTACTACCCAACATAAAAAACTAACTAACCAATAATAAAGGAAATATATTGATTATAATCTAACAAAAACTTTGTCTTCTGTTTATTTTAACTAATTTTTTTCAATTCGTATTTTTACATATATATCAAATGGTAAAAGTAAAATTAAACCAAATATTATAAATAAATCACAAAATATTACTATTTTTATAAATAGTGTGACTTCATCATTACTGTGATACCAAATAAACCATATGATAAAAAGGAATAAAATAAAAAACTCAAGTAAAATTAAAATATACATATTAAATATAATTATTTTCAAATATTTTTATGTAGTTTTTTTTTTGTATTTTGATTTTAATTATTTTGATAAAATATTTACAAAAACTATTTTTATATTTTTTATTTTAATAAAATATTCATTTACTCTTTTTTATTTTAAATATACATTTTTAAAAACATAATAATTTTTATTATTTATAATATATAATTAATTAATAATCATCATTCTGTTTTATTTTAAAATAAATTTATATTATCTTCATTATATAAATATAAAAATTTCGATTATCAATTATTTAATATGATGTTCATTAAATAACTTGATTTTTTAAATAAATTTAAATTTTGTGTAAATAGTATTGATATTTTTCTTTACTATAATTGTTATTTTACATTAACGAATTTAAAATATTATAAATTATGTATATTTTAAAATAAAATATATATTATAATTAATATTAAAATTTTATATCCTATTAGTAAATAATATTCTTATTTTCAATTTATTTTTTTAAATTTCTTTAACTTTGTTGAATGATAGAACATGATTCTAATCTTAAATAATTTACTATTCTTTTCTTAATTTTTAAATATCTTCTCGCTAGAGGTTTATTTATAATATATCAATTAAATAGGTTTAAACCTGTTTTTTTGTTTCAATTTTTGCCTGTTAGAAATCTCGTATTTTTTATAGATAAAATTATATTTATATTAAGGTTTTAATTTTATTATTAGTTTTTTAAATTAAATCTTAAAATAATATTTCTCAAGCTTCTGTCATTTAACATAAAAATTTAAATTATTTCTTAATATTATATCATTTTTTAAATGATTTATATTACATAAAAATTAAAATTATTTCTCTTTTTAACATTAAATTCTGAAATATTTCATTATAGATCAAACATATATTTTATTTTTCATAAAAGTATTTAAACAAAATGTCTTTATTAAAAATTATATAATTAAATATTAAACTAATATTATTATAAATTTTATGTTCTTATTATTTATTATTTAAAAATAAAGATTTTATTTACTTATATAATATTAATATAAGCAAATATATTTTATTTATTCTATAATAAATATTAAATGTAAAGATATATTTAATTTAATTAAATTTAGATATTTGTAAACAAAAACAAAGATAAAAAAACAAATAAAAAATTATAAAAAGTTAAGGATTTTTATATAAAATAATAATAAAAATTAAACAAAAAATAATAAATTATATATTTGTGCTGGATATAAAACAATTAGCTTAATGGTATTATAATAAAGCATAAAAAAATTATTTTTATTTTAAAAAAATTAAAAAGACGCAAAAACGAAATTTTATAAATAATTATAAAATTGAAAATATAAAAATATTATTTTTGATAATTTAATAAAATATGATGAATATATTATTGATTTGCTATTTAAGATTATATATTAGAAATATAAAATAATTTTATATTTTCATTTTTTTTTATAAATATATATAAATATAAGTTTGATTTTATTTTATTTTTTGTTAAAAATATATGTACCTATTATTTTTTTAATCGTGTAATAAAAAAAAATATATATACATAAAGCATATTATCATTAAAAATTTAAGTTTTTTTATTTCAATTTTAAATTAATTATTTTACTTAAAATAATAAAAATATCATATTAAATTCATTTTGAAATGCTAATTATATGAAAAAGCATAATTTAATCTAAAAAATAGTTATTATTATTTTATTTATGGTATATCTATTATTAAATTTGTTTACATATATATATATTTTTTTCATTTTAAATAATTTATGCAATTTATATTTTTTTCTTTATATATTAGCTAAAATAAAATTAACTATTTTATATTAATTTTGATCAGAAGTTATATTTACATTAAATTAAAATAATTGAATAAGATTATTATATCATATAATCTTTATAAATATTAACTTATGATTTAATGTTTAAATTATGCTATTTAATAATATTAATTCCAATGTTAATTCAATTTTTAAATAATTTAGTAAACATAACATTATACTATTTAAATAATATTAATTTCTCTTATTATTTTGATTTTTAATTATAATGTTTTTATATTTAAAGAACTTATTTTTAATTAATTAATTATATTAAGTACTTTTATTTTATTAATTAATTATTTGGTTTAAATAATTTGATTTATTATTTTGATTTTTAATATTTTCTCATTAATTTAGTTTATATTTAATATAAAACTGCTTTAATTTGTTTATTAATAGATTGTTGAATTTATATCTTAAAGCAATATTATTGTTTATTTAATGATTAATATTTTAAATAATTTTATAGAATATATGTAATAACATATATCTTTTTATCTTCTTATATTTTAACAGCTTGATATTACCTTATCTTATATGTTCACAAAATTATTTTTCTTTATTAATGTTTAATCAATTGAATTTTAAATTTTGTTTAAAAAAAATAAAAAATTAAAGGAGTGATTATATCAGAAAATATAATAAAGTTTGATTTTTAAGTATTTATATATTTATTTATATTACTTTTAATGATATAATAAAAAAATAAAAATAAAAATAAAATATAATATAAATAGAATTACGATTTAATATTTATAAAATATTAAATTCTATTAATTTATAAATATTAATATAATTATTTTTTTATTTAAAATAAATATAAAATAATTAAGTACTAAACTTATCTTAATAATAATATATAAAATATAATATTTATTATTAAAATATTAATATAAAAATATGTTTAAAAATTTTTATTAATATAAAATATAAAAAAAAAAAAATTTAAAAAATAATAATATATAAAATTTTGATTATTATTAATATTAATTAAAATCAAGCAAATGATTCATCGGCTTCATTAATATTATTATTTTTTATTTAACTTTCATTAAAATAATAAGCAGGATCAATACTATCTTCTTTATCATGTGGCTTTTCTTATATCATTTACATGTTTTTGCTTGTATTATTCATCGATTATTAAATATTTTTTTCAGATACAATTTATTCCATATAAGTAAGAACAGGAAGTAAAATTTTTTTCATATTTGTATTTTCAATATATTAAAACATTTTTTTTTATTTCAAGAAATTAATACTTTCTACTAAAAATTATTTAATAACTTCTATTCCATGTTCGAACGCCTATTCAACATAAAAGTTAACTATTTCTTCTATATTATCCATAGTTTATTCTATTTGATTTTTATAAATTAATCCAATAGTACTTCCAAATAATACATCTGAATTCTAAAATAATGATTTAATAAAATATAAAAATATATAACTAATTAAAAAAATATATTTGAATTTTCTTAAAATTTTTAAAAATAATTAAAAATTAAAAAAATATAAAAAAGTAAAAAAATAAGAAAAATTAAATATAATTAATTTAATATATAATATATAATATTTATATTTATATATTTTATATATATCAATATTTATATATATATATTTTTTTATTATATTATTTATATTATAAAATACTTTTAATCTTAAATCTGAATTAAATTACAAGTCTAAAAGTATAAACAGCACCTATTTACTTTATTAACATAAAGAAACGTCACATAGAGAAATAAAAATATATTCTTTTAAAGTATTTGCTATTGTTTCACAACTTTCCATATTAATAACTTTAAAGTCTGTATATTAGAAACAAAAATGAATAATATCCATATGTTCTTACGAAAGTTATTCTAATTATTTATCTTATTCTTTTATTTGTTAAACTAATAATTGTAGTATATTTGAAGCATAATTTCTTATAATTTTTGAATTAATTTAAGATTTGTATTTTAATGATCTATTTGAATAAATTAAATATTAAAAATTGTCTAATTGTTTTTATTATTATCCTTGATTTTAATCAATTTGTTCTTCTTTTTCTTCATCTTCTTCTTCTTTGTTAGTTTCTTCGTTTGGATTTTATTCTTATGCTCTCGAATTTTTCATTTCGGCTGTTAACTCTTCGGAATGAAGTACCCATTATCGTGTTTAATGTGAACAATTAAGAATTAAATTAAGGAAAAGTTCTAATAAAACTTTACTTTCTCCTAAATGTTCTACAATATAGATAAATGTTGTTGTTAATATTATTGCACTTTGTGGCTAGCTTGCTGCTTAGTATATTCCTTTTGCATATTTATCAATTTAATCTTTTAAATCAGTAATAATTCTTTCATTTTCAATAGAAAAAACTTTTAATTGGCTGCAGGATTTTTTACTAAAGCTTAATATTTATCACAATTAATAATTTTTTAATTAATTTAGAAAATAAAATTATTACTATACATTTGCATTCCCACCATTAATTTCTTGATAATTAGTCTATTTTTGTTATTAATTATTTAATTACTAATTCAGGTTATATATCTGCAGCATGTGAATATAAAGCGAGAGACATTACTCTTAAATTTGTGGGTGAAGCAAACAAATTCCTATTAGCATAATGAATTATACTATCAAATACTAATTTATTATAATCACTATATTATTCTTCATATTAAAATAATACAACTAATACTTACATAAATGTATTCATATCTTTTAAACATTCCTTTATATAAAAAGTTAAAATAAATATATAAATATATATAATTATATATCATATAATATATATATATATTTATATATCATATTAATATAAATATATATTTATTATAAATTTACTTTTATTGAAGAAATCATTTAATTTTTACTAGCAGGATCATTAGGACAGAAACAATAAATTGTTTATATCATAATTTCCTTTTCTTAAAAATAAACTGAGTTTTATATTTTCTAACATAGCTTTGGCAAGAAAAATTCAATAAATATATTTTTTGTTTTATTATAATCTCTCTAAAGACTTTTTTCTCCAAAACAACGTATAAATTCTCCTAATAAAAGAAGACTTTCTTTATTATAACTTAAATTATAAAGACAAGTAAAACAGAAATTAAAAAAAGACCATAAATTGTTTGTTTCTTTAAATAAAAAAGAAATAAAAGCCTCCTTTTATTATAAAATTTCATTTAAAAACGAGCATACAAATTCATCACTAAAATCATCTATTTAATCTGCAAAAGCTTAAGTTAAATTAAAATTTTTTCCTTTTATTTTATTTATTTCATCTTTGAATTCATTTTATTAGAATCTGGTTAATAACATAGTATTAAGAACATCAAAAATTGTTTATTCTATTACAATTTTTTCTTTTTTTTTATTTTCTTATACTCCTCCTTAAGAAAACATATTAATCTAATAATAATAATAATATGATATAATAAATAATTAACATAAATAATAAATACACTATCTATTTAATTTTAACTATTAGGAATTAATTATTCAAATTTATCTATAGGTCATCCACTACTAACTCTTCTAGTAATTTTGCTTTTATCCATATTAATTTCGAGTGGTTATTATTATTACTATTATGATTATTATTATTATAGTTCAATAGGAAGAATTTTATTTTCTCTCATTTTTAATATGCTGCCTTGTACTTATTTCACAGTTATATTTTTTACATCAATTTAATAATTTAAGCTTCCTATATTTTAAGATATAGGTTTTGAAGGTACACGTAAAGAATTAGTTCTTTTTGAAGAATGACTTGTCATTTAAACTTTATTTTCACTTACTATTGAAATATCAACCTTTTTTTCTTCATTTTTCTCTTCCTTTTTATCATTTAACTTCTCTAAACCATTTTCTTTGAGCAAAAACGATGTTGTTTCATTTTTGTCTTTAGAAAGGGAAGATGTGAGGAATTCTTTTGAGTTTATATAATCAGCTAGAGGTGGTTTTTATATTCTTTTTTTTTTTTTTTTTTTTTTTTAAGAAAAAAATAAAATAAAATATTTTGATACTTTCTTTATGTTAAAATTTAAAATATTTTAGACATAAAAACTATTAAAACTTCCATATCTGAATCTACAAGAATTGGTTCCCATTCATTTTTTTAAATTGGAATTTCATTTTTGGTAAAAAATAATTATAATAATTCCCAATTGTTTTTTTTTCGAGATTAATTATGACTATTATCAAATGAATGCATTTATATTTTTAATGGATAATATCTTTGGAAAATTTCAGCTATTAAAAAACCATTTGAAAGATCTCTTTATTTTTTTATAAAAAATAAAATAAAATAAAAATTAAACCTTTTAACATCTTTTACAGAATAACTTAAATCTAAAACTTATATCCATTTTAGTATTTCTCTTGGAAGAGAACGAGAAACATATTTTAATTAAGGTGGTATTTAATCTACTTAAATTTCGGATCCTTTATATTAATTTTGAGTTCCTTTTTAAACTAAACTCATTGTATTAGTAAATTTTTTCTTTTTTTATTTTATTTTCTTTACAAATATAAATAATAATATAGAAGTTATATTTTTATAAGGAAATATATTTCTTATATATTATAATAAAAAAGAATATATATCATTATTGTTTTATATAAAAATGGAATGAAAAAATATAAAAAAAAATTATATATTATTAATTTATTATATTAAATATTTTAAATATTATCTATTTATTTATTGGATAATCATATATGGTATTATAATTATAATAATTAATTGTATTTCTAAAATCTATAAAGTTATATTAACAACTTATCTTAATTATTAAGCTATTTTTAAGGTAACATTTATAAAAATTCAACTTTATTTTTTATTTCTTTTAATTTTTAAGCATCAGTAAGTTAATTAGTAATACATTTTTTGGGTAACAAATCAACAGTTTAAATATAAGGTAAATCTTTTTAATTACTTTTAAAAATAGATAATCCATCTGATAAATCATATAAATCAACTTATTTTAAAATCTAATTTTTATTCATATCAGTAACTGCAAAATTGTTATAAACACTTTCAGTAAATGGTGGTAGTACTATAAAAAAATTAATAATATAAAAAAAACATATAAAATTATAATAAATAGATATAAATAAATATATATATAAATATATATATATATATATATATTTATATATTTATATATTTATATATATTTATGTATAGATATTCATTTATTATTTTTAAATAATATTTTTTAATGTATAAATATTTCATTTTAGAATATTTATTTATAATTTTTTTTTTAATAATATTTATTATTAATATAATATTATGATTTATTTGATTTTAATATTATATTATTTTTGTATAATATATAAGATAATTTTTATATTTTATACTTTAATCAATATTATTTTTAATCCATTTTTTTGTTAAAATATTTGATATCTTTTATTTTTCTTAATTAGATAAATTTTTACTATAAGCGAAGGTTCCATATAAAATACTTTATGTTTTACTCCAACTACATGCTATTTTTACACAAATTGTATTTTTAATTTTACTTAACATTTTCTTTTTTTATAAATATAAAATTAACAAATATATATATAATTTACGTTTTATTAAATATTAAATAAAATAGGTTAATTTTATTTTTAAATTATTGAATTAGTTCCAAACCATAAAATTTAATTATTACTCAAAAGCAAAACACTAGAAGTTCTTTAAGCTGCAACCATAATAACTTCGTCTTTTTAAAAATTATTTAAACAAGCAATTTTCGGTTATACTTAATTATCGAAATTTCCTAAACCTAATTATCCTTATTTACCACATCCCCAAACGTAAATTCTTCCATAATTTGTTAAGCAAATTACATGTCCATATCCACATTCTACCTAAATAAAAAAATTAATATAATATTTTTTTTTATTTTTTTTTTTAATAATACTAAAGAAATTTAATGTTCTTTAAAATTTTCGACTAATTAAATATTTTTTCTATCTAAGCAATCACCTAAACCTAATTATCCAAATTAATTTTTTCCTTAAGAATATATTTATCCTATTTAACTTAAAAATATAGCAAAATTATGTCCTAAAGAAACCCGAGAAATCTTAGTATTAACGGAAATTTTTTAAAAGTTTAACAAATTTTATGAATTACTATATAAATTACCATTATTAAAAACAATATAGCTTAAAGATTATTTACTTTTAATACTAATAGGATTATATCCTTTTTCTTTTTCTAAAATTCCTTTAATTTCTGTAGGAATATCAACACACATTAAAAATTCTTCTATAGAAAAACCTAATTAAGCAACATCATTTATTCCCCAAGCAAACAATTAACCGTTTTTAAGCAAAATTAAATTAAAATCATCTCCAATAGAAATTTAATTAATTACTCCTTCATCAAATTAGATTTTATTTTATTTTTATTTCAGGTTTTCTCCGTTACCTAATTATCCAAAATCATTCATTCCCCATAAAAATAAATTGAAATTATTACTTACGGCAACAGAATGGGTTTGTCCTATATGTATTTGCTGTATAAATTCTTTTTTTTCGAATTAATCTTTAAATATTTTTTCATATTAAGATTTCCAACTTTATTCGCCATAAATTTCTTTTAAATCTGTGAGATTTTGTACTTCCAATAAGTAAGAAAATAAATAAAGCTTATTTTCTTGTAATGTTACAGTATAAGAATTATCGAAAATAAGATTTTATTGATAATCTGTATTTATTCTTTTTATATTTTGTTGTTATTTTTAAATATTATATATTTTTTATTCATTTTTTATATTTTCTTAAGGTTTTTTGAAAATAGTAGTTTTTAATAATTATTAATCTGAATTATATCTATTAATACATTTGTCATATTAAATTTTTTAATTATCTATTTTTTTATTTAAATAACATGATGTTTATGTATTATAATTATAAGAACAATATTTTTTTTTTATTTATTATTATTAAATTTAGTAATAAGTACTGTTTATACAGTTATTATTATTATTAATTATTATTATTATTATTATTATTATTATTATTATTATTATTATTATTATTGTCTATATAAATTTTTTTATTATTTATTTTTTCTTTTTCATTATTTTCGATTTTATTTTAATTAGTATAGTAATTTTCAATCTCATTATTTTATATATATTCATTTAATCTTTCTCTCCTTATTTTTTTTTTTTAAATGTATTTATTCATGTTTCTCTAAATTAATCTTGAAGCCTTAATATATAATTTATAAGATGATGTTAGTTTTTTCATTTTCCAATAAGCTTATATTTTCATGCAAGCTTATTTTTATGTTAAAAAAAGCCTTCTTTTCATTAACATTTTAAGGTTACATTACATTCTTTAAACTGCTTTGTTCTCTTTTATTAGTTAAACGATTTTCTTAAGTCTTATTATTAAATCTTAATTCTTTTTTCGTGCTAAAAATCCCCTTATTTTTTTCTATATATAAATTGCTATTCTTGTTAATACAAAATTCCATGCTGATTATATAGAATTCTTTTTTTATTTTTTTAATAAATTTTATTTATTTGATTTATATATTTATTATATTATTATATGTATTATTTTTACTTTTATTTTCTGTTTGCAAAATAAAAAATTTAAAATTTTTTTTCTATATATATATTTTTTGATTGATATTTATAGTTTTTTGATTAAATTAATTTTATTCTTATATTAAATAACTTAAAAGCCACATTAAACATATTTTTATATAATAAGTGCACTAATTCTATATTTTTTAATAATATCGTTTTATTGTTTTTTTTTTATCCAATTTTATATTTTTCTACATTTTTTTCTTATTAATTGAAATTTTCTTTTCTCGATTTTTACTTTAACTAAACTTTAACAATATTTTATTAACTAAAATTATTATCTCAATCTTTTAATTATTTATGTCTATTTTTAGTTTTTAATCTATAAAATAACTTAATAAATAAATAAAAACCTATAAAAGCCTATTAAAATTTTCTAGCAATTTTATTTAAATTTATAAGTTTTTCTTCATAAATTTTTTCGAGTTCAAGAAGTCCTTTATTTTGCATAAAAATTTTTCCTTTTCCAAGTAAAATATCCCCTGATTAATTTGTTCCTTTGAAAATATTCTAAAACAATCTTTTTTTATTTAATGAAAAATAATAAAAAAATATATATATAATAAAATAAATATATATACTCTTTAGAAAGTGCATAAAAATCAACATTTTATTCTTACATTTATTACCAAGACCTAAAATCTTTAGCAGCAAAAGCATATCTACGATAAAATTATTAATAAGATTTTCTTATTGGAAATGATTATTTTCCAATTTTAATAGATTCTAATACTCCCAGAGATCTAACTTAATCTAATAAATAAGTAGTTTTAAAAAGGTCTTTTTTTTTCTCATCATTAGGTTTAATACATCTAATAAAATGACATTCACATACCATAAGTTAATTTATGAGTATTTGTATTTCATTTCTGAATTTACTTCCTAGAGACTTGCCTTTTTATTATTGTTATTAGAAATCGTCCTAAGTTATTTAGAAAATAATTTTAAATAAAGCATCTGTTGAATGAGCTAAAGTATTAACAACTAAATTTTATAGACTATCTTGTTTTTTTTCCGTAAAGTTATTTACTGTATATTCAACGCCTTTAGAAGAATGAACAATTGTAAAAGTATGTTTACTTGCCATTTTGGGAGTTATAAAATGTTTATTATTTTTATTTGCTTGCCTTATTTTATTTAGAAATTTTTCATTATTACCTTTCGTTTAACAAATATCATCTAAAATATTAAAAATACCATTTGGAGGTTAATCAAGTAAATTAATAATTGGTTTATTATCAGTGAAATTTAAATATTATATGAATTCTTTTAATCCTTCATTAATAAATATTTATTCTTCTTACTTAAAAACATATTATATATATAATTATTATAGTTTCTCGTTTGTGTAATTAATAAAAAACTATTCGAAACCGTTTTCTTTGAAAACTTCGAAACCGTAAATATCTAAAAGACCAATTTCTCCTTCCAAAGATTTATCGTTTTGTTAATTTGTTGGGGTTATATTCTCGTTTAATTTTTAAACTATCCAATTAAATAATTTCTCGTATAAATACTTTGATAATGTATCTTTTATATTTATACATTCTTAAAGATTTAAAGGACTTAGGTATTCTTGTTTATTTATTATTCTTAGTTTATTTGTTAAACCGTTTTAGAGAGCTTTTTTAATCTATTTTTAGTAATTGGCATATTTATTAGAATAGATCTTTATTTTATATTTCACAAGGATTATCATTTGTAAGTGTTTTTTAGTCAAATTTTAAATTTCCAAGTTTTAATATGGAGGATATGCATTAAAATATAGAATCTATATATTAACTAAAACCTAAAACTTTGAGAGATTCTTCTAATTCATTATATAATTCAAAATCATTTAAAAGAGGGACATCAAAGCATTTCAATTTATTTAGATATTCAAATTCTTCTAGATTTACAGGTGTATTTATTTTGTATTTTATTAATTATTCTTTATTACATCCTTTTAAGAAATAATAAAATATATGGAAGTTTCTTTCATGAAGTCCCTTTTTTTTTTAAATATTAGTTTTATTGTATGTTTACTTATTAGGTTATTCTTGCTTTTTCTAATAAATAATTAACTATTTAAGCACCACTAATACTTCTGTCTTTTTATTTACTATCATAGTCACATATTTACCAAATCTACTCGAATTATCATTTCTTATTGTTTTTGCGTTCCCGAAAGCTTCCAAAATTGGATTACATCTTAAAATCTTGAAAAAAATAAATAAAAATTATTATCAATTTTATATTTTATTTTAAATAACTTTATCTTCTATAGAAGGTTGTCCTTTAATTTTTAAACAATAACTAGACTTTCTTCTCTAAATATTTAAATCTTTTATTCCAGTAAGCTTTTCTTAAGTAGTTTACATATTTTGTCCTAAAGAAGTTAAGAATTTCATGCAATATTTTGCATTTTCAGTCTTTCCAGCACCTGATTCGCCAGAAATAATAAGTGCCTAGTTTCTATTATTTTCAAAAAGATATTTATAAGCTTAAGCAGTAATTCCAAATACATGAGGTTGTAATTACTTATATAATGATTTATCTGAAGCGCTCTCTATAATTGAAAAATATGTATTTAAAGTTTCCTAATCATATAACTTATCTATTGCTTTAAATGGATTTATAGCTATAAGAGTTGGACCTACATATGTATATATATAATTTTATTAAAATCTCAATTTTAGGTTTTCTAATAATTCAGGTTCATTTAGAATATCCATATTTACCATATCTTAATATGTTTCTATTATTTCACTTCTTATTTATAATTTTGATGCATCTACTTCTTTTTATGATTTATCTTGTAATTATATTGTCGCTATATTTTTTTATTTATTGAAATTTACAATTCTGCATTTCATAAATATTTCTTCAGTTGACTTTTCCTGGTTTATATTAATATTTTCTTATTAATAATATGCTAATTCATCTTTTTTTATTATAAATATATTTTTTATTTTGTTTTATACGTATTTTTGTGTTTATTACCTTTTATTATCCAGCTATAAGAATCATTATTTTCTTTGGCTTTATTGCTTAACATTTATTTTAATTTAGGTTTATATTTTTGTTTATTTTTAATTTTATTAATTATTAATTTTTTTATTAATATTCATTATTTTTAAATTTATAAAATTTTATTAATTTATATAAAATAAAATATTCATAATAAAAATATTAATTTTTTTTAAATAAAATATGTGAAATATTTTCATTTCATTTTTAATTGTTTCTCAAATGATTATTCCAAATCTTAAAAAAAATAATCACTAAATCTTTTAATTTAATTTTCTTTTATATTTTTTTATTAACTTTATAAATTCATATCTCCATTTAATATACTTTATTTTTAATTTTATTTTATATCTTCTTACTGATTATTTTTGTTTTAAACTAATTTTTCCTTTTTTATATTTTAAATCTAAATAATATATGTATATATATATATTTAATCATTTTTATATTATAAATATATTATACCAAGTTTTAAATAAAAATTTCTTCTTCTTCATCATAATCATCATCATTTTTTTTTATATTCAATGTATCTTATTTACTAATAATATCTTATTTAATAAAATTCTTGTTTTCTTTATTTTAACTATTATTTTATTGAAAATCTTTTTTTTCTTATAATAAATTAACATTTTAAACAGTAATTTATTATTAAATTTAAATAGTATTATGATAAATAGATTAATTTTAATTAATATTAGGTTATAATTCAGATTATATTTATAGATTTTCTTTCTAATTATCAAATTATTTTTATTCTCCATCCAAAATTTAGCTTATAGTAAAAGTTTTTTTTTCTAATTTTTAATAAAGAATTTCATCCAAAGTATTCTAACCTAAAATATAATGACATAAAACATTATTTTTTTATCCAATTCTATGTGCTCTATCTTCAGCTTAGCACATAATAGCAGGGGTCCAATCGAGCTATGATAAAAATTTGTATAATGTATATAATTTTAAAAAATATACTTCGGCAAATACAACATTTGAACTTGCTGTTAAGGTCAATCCAGTACTTGCAGCTGCCAAAGATAACAAAGCAACTTTTATATTAAGATTATTTTAGAATTCTTTTACCCTCTCAAATCTTTTTTCAGAAGATACATCGCCATCAATTCTAATAAGAGATACACATAATATTTAATTTAAAAATTATTATAAAATATTAAGAACTTATTTATGATATGCGAAAACAATAATCTTAAATATATAAAATATATAATAAATTATATAAAAAATAAATAAATATATAAAAATAAATTATAAATAATAATTAATATTAATATAAATATAAATATAAATATAAATATAAACATTAATATTAATATTAATATTAATATTAATATTAATATTAATATAAATATTTTATAATATTACTTTAGTATTATTTTCTAATAAATTTTTAATATACTCTTTCACTTATTCAATTTTTGCTAATCCTGTAAGTTAATAACAAGAAGAAATTTCAAAAGATAATTTCATATCTTATTTATTTTTTATATTATTTTCTTCTTAAATTTATTTCTTTTAATTTTTTAATATATCCTATATTTTATTCATGATATTTATATCTACATTTACAAAAATTTTTTTTCTTGTTTTTTAAGGTAATTAATTTAAGACATCATTTTTTAATCTTCTTATCATGATATTTTTCTTTAAAATATAATAAAGCTCTTTTTCATTAGAAGATCCATTATAATCAATTCCTGTTCCAAATCTTGCATTTTTTGGATCACAATATCTATATCCAAATTATTAGAATGAATTAAAAATATCAGGCCTCAAAATATTTAATAAAGGATACATTTCTAAAGGTTTTGCGAAAAGAGGAGTACCTGTTAATAAAATTATATGTTATCTTGATTATAAATAGGGCAATAGTTACTAAGTTCTTTTAGCTCTAATATTTTTTAAATAATGAGCTTCATCTAAAATTGCTAAATGAAAATTTTCCAATTCTTTGAATATCTTACAGCTTATTTCATAAGAAGCTATAACTACCTATGCTTAATCACTTATTTATTAGTTTTTAGTTTATATTACATTTATTTCGTTTTCTTTAACAAACGTATTCCATTTTAACATTTCATCACGCCATACATATTTCTTTATTTTATATTTAAATTTTGTTAATTATTATTATTTACTAATGAAGAAGGGCAAATAATAAGTATAGGCCAAGAGTTTTTAAAACATTAAGTAATGCAAACAGCTTATATTGTTTTTCCTACTCCCTTTAATTTTTTATACTATATAATTCTTTTTTTTATTATATACCATTTCATCGCCTATTAATATCCTTCCGTTATTTTTAATTGCAAAACATATGCCTTCTTTTTAAAATTCATAGAGTTTTTAAATTTAATTTTCATTCAAATATTAATTTAAGTTTATATTATTTATCTAATAACTATATGCGAAGTATAAATCATCACTTACTTTAATCTAATACTCTTTTTATAAAACTAATTGTAGTATATGATATGGTATTTCTTCTACAGTTACTTCGTTATTAGTAAACTTTAAATTATATTTATTTAAATAATATATATTAAATTTTTTATATACTTCTTAAAGTATTAATGGGTATATTTTAAACTGTAATTCAAACCCTTTTAAATTGTAATTCCATTTTGCTTTAAATTGCTTAAATTTAAATATTTTAAAATCATAATTTTCAATTTTTATGATTACTAAATACGTTAATAATTTTCTAAATTTCAGGTGAACTTCTTATTATTTTAATTAAAATATTTTAATCTGAGATTAATTATATTTAAACTTAAAATTATTTTATAGATTGAAAAGGTTTACTTTTTAATTAGTTTTGCATTATTAATGTTTTATTTGTATTTATATTTTCTAAAATAAAAAAATAAAAAATTAGAATGTAGAAACATTCTAATAAATTTTTACACAACAAATTAAAATTACAATTTAAAAGCAATTAATATATATATATATGATTATTATATTATTAAATAAATAATTTTTACATGTAAAAATCATATTATTTAAATTTTTATTTAATAGAAAAAACACATAATTTATTGAGTCAAATTAAATATTAATAAATAATCATTAAATAACAATATTTTAAGAAATACAAAGAATATATTTACTTTTTTTAATATTTTATTATATTAATTCAGTTTTATTAATTTAAAAAAATGGTAATGAAAAGCAGTAAATTAGATAAATACGAAAAACTAGAGAAAATAGGAGAAGGTACATATGGTGTTGTCTACAAGGCAAAAGGTAAAAATTATTATTTTAAATTACAATTCTAATAAAATATAAATAAGATAAATAAACAAATTAATTATATGCATTAAAAAAAATTCGTCTTGAAAGTGAAGACGAGGGAATCCCTTCAACAGCTATAAGAGAAATATCCCTTTTAAAAGAATTATAACATATAAATGTTGTTAAGTAAAAAAATAAAATAGAAATAATTTTTTTATATCTTTTTAAAAAATCCTAAGACTTCATGATGTGATTCATTCAAATAAAAAATTAATTTTAGTTTTTGAATTTGTTGCTTAAGATTTAAAGAAATTCATGGTAGGATTTAAAGAAACTGGTTTGGATGCTAAAGTAGTGAAAAGTTTGCTTTATTAATTACTTAAGGGAATCGAAATATGTCATAAAAATAAAATCCTTCATAGAGACTTAAAACCTTAGAATTTATTAATATCTGATGTTAAATAAAATAAAAAAAATTAATTTTTTTTTTTTAAATAAAAAGGATGGAATTTTAAAATTAGCAGATTTTGGTTTGGCTAGAGCCTCAGGGATACCAGTTAAAAATTATACGCATGAAGTAGTTACTTTATGGTATAGACCTCCTGATGTTTTATTAGGATCTAAAAATTATTCTACTTCTATTGATATTTGGAGTGTTGGTTGTATTTTTGCAGAAATGGTTAATTTGAAAGCATTATTCCCAGGAAATTCAGATTCTGATTAATTAAAAAAATCTTTAAGATTACAGGCACTCCTAATGTGGAATAATGGATTGGCTTAGCTGATTTACCAGGATGGAAAGTATATATATATATTTTTTTTTAATTTGATTATTTTTATTATTTAGGAAGGAAATATTGAATAATTTTAAGGCGAACCTCTTCATAAAATTTGCACAAAATTAGATGAACTTGGAATAGATTTATTATCAGTATAATTTTTTATTGTTTTTAAATATTTATTTATATATATTTTCTTCAATTTAGAAAATGTTAAAATGCAATCCTTAAGAAAGAATAACTGCTAAAGATGCATTACTTCATCCTTATTTTAAAGATATTTTGGATGGAATAAAAAAAATATATTAATGAGGACAAAATTAAATATATAAATATTATGTAATATTAAACAAATAAAATTCTTAATTAAAGAGTTTATTTGTTATTTTTTTTTTATTATATAGATTTAAAAATATATTGAACAATTAATTTTGAGTTTATTTTTTTTTTGGTTAATCATTTTATCTTTTATAAAATAAAAAAACAATAGCATTTTTAGTTATTAATTTAAATTTTAAATTATTTTTAAATCAATCTAATTTATTTTTTATTTTAAAAAGTAGTTTTCCTTATGATAATATATATTATTTATATTATTCTTATTTTTTAAAAAAGATATATTGAATAAAACTAATATACTAATAATAATATTTATAAATTCGAAAAAAAAGTAAAAAATATATAAAATAAGCATGCAAGTTTAATAATACAGTTAAATAATGAATATTTTTCATTAAGATTTAATTTATGATTTAGCTTTTGATTGTAAAAAATAAATAAAATAAAATAATAAAAATAAAAAAGGGTATGGCAAAAAATTAGCAACATGTTCAGATGATAAATTAATAAAAATATGGTAGAAAAATTCAGAAGGAGGTTGGGAATTATAAAGTTCAATCCAAACCGAAGATGGTCCTGTATGGAAGATAAAATGGGCACATCCATCTTTTGGGATAATGCTAGCTGCATGCTCAATAGACCGTTCAGTATATATATACGAGGAATTTAGAGACATAACATTAAATATGAATTCAAAATGGAAAATAACCAAATTATAAAGTGACAAAGAATAAATAGAGGATATAAAATTTGCACCTGAAAGTCTTGGTTTAGTCTTAACAGTAGCCTATTCAGATCGTTGTATAAGGAATTTTATTTTTAAAGACATGATAAATTTATAATTATATTCTACCCTTCCTGATATTTTATTAAATATGCCTGTAAATTGTGTTTCTTGGAATAAAAATAGATTTGAGCCTGCTATGATAGCTATTGGATGCAAAGAATAAGAGTCAAAATAATATAATAGAGATAATATAATGGAAATTCAATAAAATTGTTTTTGTATTTATATTTAAGATGAAAAAACTTAGTCTTTCAAAGAAATTAAGTTCTCTAATTAAGAATAAACGCATAAATAAACTGTTAATGATGTTTCTTGGAGTTAATTGAATGGAAGATCTTTCCATTTAATTGCAACATGTGGGAAAGAAGGAGCTAAAATTTGGTATTTATAATATAAATAAGATTCTATGCAGGTTTTATAAGTTTTTGATTTAAGTGGTTTTAATTTAATTAATGCTGAAGTATAAAAAATATCTTGGAATATTATGGGAAGCCTTCTTGCGACTTCTGATAGTAATAACGATATTACTCTTTATAAATCTTTTGGATATGGATAATGGAAAATGATTAAGTCTATTGAAGAATCATAAAATAATGATAAAAATTAAAAATGAAAATTCTTTATTTAAATTTATTTATTCTTATATGTTTAAATAAGTTTATTTTTTTTGGAGTTAAATATTATTATTTTTTTTAGAAAAAATGGCATTTATGTTAAAAATATTACAACTTTTGTATAGATAAGATATCATGAATTATAAAATTATAAAATAAAGAAAATTTAATAATAGTATTTAGTATTTTTATGTTTTATAATTAAAAAATATAATCTAAATAATATATATATTAAAAATAATTAAATAGCTTCAAAAAAAGTACTAAATTATTTAATTTAGAAAAATAAAGAATTAAGTACTAAATTGTTTAATTTAGAAAAATAAAGAATTTCTTAAACTGGTAAAAAAATTAAAAAAAAAAAAAAAAAAAAAAAAAAAAAAAAAAAATTAATAATCGAAATAAAAAAATGACTTCCCATTAAGTACGATTGGGTTTATGTTGTTTAAGTTTATAATTATAAAAATTAGAAAATCCAATATTTTGTGCTCGAACAATAACAAGACAAACATTCCAAAAATAAGGAAAACAAGAGGCATTAAATAGAGCATTATAGAATGTAAAAGATTTATCCAAAATAATAGAATGGAACGAAAAAAATGGTATAAAAGTTCTTCGCATAAGTAGCGATATGTTTCCTCGATCATTAGACGAATAATGTGGATATGAGATAGATTTCGCAAAAGACGATTTAAAAAAGGCGGGAGAATTAGCTAAAAAATACAATCATAGATTGACTTTTCATCCTGGATAATTTAATGTAGTAGGATCTCCAAATGAAAAAGCTTTTTAAGCAACAATTAAAGAGCTTACATAACATACTCAAATATTCTAATATATGGGTTTTTAAGAAAATCCTGACAGTGTAATTGTTTTACATGGAGGAGGCACTTATGGAGATAAAAAGGAGGCAGTTTAGCGATGGGTGGAAAACTTCGGAAGACTCCCTAAGGATGTTTAAAGGAAATTAGTATTGGAGAATTGCGAAAAAAGTTATACTGTTAGAGATTGTTTAAACATTTCTTCAAAAGTTGAATCTAAATATGGGTTCGCACTTCCTGTTGTGGTAGATTCCCATCATTATGAATGTTATAATATATATCATAAAGATGAAAAATAAGAACCTATGGATAGTTTGATTAGGGAAGTTAGCTAAACTTGGATTAAAAGAGGAATTAGAATGAAAGTACATGTTTCAGAATAAGGAGAAGGGTAAGTAGGACATCATAGTGATTATATTAAAAAATTACCAGAATGCTTCCTTAATATTCCTAAAGATTTAAATATAGGTGTCGATATTATGGTTGAAGCAAAAATGAAAGAATTGGCTATTTTTAAACTTTATTCTATTTATCCGGAACTTAATTTAAGGTTAACAGAAAATAAAGATTAGGCTGTAGAGTCGTAAGTTGTTGATAAAAATTAGAAAAATAATAAAAAAAGTAATTAAAAAAAACTTCAATACAAAAAAAATAAAATCTCGAGGAAATAGAAGAAGTATAATAATAAACTAAAAAAAGAGTTACTAGAAAAAGAATATGATTGATTTTGATTTATTTTAATATTAAAAAATTATTTATATTTTAATATTATATCTCATATCTCCCTTTTTTAATTTTTTTTATAGATAAATTATTATTTTCAAATTCATGTTATTTTGTTTTTACTAAAGTTTATTTTTTTAGACACAATAAAAATATAATATATTTTTTTTATTAAAATATAAATTTTATTTAAAAAAAAGCAAACATATATATTATAAATCATAAATTAATACTATCAGTATATTATTATTCTGAATAAAATGTTTTTTTTGAATTTCTTTTATTAACTTCTATTTGATTACTTTATAAATTCTCCTATGTAAATTAATAACTATCATTTGTATATTAATAATAGCTTTGTTTAGAGTCAAATGAATTTTTAATTGCTTTAGATTTAGAGTTTTAATCATTATTTTCTAATAAAATAGAATTATTTAATACAAAATCTTCTTACTATTTTATTTCTTATTATTTTGCAAGGATTTTCTTTTTTTACTTTCTTTTTCTAAAATAAAATATTATTATTCCTGATAAACTAATTAAAATAAGTAAAACACCTACTAAGATGACTTTTAAATTAAAAATTAATTAATAATATATATATATATATATATATAAATACATATAAAACATATATATATAAATATATATATATATTTTTATATATATATTATACTCGATTTAAATGCATAGTAATAAGAATATTCTAATTGTAGCTCAATATTATATTCATAATAAAGCTATAAATAAGGATAATAAGCTCCTTCTAAGCAAGGATATTTTGTATTATCAATAATTATAGTTTTGCCTTCTAAATCTTAAAGATTTGATTTAAATTTTTATTATTTTAAATATTTATTATCTTAATTTATTACTATATTTTCAACTTCCATACAAGTCTTTTAGAATTTCAAATTCTCTATATTAATTTAATATTATTTTAATTATTCTGGATTATTAAAAACAAACAAATCAAAAGTTGAAGAATCAAATCTATTTTACTAAAAAAAAATAAAAATAAAAATAGAATATTTTAAATATAAAGTAAAATAAAAATAATTTTAAAATATATTATTTCTAATTTATACGAATATTTTGATTTTAAACAAATATTAATAAGTCTTTATAATTAAAATATTTCATTTTTACTATTTGTATTTATATTTCACCATCTTAAGACATTATCGATTTTTGATTATTCCAAAAATTATCGCTTTAAAATAATATTTAATGATAAAATCCACTTGCCATAGGTATAGTCCTTTAAAAATTTATTTATGCAATCCCTGTACATATTATTAAATAAGGTAATTATACTATTAAAATATATTATATCATTTAATGCAAATAAAATATTATTATATAAAAATATTTCTCTTTTTAATAAAAAATATATTAATATAAATTTTTATATATTAATATTTTTTTTGTAAAAAATTAAAATGAAGATGTTTAATATATATAAAAATAAATACATATATTTATGAAATTTTTAATTATTCTTTTACATTACTTTATAATAGTATTTTTAATATATATCCTTTTTTTATTTTTCTATTTATTTATTAATCATATTTAATATGATATAAGTTTTGGTAATTTTTTTCTTATTTTATTTTTTAATTATTAATAATTTTATTTTCCTCCTACTTAGGTTAACCTTATATTTAAAATAAAATATAAATAGTAAAACATTTATTTTACAAAAAATCTGATTAAAATTAGTAAATATCTGTTTTTTTAAAGCTATTAATTATTGCTGTGATTCCCTTAAAACCTATTGAAGCAGCTCTTTTTTTAAAAATAATTTAGTAAAATCTATCAAAAATATAAATAATTAGTCACCTAATGTTTATTGTAAATTTTTTAATATTATTTTAATTTTTTAATTATTTCATCAAGGTACTAATTCCTTAATCTGTTATAAAAGTTTAACTATACATTTTATTTTTTTTAAATTTAAAAATATAATTTATTTACTCTAATCTTATTGTAAAATTGTTTATTTTATCAGTTTTTATTAGACTTTTTCCAATATCTTAAATTCCTTAATCTCCAATTTTATTGCATCTATTTTAATTATTTTTTTTTTAATTTAAATATATAATAAAATAATTGATAAATTATAAAAAATTCAAAAACCCTAAATCAATAAAAAGATAAGTTAAATTACTACACTAACAAACTCCTTTAATAATTTAAGATGCTCCATAATCTCCTATCTCATTAGCCCTTTTTTCAATAATAATGTGGATATATTAAAATAAATAATTTACCATAACTATAATGTCAATTTATTTAATTTAGTACATTTTGAAATTCCTTATCCTAACCAAAAACCGCCTTAATCGGCTAAAAATTTCTCCTTTTTAAAAACAAAATTAAAATAAAATTGATAAAAATTATAAAAAAATTAAAAATATACCAAAGAGAAATTGAAAGTTCGAGTAAATTTTATTATTATGAAATATATTGTGAAAATATTTTTATTCCCTAATCACCAATTTAATTTTAGGATAAATTAATATTAAGACAAGTTAAAATTTATTTTTATGATAAAGAAGAACTTAAATAAGTTAGTCCTTTATCTCCAATTTAATTATTTCTAAAATGAATATAACAAAAAAATGAAATTTATAATAAAATATTTTTATTTTTTATACTTTAAATTAATTTATAAACTTTATATGTTTTGGCATGCATATATTCCCTATCCAAGATTATTTAATCCTAAATCAGTTATTTTGTTAAAACTCATATCTATTTTTAAATCACAGAGATACTTCTGACGAGATATAACATAGCCTATTTTTGCTGCACTTTTGTCTTTTATATTATTCTAACTTTTATTTATATAATATGCTCTTTTTTTATTAATTAGCATTTATTTATAATTACCAAAAATTTATATTTAAAGAATTCAAATCAATACATCTATATAAAAATTGAGATATAGAAGTAATACCATTATTTCCTACTGTTGAATTACTTCTTCTTTAATTTTTTTTTTTTTTTAGTTTTTTTGTATTTTTTTTTTGATAAATGATTAAATATATTAGAAGAAATAATATACCTAATATCACTGAAGTCAAATGTTATAGCAGTTATATTTTTTTAATTTTACATATTTTATAATTCTTGCAATGAATATATTATCATTTTATTTTTTTAAAATTATAATTTTTATAATTAAAATATCATAATAAATAAACTAATTTATTTTAATTATATTTTCTTAAAAATTATATCAATTTTAATTATTTAATTATAGATTATACATATTACATTTAAAATAGTTTTATCATAAACTTTACATTTATTTTATTATTTTGAAATTTTGAGTTCAAAATATAAAATATTATATTTATTTCTTTTTAATTTGAATAAAAGAAAAAACTTTAATAATGATTATATTATAACTAATATTAAGTAAAAATAAATATATAATTATTCTAATAATAATATAATTTCAATAATGATAATTATTATTATTATTTTTATTTAAAATAAAAAAATACTGATATTTAAAAATATATTTTAAAAAAACATTTATATAAAAATTTATAATATAATAATTATTTTAGAAAAAATAATATTTAAGAAGCTTTTTTTATATATATCTAAAATTTATTAAGATTTTTTTTTTTTAATAAAATAATTCATAAAATATTTCAAATAAATCAATATTAATTTTTAATTACAATTATATATTACATGATAATAAATTCTTTATATTTATTTATAATATTTTATTATTTAAATCTATATTTTCATAAATATACAATCCATTTTTTATATTTTTTTTTCTTATATGTATATTTTTTTTATATGACTATTTATTTTATTCAAAGAATTCCTTTTAAAATAGGTGAAATAGCAATTATGGTATCGCCTCTCATATAAAGCATCGCAGAATTTCTTTTTAATTGATTTTAATATACTTAATTGTGTTCTTCTTCAAAATATGTTTCTTCAACATCTTATAATAGTAAATTTAAATGTGTATCAAAGGCTATTAATTTTCCTTTTAGTTCACGAGAATTTCTACATTTAATAAATACTTATTAATTTAAACTATGCTTAATTAAATCTAAAGGCTCTTTTAAGTTTTCCATATTATTTAAAAATATTATGTTAATATACTTTATAATAATTAAAATAATATATAATTAATTGTTTATAAATAACAAATAATTTTAATTTATTCATATCAGATTTAATTTATATAAAATAATAATTAATTGAGTATTGAAAATATTATTAATTTATTATATTATCATCACTATAAATTATATATTTCGATAAAAATTATTATTGAATTTTGTGTAAAGGTAATATTATATAAATATATAAAAAATATAATTATAAAGATATTAATATTAACATAATCAACTTTTATTTTAAAAAAATAATAAATTATAATATATAATATAAAAAATATAATAATAAAAAAAAAAAATATGTTTTTTTTACAATAAAAATTATAAGATAGATTTAATATTAATTAAATTTATAATTTCATTTAAATTAATAATAATATCATAAATATATATAGATATTTAAATCAAGAAATAAACTTTTAATTTTTAAAAATACTAAAACAAATTGATATTAGAAATATTTATATAAAAATTGGTAAAAATTAAAAAAAAAAAAAATTAAAAAAAATAATATAATAATATTATTAAAAAATATATAATAATAATAATAATAATAATAATAATAATAATAATAATAATAATAATAATAATAATTATAATTATAATAATAATGGGAAATATTCATAATTGTTTTAAAACAAATGATATTAGTGATTAAGCCTAATAAAGAATAGATTTAATAAAGAATAAAATATCATACTAAAAGTATTTATTAGAAAAAGAAAAGAAGCATTTTTTTTCATTTATATATTATCAATAAATGAAAAATAATATTTAAATTCTTTAATAAGAATAATATCCAAAAATATAATAGTTAAATTTAAAAATGCAAATAGTAAACTAATATATTGATTATTTAAATGATTTGAAAATTCGCTTTTAATTATTTGAATAAAACTTTGAAGAAAGTGAAAAGGCATATGAAGAGAGTGAATGTTTTTCATTACAATCATAAAATAATATAATACTACATGAAAGTTATTAATAATCATTATCTACAAATATTTAAATGATAAACTCTGAACTCGAAGAGTCATTTTATTCTTAAGAAAATAATTTTTAATTAATTAATATCAGCGAATCTTTTGGGAGATTAGGAGAAAAATAAGAACAACCAATATTAGTTGTGGAAATATAATAAATTAATTTTAAAGAAAAATAATAAAATATGAAAAAAATTCAGGTAGAAATAAACGTATTATTTAACGATTTTTAAAAAGAATAATTCTTAAGTAAAAAATAAAATGTTATTGATTATTAAAAATCATATTTTGATGAAACTTTTGAGGGTTATAGTAAAGATTTATTTTAAGAAGATAAGATAAATAGTTTTGAGATAATTGTATATTATTTTAATAAAAAAAAAAGATTAAAATAATAGAAATATTTACTTTTTTATTAAATAAATATATTGATTAGGAAATTTAAAATTTTTTGTTGGAAATAAGAAATGAAAAACATAAAGGAGTTTTAGAAGGAAGGTTTTAGTTTATGTTTAATTAATAAAAATTAGTCGATTAAATTATTAATAATATTAAAATTTAATAATATAAATTATAATAAATTATTAATTAATAAAGTATTACTTTATAAATATGATTATTATTGTTATTATTATTATAATATTAAAAATTTTTATATAAAAATATATTGATTTGTATGTATATAAATTAAAAAAATACAAATTAATATTTAGTTTTTATATATATAAAATTATTTATATATTTTTTTAAAATTACATATTATTTATAATTATAAGATTAAATATAAAAAATAATATATAAAATAAAAGAAAAATGTTGTACAACGTAAACAGCCCTTATTATAGATAATTTTTAACTGTAAATGGATCAAAAAGATTATAAAAATAAGTATAAGGATAATAATAAAATACAGGTAACACAGATAGCAGACCCTAAGTAAATCCTGGATCTGTAGGATTATGAGAAAAAATTATATGAATAAAATTTATATTTAATTATGGATTAATATATATATTATATGTATTAGTAAACAAAGAAAAAACATGATAATAAAATTATATTTGAATTGTTATATAAATGATATGATATGATATATATTAAAAATATATATATCATACAAAAACAAATATAAATATAAAAATAATATATAAATATAAATATAAATATTTATATATTTATATATTTATATTTATATATATTTAGTTTCAAATTTAAAGATATATTTATCTGTATATCCATATACATACTTATATATTTTATTTTTATATTTTTTTAATATACATTTTATATTTAATTTCTTTTAATTTATATTTAATATTTATAATTAATTTTTTTATTTTTTATATATTATTTAATTTTTATTTATTATATTTATTTATTTTTATTTATTTTTTTTTAATTTTTTTTTTTTTAAATAAATTGTCATTATAATATTATTATATAAAATATTCATGATTTAATTATTTTACATAATATAATTTTTATATTATTATTAAAAAAAAATTATTTAATATTTTTATCTTTTATATAATTTTTTTTTTAATAAATTATATTATCATATTTTTTAATTAAATATATATATATTTTTTTTTTTTTATTAAAATTTCCTTTTTATATCTTTTAAATATAAATTCATCATTATGAAAGCAATATTTATTATTTATTTTTAAATAAATATTTATTATTTTATTTCGTTTTAAAAAAATTTTAACTAAAAAAATATAAATATAATTAATTCGTTTTTTCATTTTTTAATTATTTATTTTTAAAAACTGTCAATTAAAAAAATAATTAAATAACATTTTAATTTACAAAAGAATAATTATAAAAAAATATGAAAAAAGCAATAATTTTATTATTTTTAATTACAAATTCAATTTCATCGCGAAAAAAAAAATACATGATGATGATATAGAAAAATAATAGCGTGAAGATGAAAAGCCATATATATCTGAAGATTATAATGTGGCCTAAAATATCGGAGAAGCTTTTATGAATGGTTTACATGCAATTGGAAATACAAGTTCAAATTTAGGAGATAGTACAGAATCTTTAGGAAAAGCAGGAAGCGATTTGGGTGATGGTATTTCAAAAGCTTCAATTAATTTAGGAGATACTGCAGAATCTATAGGAAAAGCAGGAGGGGATATAGGTGATGGTGTTTCAAATGTATCAAATAATTTAGGAGACGCAGCTAACGGTGTTGGACATACAGTTTAAGATGTTAATGATGCAATTACTTCCTTATGGGAAGATGGGGAAGACGAAAATAAAAAATAAGATAATGATGGAGAAGATGGAAATGATGGAGAAGATGGAGAAAATGAATAAGATGGAGATGGAGAAGGAGGAGTTATTAAATAATAACAATACATTTAATATAATTAATAAAAAGAAAATATTACTTCAAACAAATAATATAAAGAAAATAGATAAAAATAATTAACTTCTTAATATAAAAATATTAAAGGTAATTTTTTTGTTTTTATTTATATATATTAATTAATATTTTTTTTTAGGAAGAAAAAGTAAGAAAGTTATGTATAATAAAATTGTTAATTTATATGAGAGAGGAAAGAATTATATTAATAATATTTTTTATTGAAAAATATTTTTTTGATTTGAAAAAAATAGATTATATGTTCAATTTTTTATTTATAGAAAAAAAATTAATTATATTTTTTGATTAAAAAAAAATAATAAAGTACTTATTTACTTTTTCATTTTAAATAAATATAAATATATTTATTTTATAATTAAAAAAATATTTTAAAATTTAATAAATAATTAATTACATTATTAATATTGATAGCAATATCTCTAAAAACAAATAATAAAAGAAATTTATATATATATATATATATTTACAAAATATTTTATATAAGTTAATTGATAACTAAGCCTAAAGACATATCGATATATTAATTAACCGAATATATAGTCGATAAAAAAATAGAAATTAGCAAATTAAAAACAATAAATAATTTAGAGAGAGATAATGAATTAAAATCTAAAATCTATAATAATAAAAACTTATAAATTGAAAAAGAAATGAAATAAAATAAAACAAGAAAAAATTTAAGAAATATAAAAATTATAAATAAAAAAATAAGAAATAAAGGATTAATAATCAGATAATAATAAAATATAAATTAATAAAAACAAAGTTAAAAATCTACTTTTATTAAATTAATTAAACCTTTTATAAAGTTAAAGTTTAACCTAATTTAAAAACATATAAATTATATCAAAAAACTTCTATTATTATATAAAATGTTTAATCAAAAAATAAAAATAGAAACACATATTTATTTATAAATTTATAAATTAATACTTTATATGTACATTAATTTTATTAATATTTATATTTTTTTTTTAGAAAACAAAATGAATGAAAAAAAAAATATTGATTCTTTTAGGTATAAATATATTTGAGGAAAAAAATAAATATTGTATATAAACATAAATAAATATATATTTTTCAATTTTTTTATTTCAAAATTTATCATCAAATACTATTTATTCTGAATTTAAATCTCCATTTTATATTTATATATTTTCTTCTTCTTCTTTAATTTCTTCATATTCTTATTGATTTTAATTGATTTAATCGTTTTCTTCTATATTTATAGATTTTTCATTTATTTTATTTTATAAATCTTATTCTTAATTAATTATAACATTAGTATTATTATTATTTAATTTTTCTAAAGAATTTTATTATTAATTTTGATTAGTTATACTTTCTTGAATTAATTAATTATCTTATTCTTATAATTCGAAATTTTCCTCTTATTTAATATTATTTTCCTCATAATTTTATTGATTTTCGAAATTTTTTGATTTTAAATCCTGATCTTTATATTCTAATAAATCTTCTTCTTAGTTATTTTCTTAAAAATTAGAAAAAATATCTTAAAAATTAGAATCTTCATCTAAATTAACAATTTTTTGATTTCTTTTAATTGAAATCGAATCCTAATTTTCACTAAATTTCTCTTATTGCTATATATTTTATTAATATTCGATATTATTTTAAATCTACAAATTTTCCGAAGTAGTTTTTTATGTAAAATTACCAATTTATTTAAAAACAAATTTTGTATCGAAATTCTCTTCTGGAAATGAAAAAACATCTTCTTCTTCTTCTTCTTATTTTAATGAATTTTGTTATTTTTAATCATTTTTTAATTCTTTTCCTTATTCTATAAATTCATCTTCTTCTTCAATTTCTTCATTATCTCCTAAAGGTTTTTCATTTGAAAGTTATCTTTATTTATATAATTTTGAGTTTTTGTAATCTGAAATGATAAAATTTTATTGTGAATTTTTTTGAAAAATATTTTAGCTTTAATTTTCTTCAATAATTTAAGAAACATATTCTTCTTACTATTCAGAATGTAAATTTTTTTATGAGAAAAGTTAATAGTCTGTATTCTCGTCTACAATATCATCATCATTGTCTTCACTAAAAGATAAAAGCTAATTATTTTTAGTTATATTTTAGGTCATATTTTAGGTTATATTTTGTGTTTAATTTATCAAAATGCCTTTATTTCTAAATGATATTAGAGTATTTATATCTACATTGTTAATATTTTGACTATTTTATATATCTTCATTACTCAAAACGATTTTTTTTATTCTTATTTTATTATTTATTTGTTCCTCAATTTTCCCTGTGCTTTCTCCTTTAATAAAAAAGCGTTTTTTTTCAATTTTTATTGATTTGGTTTCAGAGGAGTTTATTTCTTCCTAATTTTATTATAAAATAGAATTTTCATAAGAGAAACTTATAAAAAGTGAAATTTCATCAATTTCTATATGAAAAAAAGACGAAAAATTTTTAATTTAAGATATAGAAAATTAAAAATCTGAAATAATATTATTTAAAGCAAAAGTAAAAGTAGTAATAGAAATAATCCAGAAAAAAATAAGGAAGAAAAAGCCTAACATTAGCAAAATTATCCCAGTTAAAAATTATGAAGAATTCGCGTCATTTGCATATAATGCTATTAAAAAGAATGAAATTAATATTATAATAAATATTATTATATTTAATTTTTTAATTATTCTAATTATTTAAAATTTTTTATTTTGGCTCTATGTACTTTCCGTTATTAACTTTTTTAATTCATTTAAATATATTTGGATGCTTCTTTAAGTCTTTTATTATAATTCAGATATTGGTTGAAGGTTAAAAACTCCTTCTTGGGGATTGAATGCGATTAGAATTTGGTTTGGAAGATTTTGAGATTTAAGTTTTTCGTATTTTGTTTATGGGAAGCATAAATATATTGACATTATTTGATATTTTTTATTTTTAATAAATTTATTATTTTAATTTTTTTTATTTTATTTTTTTAAAGTATATATAAAAATAATTAAAAGTTAAATATATTTTTTTAATAAAAAATCAAAACTAATTTTATAAGATATAAAAATAATATTCAAAAAAAAAAAAAAAAAAAATAAGAAAATAAAAATTATTTTTTTAAAAAAAAAAAAAAATTAAAAAAAAAAAAAATGAGCGAAATCCACGAAACATTATCAAAAGTTATTAAAAGTTCTTAATGTTAAGACACAATTTCAAGAGGACTTCACGAAGTTTGCAGAGTTCTTGAAGCAAAATAAGCTTTATTCGTAGTTTTAGCTGATGATTGTTCAGAAGCTAACTATGTTAAACTTGTAAAAGCTCTTTGCAAAAAAAATGAAATAGGATTAATTACAGGAGTCAAAAGAACTGAAATCGGACAATGGTTAGGACATTTCAAAACTAATGCTAAAAATGAAGCTAAAAAAATTAGAGGATGCTCTTCTTTAGCAATTAGAAAATATGCTCCAGAAATTACCGAAGATGAAAAGAAAGTAGTTGAAGGAGCTCTTAAAAAATGAATAAGTTTTTATTTTTTAAAAAGTAACTTCTTTGCTATTATTAAAATATTATTTTTTTATTATTTTTTATTGGAAATAATAAATGTATTTATATAAATTTTCAAAATATTTAAACGTCAAAAATAAGTTTGAAAAACAATTTTTTTTTTTTTCTTTTTATATTATAATTATAATTTTATATTGATTAAATTTTTTTTTCTTCATTTTTTTATATATATATATTTATGTTTATAATAAATATAATTTTATATAATAGGAATTTAATAATTGATTTTTTTTTTAATTATAAAAAAAAAAATCATTTAAATAAAATAAATTAAATCTTACTTATATAAAAATAAAAAAAATAATTAATAAATATTTTTATTATATTTATATATTTATTATATATAAATATAAAATATCATATTTTATTAATTATATAAAGTAATATTATTTTTAATCAATAGAAAAAACCTTAAATAAATTTAAAGTACTAATTATATTTTATTTTACAGAAATCTTCATTTTTAATTAATTTATTTTAAATTTAGAGGGTATTATATTTAAAAATGATTACTTTTTTATTCAATAATCATATTTTACACATCTTTATTTATTTTTTTTATAGACTCATTATTTTTTAATAAAATTTTTTTAAAAATCTCATTTTATTTGAATTTTTTTTTTTAATTTTATTATTTGAGGATTTCCTATTTATGCATTTTTTTTATTTAATAAATTTCTTAATATCCAATACTTAAACTATTTTTTTTATTGGTATATAATATATACTCTTATATATTTTTTTTATCAATTACTTTAAATTTCTTAAAGGAGATTTAGAACGATTTTAATTTATTTTAATCGTATTTTGATTGAAATTTGTAATATCACAACTCTATTTTTTTTTATTAAAAGAGGGAGTTTAATTCAATATTTCTTTTTCTATAAACTTCTTATGCCTTTCTTATTCATGATATTATGCTTTTAATTTCAAAATTTCTTATTGTATTAATTATATATCATAACTTTTTTTTTATTTATATTTAAAACTTAAAAAATAATTTAAATACTCTATTATTAAGATGTGAAAAATTTAATTCTTTTATAATATTTCGCAAAACATTTCTCGATTTATATAATTTAATTATATTATATTGTAATAATTTTTAAATATATTTTATAATTAAGACTTTATTTAGACGTTAAATTTATTTAAGCCTATATGAAGTGTATTTAAATATACTAAATCTTAATTATCAGGTTCAAATTGATTATATATTTAATCACATTTTTTTTTTATTAAAATTTAAAGTTCTATTTCTATATTTTATAATGCTTATTTAAGTTTATATTAGAAATTATTCATATTTTTTTTTTATATTTTTCAATTTAAATTTTAGTCAAATATTTTTTTTTTAGTAAAAAAAAAAATTAAATAAATTCAAAAAAAAAAAAAATGAAATATTAATTTATTCTTTCAATATATCATATAATAATGATAAGTATAAAATATTAAAAATTTTTTATTATATTAAATAAATAATTTATATTATAAAGTTAAATCATAAATCGATTATTGTGAATAATAAAGTGATACATAAAAAATTTGCATAAAATGTATTTAAGGTTATTATTTTTTAATAAAAATATGCTCTAAACAATGTTTTTCATATTAATATAAGGACGAAGTAAATAGAAAATGTGAAGGTAAAATAAAATAAAAATAATTATTTTAATATTAAATTTTAAATATAATATATAAATTAGATTGTAAAAATTAATTACCTAATTGTAATTTATGTTAAACAAATTAAGTATGTTTGGGATGCGAATAAAAATATTTTTTAACAGAGACAGGATAATGTTAATGTAAGAATAATAAAATTAGTTTTAAATTAAAAAAATAAAAAAAAAAATAATTTAAATAATAATATGGAAAAATATTAAAATATATACATATATATATATATATATAATTACATAAAAAAAAGAATGTTCTTTAAATTGTTTAAATTGCTTATCTGATACTTAATGCACATAATGCACTTAATAATTTTTTTTATAATAAAACATATGTGTTTCTTTATGTTCCTTAGGTTTTGTTGCAATCAATTAAACATGTTTTAAATGTGATTCTAATTGTTTAACATGTTAATATACAATAACTAATTGTACTTCTTGTGATATTTATAAATATTTAGATTTTAATTTGTCTGACAGATTTAAAAGTCAAGAATATACTTGTCTATCATAATGTAATTTTCCTGCCACATAATATTTTGATACAAACAGAAAATGCATAAGTATAAATAAATATATATTATTATTTATTTTATTAATTATTTTTTAAAGATTGTAGTTCAAATTGTATTGGTTGTGTAAATGATTATAACAATTGTGTCACATGCCCTGTAGGAAGATTTTTATAAATAATATAAATATCTTAAGGAATTACTTAAGGAGTATGTTAAACTAAATGTAACTTGAAATTTTATGCAAATGTTTTAAATGGTAAATGTGATGATTGTATACAGAATTGTAGTTTATGTGAAAATATAATAAGTTGCTTAAGATGTGATTCGGAATTTATATAAATTTAAATTTTAAATCAAAAAAATTAATTTTCTTGCACGACTATAAATGAATGCAATAATAAAAAAAGTGAAGGATTTTATTACGACAGTATTTTAAATTAGTGTTTAGGTAAAATAGTTATTATATAATAATAAATTTAATATTTTTTATGTATAAAATATATTTAGTCTGTAATTCTAATTGTAAAACATGTTAAAATATTTCAACTAATTGCTTATCGTGCAATAGTGGATTATTTTTAGATACAAATTAATAACCTAATAATTGCGTAAGTAGTTGTCCAATTTAAAAAATAAATAATGATAAGGATTAAACTTGCACTCGTAAGATTAAAATACATTATTTTTAAATATTATTTTATTTATTAAGCTTGTAATACTGATCTAAATAAACCTTATTGTCTTTTATGTGAAATGGATACTACTTATACTCCTATTTGTAAAAGTTGCATTGTTGGTTACTACTTAGATTCAAATCAAATTTGCTAATAGTGTAATACTTAGTGCAAAGATTGCAATTAATAACCTAATAGATGCATTTCTTGTTATTTCCCTTTTTTTTTGAATGTAAAAACATCTACTTGTGATCTATAATGTTAAGTAGGAAGTTATTTAGATTTAAACAGAATATGTTAAGGTTATTTTTTTATATTTTAAATTAAAAATAATTTTAAAAAAGAATGTAATTCAAACTGTGTAACATGTAGCATTACGTCTACAAACTGTATTAGTTGTAAAATAAATGAAGTATTAGAAGTTAGTAGTAGTCCTTATTATAAATGTTAAAGTACGTGTAATGATACAATACGCTCTTTTATAGATGATAACTTTTATTGCAGATAATGTAGTGATAATTGTTATAAATGCGAAAAATTTAATGACAATTGTACTGCTTGTTGGAATGATTATTTCATTATTTAAAATGGGGAAAAGGCTTCTTGTGTGAAATAATGTGGATTTGGATTTTATAATGATCCTACAGGAAAATGCTTAAGTAACTTTATATTTTTTTTAAATTATAAATAAAAATTAATATTAATAAGAATGTGATATTAATTGCTTAAGTTGTGAAAGCACAGCTAAAAATTGTACTTCTTGTATTAGACCTAAAATTTTAAATATAAATAATATTGATAATGACTTTCCTAGTTATTGTGCAGATTTATGTGATTATAAAAATGGGTGGTTTTCTCTTTTTGTTAATATAGGAGAATCTACGATATAAGAAAGATGTTTTAGTAAAAAATATTTCTATTATATATTATTTTAAATATATAATTATATATACTTGTTACAGAATGTGATAAAAATTGTGCTACATGTGAAAATTCTGCATAAAATTGTATTTCTTGTCCACCTTTATATTATTTAGATTTAAATTAAAATAAATGTGGATTAACATGTCAATCTGGCTATTATAAATTTTCTAAAATAATTGATGGCATAGAAAATAGAGTCTGTTTATGTAAAAATATAAAAATCTATTTTTTTTTAAAAAAAAATTATCTATTAAAAAAAATTTCAAACAGAATGTAATGCGAGTTGTTAAACTTGTGAATTTTGTTCAAGTTCTACAGCCTGTTTAAGAAATTAGAAATGCTTTGTATGCTCTGACGGTTACTTTTTCGTTTAAGCAAATAACTCTTGCTAACCTTGTACTTTTCCGTGTAAGAATTGTATATCTTAAAGTACTTAATGTAAAGACTGTTATGAAAAAATGTTTTTTAATTAAGAAAAAAATATTTGTTAGTTTGAATGTGATACGAATAATGGTTATTATATATAAGATTTAGGAAATAAATCTATATCATGTTAAAGTAAATATGATAAAAAAAATAAAAATATAATAAAAAAAAATAGAATGTCATTAAAACTGCAATACATGTTCTTAAGGTCCAACTACTAAAAATAATATTGAAAATACCTTTTGTATTAGTTGTAAAAGTAATATAAATCGTTTTGTTTAAGAAGGAATATGTGTTAGTTAATGTGACTAAAGTAAAGGTTTTTATATAAAAAATAGTTAAAACTGTGAAAGTAAAAAATTTATATATATATATATATATTATATATTTATATATTTATATATTTATATATTTATAGATTCCTATATTCAATAATTATATATTTATATATTTATATTATCATAATTTTATTTATATTTAAATTATTTAATAATAAAAAGAATGTATTCAGAATTGTGCTACCTGTATTTTAAAAAATGATTAAATAGTATGTCTTACTTGTTCTGGAATTTACCAATATAAATAAGAAGGTTAATGCATTTAATAATGTACAGATGGATTCTATTCTGCTATAGATAATTCTGTTTTAGGGTAAATGTTATGCATTTGTAAAAATAATATATACAATATTATTTTTATAAAAAAATTATAATTAAGAATGTTAAATTTTAAATTGCTTCAAATGTATTTCAGATATAAAATGTGCTGAATGTAATCAAAATTATTCTTTAAAAGATGGAAATTGTATTTCCATATGTCCCGAAGGATTTTATTCCGGATATGATTAATCTAATATTTAAAAATGTTTATGTAAAAAATTTAATAATTAAATTATAATAAAATTAATAAAAATATAAAAGAATGTGTTTCCCCATGCAAAACATGTTCTTCAAGCTAAATTTGTTTATCATGTTAATCATAAAATGTAAACGGATAGTTAATTTAGTATTTTTTAAGTTAAAATAAATGCATAACAGAATGTGATATGGGTTTTATGAAAGATTCTTAAACAAATTAATGCCTACGTAAAAAATATATAACTAAATTTTTATACTATTTTATTTTTAAAAAAGCTTGTTTAAATAACTGTACTTTATGTACAATATAAAACGATTGTGATAAATGTTTGCTAAATTTTATAAAAATAAAAGGATATTAAAACTCTTCGGAGGTTACATAAAATAAAATTTAATGTATTTAGGAATGCAAATCGGGTTATTTTTATAATTAATCAAATTTATATTGTTAATAATGTAATTCATCATGCGTTGAATGTGCAAACGAAACTATATAAGGGTGTAAAAAATGCAAATCTAATTAAATTTTAGGCGTGATAAGTTCTGATTAATAAATGGGAAAATGTATAAATTGTGCTTTGAATTGTGAGAAATGTGAAAATACACCTACTTATTGTTTATAATGTTCTTCCAATTTTTCTTTAAATGTTTAAAATTTCACCTGTATTTAAAAATGTCCTGATGGACAATTTTCCTTTATTTAAATATAAGATAGTATATAGTCTTTGGTTTGCTAAGATTGTTAATTAAATAATTAAAGTAATTGTAATACTTGCTAACTTGATGTAAATAAAAAAATATAATGCCTTTCTTGTGAAGCTGGCTTTTTTTTATAAAACGGAGTTTGTGTTTCTTAGTGCGCTTCTAATTAGTATGTAGGCATTTCTTTTTGTAAATATAATTTTTTAGTTTTTATTTTAAAAATAAAAAGTAAATCAAAGAATTGTTTATAATAATGAATAAGGAAAGTGTATCGATTGTCCTTAGCCAAATTGTTTGAAATGTATAGGAAGGAATCCTAATTAATGTATTTTATGTAAAGATGGATTTATTTTATAAGGATAATATTAAGGCTCATGCGATTCTAAATGCTAACCGAAATTTTATGAATATTAGAAAGCTTGCTTTCGTAAATATTAATTATATGTATTTTTTTGTTTAGTTTTTTATAATTTTTTTTAAAAAAAATAAGCTTGCAGCGATAATTGTTTAGAATGTGTTTATTAAGAAAATAATTGTACAATATGTCAATAAGGAATGAAAAAATATCAATATTTATAATTAACTATTTTACAAATATAATATTAATATTCTATTTGTTTATCTAAATGCCCTTCAGGGACTAATGAAGGGAAATAAGATAATTAAGAAATATGTTTTTGTAAATTTAATTTATTTATAAAAATTTTATATAATGATTAAATATAATTATAGTGTGTAGTGAATTATGTGTTTCTTGCTCAAGTTCTTAAAACATTTGTTAAGAATGCAGAAGTGGAACTGTTTAATTAATAATAAATCAAATAGATAGATATTGTTTATTGGATTGTTCAGAAAATCAAATTCCTTCTCATTTAAGAAGTTACGGTTATTACAATAAAAACGGAATATGTACAAGTAATTCTTAAAAAAATAAAAATTATACTTTATAATTAAAAAAATTAAATAGAATGTCCTCAAGGTTGTTTAAAATGTTATGGAGATGACATTAGTACATAATGCTTAAAATGTGATGAATAAGAAATTTACTTTGATAATTTAGTAGGAGGATGCGCAAAATCTAAATGCGGAGATGGAATATTAGATAAATATGAATTAAAAGATTAAGGAAATAATGTGTGCGATGATGGAAACCTAAAAAATTATGATGGATGTGATGAAAACTGCCAAATAGAAGTAGGATGGAAATGTACTTAGTATCCAAATAAATCTTCATTATGCAACTCTGTTTGTGGAGATGAATATGTTGTAGAACCAAAACTTGGAGGATTTGAATTTTGCGATGTAGGAGAATTAATAATAAAAGGATGCTCAAAAACATGTACTATAGAATAAGGATATTTTTGTGCCATACCAATTAATTAGTACATTTATAAATATAAATATTATAGAAATATTATTAAAATATGAAGAAAATTTAAAAAATATAATAATAAATGATTAATTAAAAATTTATTTTAAAAAAATAAATATAAAAAAAAAAATTATATATGTATATATAATTAAAATGTAAATATTTATATATAAATATATATATATAAATATTTATATTTATATATATATATTTATATAATATATATTTTTTTCTAAGATATCACACATTTTGTGGTTTATAATGTGGTGCTCGGTGTAAATAATGTTAAATTGATAGTTAAGGTCTAACTTTTTGTTTAAAATGTTATAATTTAAATTGGTTTATAATTGGAAATAATTGTGTAGAAAAATGTTCGGATGGACTTTTTGGAGATCCTCATACTTAAATATGTGTAAGAAATTGTCCAACTTTATATTCTTCTAAAAATACAATTAATAATCGATGTGAAAAATAATGTCCAATTAGTTCTTTTAAAGTTTTAATTGAAAATGATATTATTTGTGTCTCTAATTGTTATGATGGATTTTATAGAAGTTCAAATAATGAATATGATACATGCGAAAAATGTCATTTTACATGCAAAACATGTGAAGGTCCTTTAGAAAGTGATTGCACTTCATGTATAAGTGGATATTTATTCCATGTTCATTTATATCGTCATATCTGTAGAAATAGTTGTGAGAAAGGATTTTTAGAAAAAGATGGAATGTGTTTTCCTTGCTTGGAAGATTGCACATTTTGTGCATAAAATTATTTTCTTTTATAAAATTCTTGTAAAAATAAATGCGAGCATCCTCAAAATCTGCTTTTAAAAGACGTTCAAAATCAAACATGTTATTTTAGTGATAGGCCGATAATTAAAATTATTTCAGATAATTAGGGATCATTTGGATTTATTAAAAATTATGAAATTCTCTCGCAAATTGTGTCTATTCATGCAGTATAATCGTATTTTTGGTCTCTATAGTTAGATAAAAATGAAAAAGAACTTGACTTTTTTAAAAATACTGTTAGAAATTAATCTAAACTTATAATAAAAGGAGAAAATCTATTAAGCGATAGACATTATATTCTTTAATTAGAAATAAAAGTTAATAATGAAAAATACATTTCTTCTACAGATATTTATACTATAATTAAACCTTAAAGTACTTTAAATATATATATAAATATATATATATATTTATATATATATATATATAATATTAAAAATAAATTAATTAAAGCATAACTTTTTATTACACCAAAAAGAGGATAATCTGTATAATAATAATTTAAAATTAAAAGTTTATATTGGCCTTATGGATTATTTAAATATTAAATTATAGCTACAACACCTGCAAAACTAATTCCTGATTTAAAAATTTACGAAGGTATATCATCACAAGATATAGAATTATTATATGTATTTCCTTATCAAGAAGAATAATAATAATATACTATATTTTTAGAAATAGATTCTTAAGACTTTAAATTAGATGCAACAATATCTGTATAAATAGATCCTTTATAGTTATCTCCAAAAGAAATATTAAAACAAATATAAAAATAAGGCGTTAGTACATTATTCTAATTATATTCATTTTCAAATTCCTTAGTAAGAATAAACTCTGATATAATTTAAAAAACTCTTATTTAAATAAATAAAGTTTAAGAATTTTATAATACAAATATAACATCAACAACGAATATAAATCTTAATAATAATTAAATTACTTAATAGTAAATATAAAGTTGTAGTAATTAACTTATTTGTAATAATTAAGGGACTTGTAGCATTTTAAATAAGAGAATATTCTGTGAATGTCAACCTGGTTTTGCGGGATATTTCTGCTAATATGATAAATCAGAAAAGGAATATATTTAAGACAATGTTTTTATTTTGATTAATAGTTTAGATATTTTCGGGGCAGATTAATACAATTAAATAGAATTTGCAAATGCTTTATTATAAAATAGTAAATTTTTTGATATGTTTAATAGGACTTCTATTATTAGTTTCGAAAGAAATTTAAGGAATTTTATTTATTTAAGTAATTTAAAGCAAGAAACATTTAATTTTTTGCTAGATATCTTCAATAATTTTTTCCAAATATGCTAGTTTGTTTATTTTCAAACTTAGTATTTTGTTGGTTCATAAAAATCTATATCTAATATCCTCAAAACCAGTTTTAATATATATGGAAATCAAGAAGGAGGGTCTTTGTAGGCTTATGCAGATGAATTTTATTAATTCAATTAGGATTCTTTGTACATTTTGCATCATATTGTATAAAATTAAGCTTTTTTTTCTTTAGGATAGAATCAGTATTTTTTTGTTAAATCTAATTCTGCTTATCTTTAAATAAATAATGTTTTTGTGAAAAATTTAGTTGATTTTTAAAAGTAATTTTAATAAGAAAAGAATATCAGAAATCTTTAATAGTAATAAAATTATTTAAAATTAGTAGAATTTTCATATGATTTTTTGGTGAATTTATAAGCATTTTTGAGTTATTAGAATATATTAGAATTCTCGATTTATTTTATATAATTTTCTTCGAATCCTTTTATTAATATTTAAGATAATAAAAAAATTAGTGATATAGTATATATAGGATTCCTTAATCAAAATTAAAAAAAAGAAATCAAAAATTATATTTCAAGTAACAATTCGACTTTTTTAGTTTTTCTTTAAAAAATAACGAATGTAAATGACCCTATATGTGCTATTTATAATGAAAAAAGTTAATATTTTGAAGGCAAATGTGAATTTATGAATAGTTTATCAACTTTTATTTATTATGTATGTAAATGTAATGAAATAGGATATATTACTATAAAAACAAAATAATAATTAGTAGAATTAAAATAAGAAGAAATATTAAGCTTTGGATAAAGAGTACTATAAAATTACGGATTTATGTTTTCATTGACAAATTTAATTTTAATTTTGATACTATTTGTTTTTATAATACTTGTTAAAAAAGATAAAGAAAAAGATATTATAAAGGAGGATTTAAAAGCTATGCACCCACTTTATTCATTAATATTTATAAAGGATATAAAAAATCCTAGGGAAATTAGGACACTTTTATTATTTGGAACAATTATATTTTAAAGTTTTTTTGAGGCATATCTTTTAAATTTGGATAGAATAATATAATTAGGTAATTTAGGACCATTATTTGCAGGTATTATAGGAATATTTATGGGATCAGTTTTTAATTATATATAAGGAATAATACATTTCTTTATTGTTTATAGAAATAGTGCTTATTTAAAAAAATGGATAATATTTTATATTTTTATAATAATAGAATATAGTAAATATATATATATATATATTTATAAAATTATATATATATATATATATATATATATATATATATATATATACATATCTATATATTTTTTTATATATATATATATTATTATTTTTAGTTTGTTTTTATTTATGTTTTAGTTATGTAGGATTATTTATGACTAATTATCAAGCTTAGTTATGGGTTTAGACTTTTTTTACTGCTATTTTTATAGACTTTTTAATATTTGATAGTATATTTATGGCTCTTGGTATGAAAAATATTTATATTAAAAATCTTTTATAAATCAGAGGATTTTTTTCTGGAAATATAGTTAGTAATTAGGTTGAGAAAAAAAAAAAATTATTTAACATATTTAGTTTATCTAATAAAGACTATATTCAATATAAAAAGAAAAATTAACAGAAATAGATTAAGAAAAAGAAGAATATAATGAAGATTGTGAATTTAGTTAAGAATTTTTGTATGATAATTTAATTGAGTCAATGTAAAAAAATAGAAATTATTCTAATATAAGTTAAAATAGTAGCCCAAATAAACTTAAAAATTGAAATTAATTATATATAAAAAATTAATTATTATATATTAATATATAAAAAATATGTATCAAAATAATAAATATACTATTTTAAAATTATATGCATAAATTTAAATAATAAAGTTATAAATAAAAACTATATATTTTTAAAATAATAAATAAAAATAGATATAATATTTATTCTTAATAATTAATTATGATTAATTTTATTTAGATTTAATTTAAAGATATAAAAAAAAACACATAAAAATAAAAATTATAAATTATAAATATATAAATATATACATATATATATATATAATATTTATATTTATATTTATATTTATATTTATATTTACATTTTTTATAATTTCTTATTTTTATTCATATAATATATTTTTTTTCTAAATCTTAAATTAATTTACAAATTTTTTTTTAATATTTATAACTTTTAATTTTTATATAATAAAATATATTATTTTATTAAAATATTTTTATTATAAAAAAAAATTGTTATAATTACACTAATTTTTATTTGTTTCGAGAAAATTAAAAAATTTTAAGTCATTATAAATTATTATATATAATAAATTATATATGTTATGTCTAGAAATAATATTAGTATATTATTATTTATTTAAAAAAAAGAAAGAAAAATAATTTTTTTAAAAAAATTAAAAATAATTAAATAAAAAATATAATAATTTTTGTTTGTTTTTTTTTAAAAAAAAAATTAGAAAGAAAATAAAATAGTATTGAAAAAAAAATGAGTATTTAACAAACTGAAGTAAATAAGAATAATAATGGATTGAATATCGATTAAATTATTAATAATAAACAACAAGGAAACCCAGAATCTAATACAACAAAGGACAATAGAAAAGAGTAAGCGAAAAGCACAAGAAGACATTCTCGAAGTGTCAAAAAGAAGCACAAAAAATAAAGATCTCGAAGTAATACCAAAAAATCCAAAAAAACAAATAAGAAAAACAAATCACGTAGCCAATCTAGGCATTCAAAAAAAGGCATCATTATCATCATCATCATAAAAGACACATCAGGAATATATCTCCGTCTCCATATTAAGACTCCAGAAATCGTCGTTCTCGCAGAAGAAAGCATTCATCAAGTTCCAAAAGTCAATCGAATAGTAATAGTAGTAGCAATACGGGTCGAAATAGTAGCAGAAGTAGCCGAAGTAACGGAAATTATAGAAATAATAATAATAATAGAAGATAATCACGTAATAATAATGAGTATTAATGGAAAAATAGGAGAAGATAGCATACTAGAAGTAGATCTCCATTAGCTTATTATTTATAAAACACAAATAATTTGAATAATACAAAATAAAATACTCATATAGACAGCAATAATATGTAAATTGATACAGAGAAATTTTATTGGGACGGTTTTTTATGGCAACCTAAAATTAACATGTAAATAATGGACGAATGTTTTTTAAAACAAACAGAAAAATAAAGGAAAATTTAAATTGATAATGTCCCATTAGAATACGGTTTAGATAAGATTGATATTATAAGCTACATCACAAATTATATGAAGGAAAAAGCACTAGCAAATAATGACAACCCTAATCCTGTTTTAAATTGCGAAATTAATGAAGAAGATAAAACTGCAAATATAGAACTTTCATCAGTTCCGGAAACTAATTTAATGTACAAATTAGGAAAAATAATATTTTTTTAAAATGAATGTAAAATAAGCAGGCTTGGTGAAAATCCAGATGGAGTAAATAATCTTAAATAACTAACTTAATTAGCTAGATAATAAGCTGAAGCTTAAGCTGCAGTAATTAAAGCTACAGAAAATATAATGCAGATGAAAAATTTTGAAAAATTAACGGTTAATAAATTAGATAAAAAACCAAAATTTAAAGTAATAAAAGTACTAAATTGCATAATGTAGGGAACAGAAAATTTATTAACTAAAGTTTAATGGGATGATCTACATGCAGATCTTATAGAAGAATTTTCAAGATTTGGAATTATTATAGATAGTTTTATTGTTAGACCTTATTAAGCAACAGTAGGAGGTAATATTTTAATAAAATAAAAAAAAATATATTTGTATAAAAATATATATATATAAATTAAAATATATATGTATATATAAATATATTAAAAAATATATATTATAAATATATATAAATATTTATATTTATATTTATATTTATATTTATATTTATATTTATATTTTTAGCTAAATGTGGAACATTTTTTATAGAGTATGACAATTCTGAAAGTGCATGTTAAGCTATGGAATATAATAATGGAAGAATTTTTAATGGTTAAAAATTAAAAATATTTAATATACCTGAAGATGGATATAATTTGAACTTTAAATAATTGGTTTATATAAAAAATTGATATATTTTTTTTTTAGATTTTTATAATTAATTTTTAAAAAAACACTTTTTTTAAATTTTAATTTTTTTTAATTTTTTTTTTTAAAAGGAGATTTTTGTTTAAAGGTTAATGTACAATATTTTAAAACTTTATTAAACTTTTATAAAATATTTAATATTTCTTATTTATGTTTTTTAAAACTAAAAATTAAAATTAATTTTTTTTTTATTATTATTTTATATAATTTATCAAAATTTAAATTTTTATATTTAAATTATAGAAAAATTAATTTTTGATAATATATTTATTTTTTTATAATTAATCTATTTATACTATTTCATAATTTAATAATATTTATATTAAATATATATATCTAAATTTTTATTATTACTTTGATAATATTTAACCTATTAAATATTTATTTATTAAAACTTCCAAATAAAATAATTTTACATTTATAAAATTTACTTTTAAAAATATATGCTTTATTTTCATAATATTTTTATTTTAACTTCATTAATTATCTAATAAATATTTATATTTTTTCCAAATTTAGTTTCTCTTACTAATTTTATTATTTATCATAATTTTATGTATCTTAAATAAAATAAATATCTTAAAATGTATAAAAAAGTAAAAAAAAATTACTTTTTGTGCATTTTGTATACAATAAAATATTTTCTCATTTCTTAATTCTTATTCAGTTTTTTTAATTGTTTATACAAGAAAAGGGTTGGCCTAATTTTTCAAAAGAAGGATTGTCAAACTAGAATATTATGATTTTAAAGTATAGTATAAGCAATTTTTATTCATCTTATTTATATAAAAATAATTAAATATAATTATAATTTTTTTTACTTATAATTTATACATAATTTAAAGCATCGACATCTGAATTATAGTGAAGTAAAAGTTAAGCCATTTCATAAAAATTGCGTTTGCATGCAAAATGAAGAGGAGTATTTAATGCCTTATTTAAAAAAATTATTTGAAAAAAAAATATAATAAAAATACATATATATTTATTTATATTTAAATTTTACTTTATCATATGTATAAACTAAATATTTATCGTTTTAAAGCATTTTTCTAACTTATTATACATTATTCTTTTTTACTTCCGATAAAAATAAAAATTATTTCTCTGTATTTAAAGGTTATTTTATAAATAATTTTTTTAAACAAACCTTTTTTATTAAAAATTAAATAAATTAATTTTTTTTATATATTAGAAAATTTACTTCTTCTAAAGTTAAGTTTAATTTAATTAATAAAGATAAAAATTCTAAAATTTATTATAAAATTATTCTATTTTTATATTTTGAAGTTTATTTCTTATCATAAAATACTTTTATTCCTTTTAATAGATTATTATTAGGTTGAAAATCTATGCTTATATTTTTATAATCATGTTTTTATCTAATTTTTTATAAACATTAGTAATATAACTAGTTTTTTTTAATAAAAATAAATAAATATAATTATATGTATAAATAATTATACTTATTATTATTTCTTATATTCAATAAATGTTTATTTAACCATTCTGTTTTCATTATTTGATACTTTTAAAGGATAATAATTGTTTAAGTTTGTTAAACTTTTTTAATTCATACTTCTTTTTTCATTTTATTTCTATTTGTTATAATAATAAATATTTGAAAAAATTTTTATTTTCATATAAATCATTATTTTTAATTCTCGGTACATGTCTTTAATCATTTAAAATATAAAATTTAAACAAAAGTATTTGAATTTAATTTTTTTATATTTTAATAAATATATAATAAAAATTAACTTTATTTAATCTATTTTCAATTCAGGACAGATTTCGTTTAATTTTTTTTATATTTCTATATTACTTTTCTCTTTTTCAAAGGAATCTTAATCATATACACTTTTAAATTTATCTCTATCATTCTCAGTAATATTACTTTTAATATATTTAGTTTATTAATACAATAAAGAATTAACAATTTAATATTTTTTAACTAAATTATTTTATTTTATTAAATTATTATTTTTATAAAACTTTTATTCAATTAAATTTTAATAGTTTTTTTATTATTATAAACTTTATTTTTTTTACTATTAATTCACTATAATGTTAGGTGAACATGACCTTTATCTTTAATATAATTTTATTGCCTCTTATTTTTTTTCTAAAGCAATATTTAATTATTATTATATTAAAGGCCATCTATTGAAATTAATTTAAGAGTTTTTCATTAAAAAAAAATCTTTTTATTTGTCTCTTTTATCTATAAAATTAGAAATTATGCTACTTTTTTAAAAAGAATAAGAGATTTAAGAGTTCGTTTTATAATTTTATAATTGATTAGAATATTAAGTAATGCTTCGTTTTTTTAAAAATCTACTTCTTGCAAATTGACTATTTTAGAGTTTTTTTTAGCTTTACTCTTCACTATTTTCTTCATAATCATATTTTTGTGAATTATTCTTTGGTGTTATTCTTATCATTTGAGCTTAATTATTTTCTTTATTATAAGAAAAACTTTTTAATTTAGCGATTATATTTAATCTTAATTCTCTTTTGACATTTTATATAAGCTTTTACGGTGCATTTAGCATATTCATTTAATTTATGGCGTTTTTAGTACTTGCTTACTAATAAAGTTTATTTTGTGAATTTTTTATTTCAAATTAACATTTAATTACATTCTTTAATTTTAGTTTTGTGGGAGTTTATTGGCTAAAGAATTATTTTTGTAATTATTATAATGGTTTTTATTGAATTTTTTATTATTCTTTTATAGTACTTAAAGTTTATTATTTCATTTTTTTTTATTAATATTAATAAATTATTATTATTAAACATTTATTTTTTGATATATATAAAATAAAATTTTGAATTATTAATTTTTATATTTTTATTAAATAAATATAAAAACAATATCTTTAAAAAAAAATATAAATTTTAATAATTTAGAAATAAATATAATAAATATATAAAAAAAAAATTAAAAGTACAATTCATATTTATATTAAAAAATATAAAATATGAATAAAAAAATAATATTATTTAAAAATCATTAAATTGAATTGTCTTTTTCTTCTTCATCTTCCTCATCTTCACTAAAATTACTTTAAATAGATTATTTAGATGTCCTAAAATTTAAAAATATCATAAAAAAAAAAAAAAATACCCTTCATATTCAAACTTTAAAATATAAATATTTTTATTTTTTTATTTAAGTAATTATTAGCTTTAATTAGAGATAAATTTAAATATATATATTTTTTTTTTAAAAAAAATATACTTTTATCCAAAAGAAACATTGCCTCCAAAAACTATAATTTATTTATCTAATAAACAAGCAGCGTGATAAAAACGAGGTCTTGGAGGTTAACCATGTGTATCAGGTTTTATCCTAATTTTAAATGAAAAATAATTAAATTTAAACTAAATAGATAAAGAAAAACCATTCTTTTTTCTTTAAATTTAATACAAAAGTATCATTAAATAATTATTTATGTTCGCCTCTTCCTCCAAAAACTAACATATCATTTTATATAAGTAGAGATACATGGCCATGTCTAGGAGCAGGTGGTATTCCTTTAATATTTTCAGTAAGATTTACCCATTTGCATTAATTTAATGTTTATAAATCAATAGTCCACACATCATTAAAATTTTTACTTTAATTTTATTAAATAATATATAAATAAAAATATGCAATTATATATATATGTATATGTATATGTATATATATATATATTTATATATATATATATATATATATATATATATTTATATTATTCATATAAATTTACGCTGGTTAAGACATTTTTCTATACATACCTCCAAATATATATAATTTTTATTTTCTTATAACACTACTATGAGAAAACCTTCCTTCTGGTAAATTTTCTTATTCATATTTTATTTCAGACCATTATAAATTTTATAAATTAAATGAATATAAATCATTATAATGAAATTCTGCTTCATAATCTGAAGAACAATAATATCCCCCGAACATTATTAGAGCTTTTTTTCCCAATATAGACATTGAGTTTTTTTCTCTTTAAGGTGGTTAATCTCCTCTTAATTATATAGGAATCCATTATTTAGTTGAAGTATTATAATTTAAATAATCTTCTAAAATTCTATGATTATTTAATCCTCCATATACTAATAATTTATTTCCAAATGTTACCACACTTTTTTATTATAATTTTATTATAAATATTTATAAATATACTTATGATAAGCTCTTTCTTCCGGTACAAAATCTTTAACATCTACAATTTCTATTTCTAATGTATTAATATCCATTTACCACATAGTATCTAAATATTTTCCTCTATGTCCTCCAAATATATAAATATAATTTCCTACTTTATTCATTGAATGACCTTATATGTATCCTGTAACTTTTTCCCATGAAGAATGTGAAAATTGATGTGTTTTCCAAGCAAACTTTGTATAATCTATTTTTAATGACGCTTGTTTTTCTTTTCTTGTTCAATATTTAAACCTACAGTGTTTTATTCTACAAATATTATATTATTATTTGTTCCAAATTCGTTTTTTATATATTTTTTTTCAGGATCATGTTAAAAATAACCATCACATAAAAACTTAAATTCATATCGGCCTGGTTATAATTTTACTTTTGCAATGCTTTCATATTATTTACTGTGTAAATTATATTCTTTTTCCATTGCTATTTCCTTTTACCAATTATCCCATGATCCAATTAACTATTTATTTTATAAATAAATGTTTCAATATTGAATTTATATTTTTTATAAAAAGTAAATATATATTTATATTGTCTATTTTTTTTATATGCTTTTATATCTATGGCTTTTAATTGTGTTGATATTTTGATATTTTTCCAATATTTTTAATCTTGAATAGAAATTTTTTAATCATCTTCTTCACTTTCATCAGTTTCATCATGAACTATTTATTTTGGAACGATTTCTAACGTATTATTTTATAATCCGTTTGTATCATATACCACATGACATTCATAATCACATCTCCATTACCCATCAACTACATATTTATATTAATATTATCCTGCTTATAAGCTTATATTGCAATGTTTCCAACTTTAAAATTTTATAAATATTTTATATTATTATTTTATAAAAATTTATATTAGTGTAAAAATTTTAGTTTACGATGGATTTTGTTTCAATCTATTTAATTTTATATATGTTTGCCATTAATTCCATGACCCACAAATAAATACATTATTACCTCCATATTTCCTTTTTTTAAATAATTATTTTTAATAAAATATTAAAAAATATCTAATGAATATAAATGATATTAAAAATATTATAATTAAAAATAATTTATTTTAGTTTATAAAATTATGTTTTATTTTTATATAATGGAATAATGAAAATTATAATATAATTATTTAGATAATATTTACCATATAAAATCTGTTGGGTTAGCAGCACAGCTTCCTACATGAACATAACTACAATTTTAACAAAATATTTTTTGCATTTTTATAATAATGATATATTTAAATTTTAAAGATATTATAAATAATAATAAATAAATAAATATTAAATATA